CAAGCTACGGACGGTCAGGAATTGGTTCTTAAAGGTATTTACTGAAAATGCGAAAATTGTTGCATGACCCATTTTACATGTACATATCAGTGAGGCACCCAAACATTTTTTCGTTGTAGGAACTTGGTGCTGTACTGCCTCAGAAAGTTGTCCCCGAGAATAGAAGCATACATATTAATTCAACGTTACATAGAACTAAAAGTGTGCACGGGAGGGATACCTGAAAAGAGAGATCTATAGTGGAAAGCCAAACGTTGTCAACCACTCTAAATCTCACAGGAATGTCGTTCTCAAGTTCTTCCCCATGATTCATCCACCTCTGTATTTTGTTTAAACTTCAGTCTTTGGGTGCAAAATAAAAGCAATGGAGGATTACTTATAATGAGCGACACAAACGTGACTGTCGAATTAATATTCTCAAACGAGGAGGGAGTCCCTAAGGAATAAAACATTCTCTGAAAAAGCAGCGAAAAAAAAAAGGGGGGGGAGGGGGGGGGGTTAACATATTGTGTTGAAGTTTCCTCCACCCCGTATCGTCGGCACAGACAAAAAAGCATGGCCCCGGAAACTACTATGTCTGCAACAACAATTTTGCCAGAAAGCGCATTTTCCTAAAGACTGATGCTTGCACCTATCTTCACGATGCTGCACCAAGCAAGAATAATTTGCGCCACCAAAATACATGTCTTGCACTGAACACAAACCTTCTACAGCGTGCATTTTACACCACCGGTCTGGATTTTCTCAGCAGTACATAGTTCAATGACGTCACGTGCAAACCATGTTAAACAGTTCAGTTTTCTTGTGAAATGTGATGTTCGTAACGCGAGCAAAAGTAGATGTCCCAATTGTAAAGTTGTGCAGTATATATAGCAGTCTCGCGATGATATACGGCAGCCTAATAAAATGTTGGAGAGCGTGACTTATAATTTATAAAGCAGAGTTGTAAAGTGAGGGCCCCGAACAGACTTAAAACCGAAAAAAACATAAGCCTCCCGAGGCAGTATTTCTGAAGTTTCGAGTTCGTGCAAGCTGATGCCCACATGTGATTGATGCTAGGATTATAAGAGCGTTCCTCTCTTCTTCACATTATTTATGTTTAATTAGAAATATCATCACACTTCTACATATTCATTTATTTTGTTGCCGTAAGGCATCGTGTATCCGATTCTTTTGAAGAATACCATTTATTATCTCTCCCTTTCCGCACATTTGTGCAGAAAGAGAGAGATAAGGCAGAAAAGGAGAGACACCTTCAGATCCATCATGTGAGCACAAAATCATTTCTGCCACACCCCGCGACCTGGTGTTTCAAACTGCCAAGCAGCGAATAAGAAGAATGTTTCCGCAGATTGGCTCAACAAGTGGCGTATTTTTGAGCATCGTCCTCCCGTGTCAGTATCAAGCGATCACATGAACTTCATATAGTCAAATTTATTGATGATAATTAATCATTTAATTACAGACTGACGATTTCACAACATAAAGAGCCCTTCTCTTTTCTGGCCTTTTTATCCTCAATAGCGATGCATAAGCGATTTCGGAGAGACATAAACAAACTTCTGATTTTGAAGCCCATTTAAATAACTGTGTTCCTGACGTATATATAGCTTCTCAAACATAGAGAAGTCTATTATTGCCTTTTATGTTATGAATAGCAATTTTATGTATCTGTGGGCTGGACAGAAACTTAGTACACAGGGGTGCGTGGTGGAAGTATGATTACGTACGCAGACCGTCAGGAAGTGACCGTAACTGCCATGTCGAATACACTTTGTTCTGTTTAGCAAAAAAATCATCAATTAGCAAGAGTAATGCTTGTTTGCAAACTGAGTTAGCCGGCATCTTATTAAGAGCAAACCTCAACAGCCTGGTCAGGTCAGTTTATTCCGTATAAGAAAATGTTCACTTGGGTACACGCTAGTTTAGGTCAGATTCTAGTACAAAGGTGCGTATTAGAGTGAACAATTTTGATCACTCCTTTTTACATGATTCTTTTCCCGCATCACGGTGCTGAGTGTAAACAATGTCAATTAGGCGAACAAGTGCTGTGCTTGCTGCCCTGTGTTTCTATAAAAGGTAGAATGAAAGAGGTTGTCTTAAAACTTCTGTGACATTTTGAAAATATTATTGCTTTTAGCTGTGGCGTCGTCGTTACACATATTGTGAAATGTATTTCGTGAACTATATTTCACAATGTATATGGCAATGGGGTGCCCGTTTCATGATTTAATGCACTGCAATCAATTCCTCAGTTCAAGGGCACAACTATGATTTCAATTTTAATACTGCGACGAAAAGTTGTACCAATCACGGGTATTTTAGCTGACCTACGACACTTTGTTAAGTAAAATGTATGGGAGTGAGGTAAACAAATGAATGTTGAGTCGTATAAATACTATGTTTTGTATTTTAACCTAGATTGTCTTTTACTGTTTCGACGAAATTAAATACCGAAATTTCTTTTTTTGGTACCTAAAAATATAAAAGGATAAATGTTAAAAAAAACAAAAAACAATACAGTTACTTGTTTTATGACAGAAATAGTGCGCATTGCAAAAATATATTCTCAATTTTGAAGTTCAAACTGGTTTGAGCTGTTATTTTTGCTCCCTGGAACTAAACAGGAACTGAACCGAAATCAGTGAACCCGAACCTGGCACTCTGGCTCCAACACCTCTGAACACCAGCAAAAAAACAAGTATCTGGTGACACCTACATAATGTTTCCACTTCTTGAGTAATACAATTTCATCTCATCGCTCATCATTGTGTCTCTGCCGTCGAGGTTACTCAGTCGCTCCGAAAGCCATCGCGAACGAGTTCTGCGAATGTCGTTAAATGTTCTCTCGTGGCAGCGCACAGACGACATTCGGGGCCAACTGCATTTGCCGGAAATGACATTAATCTTCCCACGCGACAGGTGCGATAAAGTGTTAGTGGGCGTTGTGCATGCTGCTGCCTCGTTCTTAGTTTCTCCCACCTCGTGCTTTCCGACGTAAAACATTGGCCTGCTTACTTTTTCTCTATGAAGCTACAGCCAACAGCCAATCCTTAAAGGGAAGATGGGGCACTTCTACATTTGAGAAAAAACGCTTGAATTGCATTCATTTGGCCTTTAGAATAACGGATATCACAATTATATTTCAATGCGACGCGCCGGAGAGCCATAAGAGCAATTTGAAAATAGGGCTGAAGCCCCGCCTCCCTAGCCTTGGGCAGCCAAACGAGCCGTCGATGACGTCACGGACAGCGACCTGTCTTTCGCGTTTTTCTCGCGTTTAAAAATACTTGTGCGGCAAATGGTTTTGGTATTCGGGTTCACGAGGTAAAAATACACTAGAATTCACTTCTAACTCATTTTTTTTCAAGAAGCTCCGTAGCTTCCCTTTAATGGGAAACTGAAGCATTTCTGTATTTGAGGAAAGACACTTAAATCGTCTTTATTTGGCCTCCAGGATCACAAATATCGAGATTATTTTTCAATTCGGAGCACGGAGGGTGCAGATAATCTTTTTGGAAGTACCACCGAAGCCCCTCCTTCCCGGAATGTGACATCATTTCCAGAATTTTCGGAATTTCCGCTCTCACGCATCTTCAGCGCCTATCAAAGCAACGCAAGTGCACTCTTGCTACTTTTAAATCAACAGAAAAAGACTTCACGACTGGTGTCAGTGCAGGGGAATATACCTATAAGCTTGCAATTGCCCTGCGCTGCCCACACGAGCGAAGCGCACTTGGCGGTTGAAAGATCCTTTGATGAAGTAACAAATCGGAGGTGTTTAGCGTGTTCTCACGTTTAGTTACATCTTTGGGGAAAACGAACGTGGTATTCAGATTCAGGGGATAAAAATACTGTAGAATTTACCACAACTTCAGTTTTTTCAAGAACCTCTTCAGCTTCTGATTAAGGCTAGTTCACACATTTGCATTGAGAAGAGAAATCCAGGATAGATAGAGAACGCTTCCACAAGATACTGCCTTCTGCACAGAGAGATATATCGCATATTGGCTGAGTCAGACCAACAGCAGCCATGAGCACCATCACGTCACAAAATCACAGTGTGCGCTCGCTTGTAACCATTTACAACGAGAGATCATGCTGGTGCCATCTATCAGGTCACCCTGGAACACTTTCCATGAGCAATTTCTTATTTCTGTGCCCGTCATTCTTTTACCGAGGGCTCGGAATACTTCTGACAACACCGTAAGCGACAATCGATAGTAAATGGTGCATAGATTTTATCTCGCAAATACTACAAAACCCTCGGTCTAGTCACATACATAGTTCCAGGTCTTCTTCGAAGGATGACACCAGTGAGTCCCACTGATCTTTGGTGTGCACTTTCGTCGTAAGCCCCCCTCCGAGAGATTGCGAAGCGTGCTCCGACACGGTCAAACGGAAACGCACGAACAGACCTTTACTTTTCCTTTACGATGCTACGGCCTTCTTCGACTCGGTTGGCTTCCAACGGTAAAAGTATGGTGCCCGGAACGCGTCTCCGACCAACGCACAACTGCCGCCAATGTCGTAAAAGCATCACGCTGTTGCTCGCCGCGATCCCCGTGCCGTCACGACGGCAGCGGTGGACGTGCAAGATCCCCGTCTCGCTGCAAATCGCTCATCGGTTCTAGAGCCGCGGAAGGGTTGGCAGCCAAGAGTCAGGACCATGCAACGACGGCAATGCTCGCATTGGCACGTGCTTTCTGCCCAGCTACTACGCCTGACCGCTGGGATTGCGACGTCCGACGACGAAACGCTCCCTTTTGCGACGCCGTTTGTTGCCACTTCGCGACCGTTTTCTACGTACAGGCGCATGGAGGTAGGAAGCTTCTGGAGGCGACACGAGGCCACCAGCTTCACCTCTGGTGGCCTTGTTTCGCCTCCAAAAGTTTCCCGCCTCCATGTATGGGCGGGACAGCTAGGACACCAAACGTGCTGGCCGAAGATGCGTTCCGGGCATTGTAGATAAAGGGCAAGAAGGTACCGAGAGCGCTCACCAGGCGTGCCGCAGCCCCTCCTTCTGCCGGACGTTCTGTCCCGGGAAGCGGCGTCCTCTGCCATAACGTTGTCTTCGGCCGCATGCTGCTGCCTCCAGAGCACGGACGAGGACTCGGCCGTGGGTGGGTACATCTTGCGCGGCTTCTCCTTCTTGCGGTGCTCCGTCTCGCTCTCGCTTAGCAGGCGCTTGCGGTGGCGTGCCTCGAAGCTCTCCGCCCTGCACCAGTCGTGGTTCACCGAAGGGGCCTCCGCACTGGCCAGGAGGGCACCCCCATCTGCGGGGACGGCAACGGGAAAAATGCGGGTCAAAATGTGCAGGCGAGTCGCATACGTGACTCTGGTGTCCTTTGTTCCCGAGGAGGCGGGTGCAATAATGAACCACGAGTCTCATACATTCGCACGGCGGGGATTGTCAGTACTTATAAGAATGCGAAGCGTGGACTCTACTTGGCAAACATTCATTTTGTATTCTGCCTGTCCTAATAATAGGCAGAAAAAAAAAATTTTTTTTCTAGGTTTAGTGTTTTTTTTGAGAGGCTTTAGTTAGCATTAAACCTAAAGCCCCTTAATAAAATCCACACTTTGCATTCTTATAAATACCGACAATCACCGCTGCGTGAACGTGCGAGACGGGGGAGTGCTTTGCCGTCGTTTGCTTCCAAGGGCCGCACGAGGCAAGGGCCTTGTGCATTTGATGATACAGTGAAACCTCGTTGTAACAAACTTCCATGTAACGAAACCCCCGATGTAACGAAGTACATAAATTTTTTCTAACCGCAAGTGTATGCACGCCATGTATTTTTGACTTCCAAGTAACGAAGTCCCGTTTGCCGAAGTTTCAATGTAACGAAATTTCATTGGCAATTTGTTACAAACTTCTGGGTCCCAAAGAAAATTTTGGGAAGCACATGCGCTGAAATGGGCTTCCCATAAAGCGGAAAGGGTGAAACGGGCCGAATCTGGCGAGTGTGGTGTACAGAACGGCTACTAGAGGACACTAGAGCCACCGCCGCTTCATCCGTCGGCTTCGTTCGCGCTGCATAGTTTGTTTCGAGGCCTAATTAAACACATGCGTTTCTCACTGTCCTGGGTGATGGAGCCTTGAAGGTGATGGAGCCGCCTCTGACAATGTCCACCTCGACGACTTTCTATTCGCGACTCCAGCAAAACGGACACCACCAAGCGGGAAAACCGGGAACCAGCCGGTCCAGGTCGCTCCGCGCCCCTCCGCGTCTCTTGTGGCTTTCGCGGACACGTGTTGTCAGCGCGGTGGCGAACAACGTAATTTGACGAAGGTCCGAAAATTTCTCAAGTTTGCCTAAGTGTTCATTAGTGTGGTGAAGCCTCAGTACATTGTTTTCTTCCATCACGTGTTTGAAAGCCCATTCACTCCGCAACACACGGTCGCGTGCTTTCCATTTCTTGAATAGGGAGGAATCGCGGAAAAACGTTTTGATTTCTTGTCTGTCTCGAATCACATTCGAAGTGACGACTGCTTGGTAACTGATAAGGGGCTTCTTTGTAAGGATGTAGAACAGTGGGAGGATGACAAACGAGGCCTTTCACTGGAGGGAACACCAATGTTGCAGTGAAGTGAATGGGAAGGTTCGATAGCCACTTTTTTTGAGTTTGGTTGTGTTTGATTAGCTTCAAGTTTGTGCCACCCACGCCGGTCGGTGGGTTGGCTATTCATCTTGGCTGCTTTTCGTCGAAAAAGCCTCTGGGCCACTCTGAAGGAGTTGGGCTTATTTCGTCATTACTTGATTCAGGAAAACCTGCTCGCTGCAAATGATGAATGACGGAAATTTTCTGTTTTCAAAAGGTGGGGGACGCGTCTCGCAACATTAGAAGCTGTTACGGCATTTTGATCTATCAAGCCTCCAATATAAATATTATACCCCCGTCGAAGCCAGCAGCAATATATGTCTACATTGCTCAGGTTGACCGGCCACAAAAAATACTTATTTTCTCCGTTCAGGATCCAAAGCAAAGTTCAATGCGGAGAGGTTCTGCGTGAACTCCAGTGAAGACTCTTCATTTTGTCTCCGTGCTGCCGGTTAGAACTATTTGGCTAAGTTTAGGTAGTATCTCTCTGTCTGTCAAATATACTTTTATTCAGCAGTTCACCTAATAGCTAGTCAACTAAGCTCATAATTCAACCTGAAGAATATACTAATACCGCTTCAGTGGTACCCCCATAGTACGTGATATAATACATACCCGCTCGTCAAAATGACTTCTCGATTGCTACAAAACCTGAATTGAAATACGAGTATCAGGGGCTTAGTGGGGTGCCGGCGGGTTAACATGATCCTTGGCTCAAGAAGCGCTTGCTTAATTTTCGTAATTTTCGTGCAGCCTGAGTTGTTGACAGGGCAGACGACTCGCGGATACGCACAAAAGCTCGATTTCGCCGACAGATTAGCCGGATGGTCGAGGCATGCGAGTTGGCTGAAAATTATTGTCGGCGGAAGAATTCTGCGGTCATTGCCGCTTTTCTGAGATGATCAAAAGTGATTAGTATATTACCGACTCTCCAGAGCCCATATAGTTTCGGTTTTGAACGAAGTCTCCGAAACGACAGTTTGACATGAAAAGAACAAAAAACACCGGGAAAACAAAACTATGCTTTGCGAGTTTATGTGCACCGGCTACACTTAACCGTCTGAGTTCAAATAGCTATAAAATTGGGCATTAAACAAAATAAAATCTGTTAAATTGAACGCGCCACCTGTTCAGGCGGCCCGGCCGAGCCGACGCGACCTGGACTCAGCCGCCATGTTTGTTCGGTGGTGGCGCCCCCTATAGGTCGCTGGAGTCGCGAATATGCCGACTCTGCTGTCATTGCGATGGAGGAGGTGACCGACGAGGCGATAGCTAGCGATGTTTGTGGGAACTCGCAAAACGGGGACGGACATCGAGCCTGATGAGCAAGACACCTGCTATGTGCCCAGTAACCGCGAGGTGGTGGACGCGATTGATGTCTTGTGGCGGTTCGCGATCACACTGCAAGACGAAGACGCGATGCATGCCGTCTGGCTATGCGAACGTCGTGTGATGCCAATAATAATGCCAAGAGTGGCCCAGAAAAAGGTGACGGATTACTTTCAACCGAAATAGAGGCGTCCTTGGTGACTTTTGTGCACCGGAGAAACATTTGGGGAAACTTTCTTTAATGATAGCCTCGAACTTCTATGTAGCAGAATTTCAATGTAATGAAGTAAATTCCTAATTTTACCAACTTCGTTACATCGAGGTTTGACTGTACTTGTAAGAAAAACACAAAAACATTGAGGGGCTTTAGTGCAACTGCAGGTAGCTCAGTGACATTTTGCAACATAATGGCTGCATTATGAAGTGCAGTTTAGTGTGCTTCTTGGTTCATGAGGTCTCTGGAACTGTCTGCAGTATCCCTAGTGACTGTATGTTGGGTCCTCCAATTTGATCTGGCAGCTGGTTTAAATGAGTCAACTAACTGTCTTTGGGCCCATGATTTGACCAAAAGAAAAATATTCTCTTATAGGCAGGGCTATCAACCTTTAAGAAGAACTTTAGTTAGAAATACAATCTCATTCTTACAACTCTTTCCCGTCAGTTATTTGCAGAAAATTAATGTTCCGATTACTTTTATAATAACTCGAGGGATCAACAGGTGCTGCGAATGGCCACCAACGACTCATTTTTATATGCAAGAGATACCTGCATAGTTCCCTTTTCGTTCAGCACTCTGCTCACGGCAGTGTTTGGGGTAGTGACTGTATACAGCATCGATAATACTAGATCAATGTGATTTTGTGTAGTTTTCAGAATCATCATGATAAGTTATTAACCAAACTAATTTCCAAGTTGCCCCAAACTATAACCAAGTGACACTTAACTTTCATTGAAACTTACAAAACGTGTGTTAGTTAACAAAATTGTAACTACCGTAATATCACGACAAAGAGCCGACCTAAAAGCGAAAGCAGATCGGGTGAGTATATGGAGTAAGCTAACTTACAATGTGTGATAAAAAAATGATAAAAAAAAAATCTAGTTTTAGATGTTGCGGTTTGCGAAACTTGCGATTGCAGGGATGAACCAAAGACGACAGTCCTTCCCTCATCTCCCGTCGAGGCTAAGTAACACTGTTTCTGCCGAGGTCACCACTGGCCAGCGTCCTGCAATTACTAGAAGTTGGCCATCTTTAGGTGTCTAAAAAATAATGAATACTGCCAAAAAGAGTGGGCGGGTAATCTTTCAAGGTAGGGCTGGGCGTCCCTCGGATGTTACGATAATTAAAGCAGCCTAAATGCTTATTAGTCACTTTAAAACAGCTAGCCCCCCCAATTAATTTTGATACTTTAAAACAGAGCTGCAGCTAAAGAGAACTTTTTTTTGTGCGGGGAAGAGGGTTGGATTTCATCCCCACAAGCCCCCTCCCCCTTCAGGCTATGCCACTGCTTTCCAGCTCTGCCTTTAGGAACATGGGGCTGCCGAAGCCGCGACTCCCGAGGCAAGGCCCCACCTGACAGGTAGACGGAGGCCTCCGGGTGGTGGGCGGCCGAGAGACGCACGTCCATGCGGAGGTCTGCCAGGGAGAGCAGCGAGTGGGGCGGCCCGGGCCCGTACGGGTGGTAGGGGCTCAGGGGTGCCGTGGCCGCCGTGGCCCGCCGCTGGTACTCGTGGGGGTGCCGGCGGCGGCTGTCCGCGGCCTCGCTCTCCTCTTCCGCAGAGGCAAACAGCGGGGACCCACACTCGATCGGGATTTCCGGCACTGCGGCGCCCCACAAAAAAAGAGGGTAAGAAACTTCTCTAGCTTTTTATTTTTCTTTTTAAGACAAAGCAAGGGTGTTTTTATAGTAACTGACAGTTTAAGAACGGCGAAGAGGTCTTCGAGTCATCCCGCCTCCAGAGAGGGCTTCCTTCCTTTAAGGACGCTTCGGCGCCTCACAATTTTTTAGCGTCCCATGCAGTCGGAGCGTTATGAAGGCTGGGCGGCCTGAAGACACACCCTGCACTTGTCCTGTTGTTGAATACTATAGCTGTCTGAAGAATGCGGTCACTGATCCTAACACTTTTCTAATTGCGTAGGAATAATACAACAATTTCAAGTCCTATCCCCGTCTCCTGCCGGTAAATTCCTCGTTATTCACATTTCCTCTACTACCGTCTTGTTCACTGGCCCCACTTACACTTGTCCATTCGTTGTGTCATTTCTTCTCTCCCGCGTCTTGCATATTTCTACTTCTAGCAGTGCACATGCCCATTCAAAACAGAGTTAAATCAACTAGCACCTACTAAAGCTTTTCTCCACCAACTTCTGCGTAAAAAAAATGAAAGCCGTTTACAAATCCCTGTAATGCCGAATTGGAGCGCAGCTCTTGAGGAGGAGTAGGGAAGGGTACTGAGGGGGGTCACGTCACCTGTGGGTAGTCACGTGACCTCGGGGGGGGGGGGGGTCACGTGACGCCCCCCCCCCCCCCCCCCCCCCCCCGGTTACGCTGACGCCGCTCAGGCTGAAAACGGGCCCCTAAGAGCTGCCGGTTAAAGTACAGGCGAGCTGGTGTGAGTTATACATGATGATTAAAACCTGAGACTGTGGTTTGAAAAGCAGAAAATCGCGAAGTAAAAAGAAAAAAGGACAGACAACGTCTCAATTTGAGACGCTGTCTGTGCCTTTTTCTTTTTACTTCACGATTTTCCGTTTTTCAAACCACAGTCTCAGGTTTTCAATCATCATGTATAACTTCTTCGTGCTGTCGGTGCAGAAACTTCACATTGTGGCAATTCCCCGGCTCCTCTTTGATGCGACCTTTCCTCAAACACGCGCAGAAACAAGCTCGGAAGTGTTGCAACTGTTACGGATGCATATGGTAAACTCTGAACATGGCAAACCACCGGGAAACAGAAGCACTTTAGCGAGATCTGCACTACCATCGGATGATCCCACTTAATTTTTTTTTTTTTTTTTACCACTTCAACAGGCCAGGGTAAGTGTAGCTAAACAATGATTCTTCTGAAACTAAACCAAAGCAATGCACCAGAATCAAGCTAAACTGCAATTTCCTACAAAGACAAGTAGCTTAAAGAAAATGACTTCCTTGCTCCTTTAAGAAAACTATAAAATGATTTTGTGGCATTTACTAAATAGTAACGCCAATAAATCCTCAATGTTCACAGGACCCAAAGCAGGAATCTGTTTCCATTTCAGTGTGTTAGTTTCTACAGGAAGAAAACAATTAAGACACAAGTTGGTTTTCTTCTTTATCTCGCCAGCAAGATGTGTGGTCACGCGTATTGAGACAGTAAGGGCCCCAGAAGTGCTTTGGCAGCCATTCTTCAGGCTTGGCGTTCTCTCACCGGCTTGAGGTTACAATGTTCATCGGTGTTACACGCCTGCGTTGGCAATGCTTATGGCATGTGCTGTGCATCGACATTGTTAGTTATTCAATTTTTGTCACGGCTTTTATCGTCAATGAATATGAACGGAACAAATTGATTGCTACAGAGTGCAGTCCCGAGTGATGCAGATGGATTTGGCTGATGTGCTTGGACATTGCGGATGAATCCCGATGAAAGGGCAGAGAGCTTTGCAAACGAAAAGAGAAGAAACAGACTGCCCTTATTTCTAACACTTCAGTGAACATCATGTGTTGCTCTCTACCGTAGTGTGCTTGATTTCTTTTAGCCCACTAAACTAAACAACAGCAGCAGCGGTCGGTAAAATGAAAACCCGACAGTGTTTCATGGTTCCTTTAATGCTCATCTTCATTCATATTGCTGTCTCTGGTTTCCTACCATGTCTATACTACATCAGCTTGTTTATACAGGGTGTTTTATTAGTCTCTAAAAACTCATGCTGCAATCCTGCAGCTTTTTTCAGACCCTAGTCACAAATGTATGGTTTGTGGAAAAAATAAACTGATATGATTTGATTTAAAAAAAGATACGAAAACTACAATAATGCGATCTGTGCAGGTGAGTTATAAGGCCAGGGGGCATAATATATAGGGGGCGAATCGTCACAATAAGTCAAACAATTGACTAAAATTTATGTTTTTAATTAGTGAAAATAAACATATGGATCCACATTTTCACACTGCCAGCCTTGTGGCTGCTGCATGAGTGGCAATTTTAGTGCACCATTTCACTTCCCAAGCGCTCCAGATCCTTCTATAATTTGCTAATGTAAGGTTTTCGACAAAGGTTAGCTAGTTTCTAATTGGAACTATATATGTTAATTTTCACTAATTCAACAGTGAATTAACAGATTGTAGTCCATTATTCGGCTTTTTGTGACGATCAGCTGTTATGTCACACTGGCTGTATAACTTACCTGCAAAGAGCGCATTAGAGTAGCCTGTCACAGCTTTTCTTTAAAACAAACCTGTAAAGCCTCGAAAAAAACACCCTGTACACCCAAAGTATATGAAATAGCTGTTTGGCAAATCGCCTGCATGCACAATCCACGCACAAAGAGCCGCCCGAGCGGGCAGACGCACCATTGGGGAGCTCGGCGGAGGACTGTGTGACCGTGGCCCCGAAAGCTGTCTCGAAAATGGACGACAGCGAGGGTGGAGGGCTCTCAGGGATTCTCTCCTGTGCCACCTGAAGCCCAACAAAGTATGCCGTTGGAGACGCTTCGCCACACAACCTCTTGGGCACCTTTACTGTAGTCACTGACAAGGTGGGCATGGCAAGGAGGAGTTTCAGTTATCCCCGTCTCCAGCACGAGCCACCTGCCTTCAACAATGCTTTGGTGTCTCGCGAGCATCGAGCACCCAAAGCACAATGAAAGGCAACGAGAGCGTGCCGAAGGCCGGGCGGTCGAGAGGACGCAATGCTGCTTTCCCTTGTCAGTGACTACAGAAACCTGCAACGCGTTTACTCATGACGGCGGAAGAAGGTTGTCGAGAAGGGTTGAGAAAAAGAATGATGGCCGCAACACAGCCGTCATTTTGTGCAGCATCGGTTATAAAAGACAGAGAAGTGGATTAGAATTGATGAAACAAAATTGGACAGAAAACAAGACCGAAGCGACAACAGAATTGACTGAACAGAAATAATGAGGGAAAGCAATATAATAACTAATTAGGAAAGATTCTAAAATGGCAACTTTTTTTTCTTTATTAATTTAACTGAAGTTTCGATAGCAATTATGCCTACACACCTTTTAGGTGGACATGACTTTAGGCAGGCATTGCTTGCATTATTTTTTTCGGTCTCAAAACACATGAAACCCTATAGACTTTTTTCTATGCATAAAATAAATTGAACATATTGCTTGTTTGTTGTCTTTCATTTTAGGGGGAATAGAAAGGAGATACCAGGAATAATGTCAGCACTGGTAACCGCCATCAGTCGTCTGTGCACCCTAGCTTTCGAAGTCTACAAAAGCTGTTGGTGTTTGAAAAATGCATTGTGAACACTGTGATGCTTGTTTCTCTTCCAAACTAGTGCAAGTTTTGTGGGAATCAATATATCAAAGTGCATCATGAACGTGGTGAGCCCTTGCTAACAGGTGCAAGCTTTGTGAAGATCTGAGGCGCTACGCATGATGTCTCCTCCGACGTTGCTTGTTCTAGATACCACATAATAAACACTGTCCTCCTCAATGAGCTACTCATGAAAGTTGCAGTCTGCAAGATGTGTCAAAAGAGGCAGCCATAAACTTTGGACAAGCACGGTGGTCTCATGTCGGCTATCTCTGCAACCCGAGATTTTTGCGAAGAGGTCTACATCTTCTGTACGTCACACCTTGTCAGAAGCGCTTGTGAAGTGAATATTTGGGCTCATATACCCAACAAAGTAAGAAAAAAAGAGTGAGGATGTAGGCTCCGGCTTTAAGTGTCACGCCAAGTGTGTTTTGTGATGTGACCACGATCCGCATGTACGACGCCCGGATAAAAAAGGCAAACTTTCAAGCCCCTGCCGAAAAACAAAAAAACAAAAAAAAAGGATCAAGGCAAGTAAGTGCTTGGGGAGACTTCCCAAGGCAATGCAATTAAAATAATACAGAAGACTATGCACCAGGCACATTATAGGATTGTGATTGAGCAGTCAAACTTTCAATTGCGATTTTTGAAAAACACTACTTTTGCCAAATAGGAGGACCATTTTCTCCATGACGAACACGCGTTTCTCAGAGATTTTCTTGTCAGTTGTTACTACATGCCTGTTGCATTGGCTGAACCAAATTAATTTTATATAATTGCCCTAAAGGACAAAAATTTAACCCCTATTATATGAGAGTTTATCTTGAAAGAATGATAAAAGCAATTATTATTATTGTGCTTCAAAAGAAAGCTCACACTGTTGGGAACAACTGGGAAAGATTTCAGTGGCTTAGTTAGATTAGGCATGTCTAAAATGTTCCTTAACTAGAGTAAAAAAATTGCAAAATTGTTTTTTCAGCAAGTTTAACATGTTTCAGTGTTTCTAAACTAAACTTGATATGCAGCAAGTGAAAACCCATAAAAAAAACGTCCTGGGAGGTTTAAACTTGATTTTTAAAAGGTAGCCGAGACAACGGCAAGACAAGTTAAAGGGGCGGTGCAACGATATTCAATTGGAATGTTTTTCACTTTACACGAGCTTACTGGCACTAGTGGGACTCAAGGATACTCGCACGCAACGCCACTGACCAAGAAGCTCCTTTGTTGCACTGTAATTTCGAGGACAAAACCGAGCGTTTTCATTCAATCTCTCCTTCGCAAAACCTGATGACGTAGCTGGGCGGTAGCAGTACCGCCCAGTGACGATATTTGAATGCAGCTCATAGATTGGACCCGAGCATTGCGTCGGCACTCGATTTGGGCTCGTGATAATCGATAGCTCGACAAGCATTTGGGTAGTGTCCTGTGTCCAATCGCTGCAATGACGACAACAGCCGAACCATAACAATGTCTGGAATGCAGCGTGTGTCCCGTGCCTTGCCAACCCCAGCGCATAGCTATGATCAACATTGGCGGCATATATTCGGCTCCAGATCATGTGGCCTCTTGTTCTGGCTGCGAGTTGAGGGGGTGAGCTCTGCTCGTTTTTCTTAATTTTTTTCTGCGACTTCGATTGCGTGTGGTGAAAAAGGAATGGGTATTTCACAGGTCATTAACGTCAGGGATCCGCTCTAAGCGGTATTTCCGCAAAATACAAAACTCGTTGCATCGCCCCTTTAAAGCCCCATGTCAGCCCCCAATCAGTAGACATAGTTTCAGTTTCATAGTGCTTAATTTTAGAGTAATTTCTGTATTATAAATTCGAATAAATGTTCCAATTATAGACGGTTATCATACTCAAAATTATGGGTACATTCGTTCACAATAAACTCCAATTAGGAATTCCCAATCTGGAATGTCGTTAAAGCACTCGTGACATGGCAGCACATTTGACTTTTTTAGTGCAACGAAGAGAAATTGATGAATTAGTTAAAACATGCCAATGAAACAAAAAGTACTTTCCCTTATGTCCAGTACAAAAACTCTATACATACTCTAGAAATAGCACACAAAATCATATTTTTCCTAGCTATACTTTCACCTAATATTTTATCTAGATGTCACCTATACCCCATGGTGTCCACATTAATTCTCACTGATTTGTGTGGTATACTACAGGAGAAAGAAAGGAAGTACAATAACGAAATCGACACAAATATGAAGAGCAACTTGGAAAACCTGAGACTTTCATTACTCGCCAGCACCACTCAACAATGTAAGAGCAAGTAATAGAGTTTGATCAGCAAAAGGCGCAAGTTGTCGTGTGGTTCGCCAGACATGAATCGGCCCTTAAAGTACAGCGTCTAACCAGGCAAACATATGAAATCAATCCACCTGGCAGGAGCATTATCACAAACTTTTGGAGACTGGCGGCGTGCAGAGGGTGTAAGGCAGTGGGACGAAGGCTTTGGCAGCAGAATTAAATTACCCACCAGCGCCATTACCTAGGTGGAGCTGGAAGATAGTGACATGGACGGATAAGGACACCGTCAATTTGAAATGCAGACAACGCGAGTTGCTCTTCATACTGCATGGTGTCGGTCTTCTTATCATACCTCGTTTCTTTTTTTCTAACACACCGCACAATTAGGTGAAAAGCCATAAAGGCATCCTGTATTTAACACCACCTCTCCAACGCTTTTACTCATTATTCCATATTGCAAAGGTCCTCACTTTTCCTGTTCAATAAAAACCAATCTAAAAAAAATCCCATGGAAACAGGCTTTCACGCATTTAATCCATTATCATGTCGCACGGAAATTAAGAACAATATGTACAAGGCTGTCGCCAGGGAAATGTGTTCCAACAGCACACTCGTGTTAACGAACGCGACCGACTGCTCAGTTGGCAGCTGTTCACAGCAAAAGCTTGGCAGAGACCAGCTTTGTCAAGTGGAAAGAACTTAATTTCTGGAATGGAAAACAATTTTCAGCCTACATTACAACATCTTACGCCCAGTAATTCAGCCTTCAATCTTTGGTTCGATTAGAAGAAAGAAAAATAATTCTCTGATTGTCTTCGATTGACAGGATAGTGGGTAGACTTCAATCCTAGAAATAGTGGGTAGACCTTGAGGTCTACCCACTATTTCTTTTTTTTTTTTTCAACCAGCCAATAAGAACTTGGCATTCTGACATCATTGCAACTCCTGTTCAAGAACACAAACTTGCACTCCACACAGTATGCTGCAACATAAGAGTGGAGAAGCCTTGCTTATAAAGCTCTGCTCAACACAATTGGTGGTTTCTTCTCTGGTGAGGTGGAAAGAGTAGAGGTCTTTGTGGAGGGGCTTGTCCTGCTATTCTGTGCACCCCAATCATGTAAAAGCTGCACATACCCTATACCCTAAGGCTTGTTAGAAATCCGAAGGATCAATAACATAACAAATCAAATGCAACAAACCACAAAATACACTTTAAAAAAAAAGAAATGGGTTTTGAGAAGTATTTGCTCACAATGTTCCCTAAAGCAAAGTAATTGAAATTCGATTAATGTCACCTCCGAATCCCCACCAGCTTTGAAAATGACGCCCAAATGTCACTCGCTCCCACCCAGTCCGAGCCATCTCAGAACATTCAGAACAGAGTTGCTTGCCTTGGGCTGCCCCTTGACCAGGTCTGAAGAGTGGGTCCACTGCTCTGTCTGACTGCTCGGAGACAGCAGCTGATCTTCCATTACTGCGAGGAAGTCAAAGACGTTCGTCAAACACCACAAACGTTAAAAAAAAAAAAAAGGGGGGGGGGGGGGTTGATTTTAGGCAGATGTTTGAATGACATTTCTTGGCCCGCGAGCGTGTTATCGATTCGTAATAACGACGCGTGCAAGGAAAACGACGAGCAAACGCTAAAAACTCGGCCCTGAGGACGCAGTCTGTCAAAAAACAGCGCGAAGACTGTAGGCGAAGCTCGCTGCCACACCGAACAACAGCGAGAACGGCGGCTCGGAGCATGATTCACGATGCGCCAGCAGCGTACAGAGACTATCAACAGATGTCATCGACAAAGAGAAGAATCGGGCAGATGCACGTCTGCGAGCGAACAGTTTGCGGCAATAACGCCAGCCTGGAAAGCAGACATCGCTTTCACGCGTTAACACAGTCAAAACTTTGAAATAAAAAAAATAAAAAAATCAGGAAGAACTGAGAAGTAAAAGTTCCCCCCGAAAGCCAATACACAAACAGGAAAAACAAACGAGGTACTACACAGCTCGATACCTATATGCGGCGCACAACTTTTTTTTCTTTTTCTGCACTGGCTAGCGAAACGGAAGCCGCGAAGAAACAGACCCGTCGTCCGTGCGGCGCCGAAGTATCACGAGCCAACGCAGGCATACCGCCCCAAACCAATCCTGAAATCTGTTTAAAAACACAAAAGCGTGCTTCGCCAAAGCAGCTAGTCTCCCAAATATCCAGTCAGGGCTAAGCTGATTCGTGTTTCCTTTGTGGGAATCGCTGTAGGGCTTGGAAATCAGAGAAACGCGGCAGCGGGCAACAGTTTCAGCCGAGGTATCGGCGAAAACGTTGCTCCATCTTTTCCGTACCTCAGGCGTTCGGAGGCCGCAATTTACACCACATCCGGAGAAACACAGCGGCGGCAGCGTTCGATTAACATCTCGTCGCTTCGGTGCCTCTGGCATACAATACCAAGCCCCCTGCGGACGCGAGCAAAGCGGCGCGCCTTACCTGGTTTTTCTTGGAAGACATAGCCGACTTGAAATTCAGCCGAATGCGACGCTGAGAGTGAGCAAAATTATTGTCAATCCGAAGCGAACATCTCCCACCCTTCCGCCATACCAAGCTCACGAACACAATAGCCTCGTTTACTGTTTTTTGTCCTTTTGATTTTATTTCTTTCCGCTTTCCGCCGCGAGCTGCCGCTCGTTTATTACCTGGCGTCGAGAGTACGCGGCGTCGTAGAACTGATGTCAAGATTAGTCAAGATGTAATATTGCCAAGGTGAAATAATTGGAACTTTAAATAAGCGACAAGTAACTGTGACGTAATTAGTTTTTAAAGTAACAAATATAGTCACGTGAGTGACAGGAGCTCACTCAAGCTCACTCTCGAGTCACAGGAGTCAAATGGCCGAACGCCGCGCACCCCGCGCACGTCGCGCTCGCGAAAGGTGAGCGACGCCAGCCGAAAGCTGCGGCAGCCGACAGAATAAAAAAAAAAAAAAAAAAATATACGACGCGTGTGTTCAGCAGGCGTATTGCATCACTGGAAGAGTGCTGCGCTCATTCTAAAGATACCTGCCTAGAGTTTCACTTTGTGAGCGTTACAAAAGCGTTTCGACAATCGCGAGGAGTTGCGAAGTCTGCTGCCGGGGTCGAAATAGGAGGTAGGCAATTTCGCGGATGCTCTCTTACCTAACGGCGTACGCCGCCAGGAAGAGAACGACCGAATCGGCTCAAAAGCTATGTTTAGAAAGTGATGTATAGTATTCCTTCGGCATCGATCGTCTCCCAGCCGCACATGTCGCCGTGATCTGTGTACTCTTTCAGCATTTGGAGCGTAACATAGCTTGGATGTCAGGTGAATGAGGCGGCAGACGGTATGGGAGGGAGCGTTTCTGCGCGCGAAGTAGAGCTCGCTTCCGTGAACGAGATGGAACGCTCACCTCCCTTCAGAGCGATTAACAGGTGGTTGGGACAGACTCGCGCGAGCTTTCTCGGCGGGTGTACTCATACTCTGACGTGTAAACTCCCCGAGGTAGCCGCTGACGACGGGAACCTGGGTTGCTTTTGTTTGCAGGTGCTCACCCAATTCCGCAGGCGACGACAAAACGCGACATGAAAACAGTCTTCGTCACCGTGGGCACAACGTCATTCGATGACCTAATTGACACCATCATCTCGTCGGACGTTCTTAACGTAAGGACTTACACGCGTACATCGCTGTCAAACAAACTATACATACTTTCCTTTTTTTTTGCAGGTCTTGAAATCTCAGGGGTACACCAAAATACTCCTTCAAGTTGGGAAAGGCAACACTCCAAAGGTGGACAGTTACGTGGAACCGTCCGTGGAGAGCTACAACTTTAAAGATTCCATTACAAGAGACATAAATGAAGCCTCTTTGGTGATCAGCCATGCAGGTATATATGCTTAAGCCATCAAACAATATTCTATCACCAACAAACCCTTAACATGTATGCATACAAATGTGTCGGAGAAATATGTGAGGAGTGACGCAAACAAGTCGGACTGACATTCTACCACTCAAAATCCCATACACATTTCCGGATTATCAGCGGCTATACATCGGAACAATTGCCAAATGTGAAGGAGGATACATTACCTAGAAACAAGCATCCTGGTTTCATGTGCGTCGGCATCTGCTTTGCAGGAGCAGGCAGCATTCTGCAAGCACTGAGAGCTGGAAAGAAACTGATAGCGGTGGTGAATGAGTCGTTGCTGAGCAATCACCAGAGTGAGCTTGCCAGCCAGTTGCACAAGGAGGGCTACCTCCTTTGCTGCACTTGTGGGTAAGTCATTCTTCTTTTCTTGAGAACGGGCTGGCGTGCACCCACACTGCAGCGTTTGCGACACTGCCAGTTGCTGGAACAATGTCGCTTCGTCCCCTCACCTTCCTTGGGGCTGTCTCAGCAAATAATTAGGCCGTAGACTCTGGCTTCTACTGAAAAACTCAGTAGAAACGCCTGTCAATATAAAAAAACAAAAAAAATTTGGTTTAAGTTGAAAATTTGTTGGCATCAAAAATACAAAATCAGTTCAAGCCAAAAAAAACTTTTTTGAAGTATTTGTCCCAGCTAGGACTTGTTTTTGTCGAAAGCCTGCGACTTAAAGGGGCACTGAAGTCAATTTTCGAAAAGTTCGTTTTTGATCTTATATTGTTTAAAATATGTTAGTTCTCACATTTACCAAGTCCTATATTACAAAACCGCCTATTCATCTCGGGGCAAGAGAAAAACATGTAGGCTCTTTTTTCTCGCGGACTACACTGTGTGGACTAATGAAAGCCCTACACGCAGATTCCGAATGATTTTATTATAACTCGTTTCGAAGAGTCTTATAGGTACACATTCGAATAAGACTCCTCTTTTTCACCGCGGGCGAAGCCATCGCTTGTAACTTGCCGACAAGCGCCCTTTGTCGACCACTTCACTTGGAAACAAAATTCTTCCCAAAAAGGGCGTGTTGCGATCTTTGAACATGCTTTTAACGAGGAAATAAGCTATGCACAATTGTGATTTCGGGCTTGTTGGGATGCTTAGAGCATATAGATAGAGTTGTCACCACAAAAGGACGATCTCAGAATCGACTTCAGTGCCCCTTTAAGGTTAAGTGCCTTGAAACCTCTTAAAATCTCTTACGACGAGAGGACACACTGGCGCCATCTATTGGATTGCAGTGGAAAAAACAAAACAAAAAACTAAAACTTTTACCTGTGTCGGCAATCTGAACTTTTGCTGACCCCCGTCTCGAAAGCGGTTCGGTACCGCCAACTAACTGACAAAGTAAACTTGGCGGTCCCATATATTTCCTATTTATCTCGCGCATCATGTTTGGGACGTCTCTTGAAAGAGGCGTCCTAAATGTTTGTAATCCCCTGGATAACATAGGATAAACATGCTGACGGCATAATACCTAAACAAAGGTCTCCTTTTTTTTTTCTTTTTTTTAGTTTGTGACCTTATAATTTTGCTGTCATTGCAGTTGTGATCAGTGAATTCCCTGGTTCAAGCGCACTGACCGTAATGTATTGTTTCAACGTTTGGGAAAACAAAATGGGGCTTACAAAATGTATTATGTCGTCAACCTCCGTAGGCTGCAGGTCCGTCAGAGGTGCCACTGTCGTCATTTGCAACTACTTCCAATGGCTTTCGAAGGAACCAGCACTAGCTAGCCTTTGTCGTATTTGCTAATACTACGTAGGGTCTTAGAAGAGAACTGCACGAATAGTTAGAAAAATTTATCCACTCACCAGCTCTGGTCACTTGTTGAGTGGATAAATTTTTATTTATCCACTTGACACCAGCTATTGACATGTAAGGGCACCAGGGCGCACAGGTGAGATTAATGAGGTGCACCCAGAGGTTTCGGAGGCAATGGTACTTGCTTTTTCTGAAGAGCTCGGGAGAGGAGAGGGGGGGGGGGGGGGGGGGGGGTTTGATGAGTTTCGACATCTTCAGGATCTCTTGCGCTGAGCCGCAACACCTTTCAGTTTCCTCGCGGTAAAAAAGAGGCCTCTTAGCACCTCCTTACTGAAGCCAACCCTCATCTTTTCAAAGCCGTTTGGAAAAAGATGTACTTTGCCGATACAAGGCATAACCTTCGTCACATTTTCACAGTAACTTCCCCAAGCCTTTCTAATGCAGTCAGCGTGCACAGGACCCTTCGGTGTGTCGAAGCCAGTGTCTAACAATCGATTTAACAAACATTTTACCAAAAATAAAAAAAAAAATAAAAATGTAGATTATGATTGTTATCAGCTGGGCGGGGTCACTTGCACCTGATGCTTGTGGTAGAGCCTGCATTACATGAAGAAGAGTCTCTTTGTCACTCCTTTTAATGTTGCGGGACCATGTCTCACGCCGATTGAACTCGAGAGGGGCACGAAAAAGGAAACGGGCTTCTTTGCAGGACCGTTCGCCACTGTTGCACCCCGGCACAAAACAAGTCCTGTCTCTCTTGTCCCACCGTCTCTCCGTCATTGCACACGTTGTCTACATGCCAATCAATGGCACCGATGGAAATCAAATTCACTCAATCATTAGAGAAAAAAACACTGCAGCAAAACAATGTGTTGATGCGAATCACACGAGCACAAACAGTACGACAACTCGACAATTTGAGCGGGAAGGAGCACGCCTTTTACCCGCAGCGCCCCCTGCTGTCCTTATGCGCCGTCATCGCTGCGCCAACCTCCTTCCTTTGTTGCTTCTCGGCGTGGATGACACACTGCCCAGTTCTAGTACACCAGAGTTGTGTCTACATTTGTTTGCTGGCGGACATGATCCTGGGGAAACTAGCTAGCCCTTAACAGCTCCGCTGTAGAATTAATAAACACAAAAACATCTGCAGACTTCCCTTTTAGATAAACACCAGAAAATTATGGCTCATGAATAGAACTGCTCGGTCTGAATAATTGAGTGAATATTACAGGGAAGCTGAAGCACTTTTTAAGAAATCCGACTTAAGTTATCTTGGGGAGAAGTCAACATAAACCACATTTATATTGAAAAAGATGTTCAGCGATTGCCGCCGGGCGTGTGGCGATTCTCTCTGCTGCCTGGTATCTGTCCAGAGCGTTGTGACGTCATTGACAGCACCCTCGAACCAACTTAGTGGCGAGCAAGGGTCATCTGACCCCGCTGATGACGTCACTTTTGATAGTTTCTTTCTCCGCTCTCGCGCTTTCCTATTGTCAATGTGCCGCAATGGCCGGGTCTACGTCAAAATATTAATTGGCTATTACGACGCTCCTACTAAGATCAAAATAAAACTTGACATATAGTTTTTAAGGTGTCTACAGTTTTACTGTCTGTTCGAATTCAATGATCTCTTCAGCTTCCCTTTAAAGGGGCACTGACACCCCAAAGGTCGTATTTATTTTTATTGTCTAAAACGATGCAAGTTGCAGTCAAAGACACGCAAAAAAAACCGCATCGCGAAAAAAAATTTTCCCGCGCGCGCGCGCGCCTTTTTATTTTTGGCGTTTGATTTTCCCGCCTCTCGCCTCCTCGCTTCTTTTGATCGGTGACGTCAAAAATCAGGAAATTTAGAAGCTTTGTAGGCGACATCTCTATAACATTTAATTACGGCAATCCTAAAACATGTTTTTTAACGCAATTGCGAACGCACTACGGCCCTTCTTTTTGAAATACCAAAAATCGGGAGTTCGTTGTGGTGCCGTCTCCTGGATTTGTATCCTCCAACGGAAAACAGGCGACACCGCTCAAAACCGGTCCGCCGCAACGCCGCCGCGCACTCCTTTCCTCCTCGCTTTGGGTCGCCATGGCAACAGCAAGGAGTGGTGAAAGGAAGTCGACTCTCAGGTCTCCGCAATTTTTGACGTCAAGGCACCGGCGCCGACCGCGCGGGAACTTCGAATTCGGCATTTGGAAATTGTTTTTTTACTTCACAAATACTGAATTCCCAAATTTCAAATTTTGAGGGTAATGTCCCGGCATCGTTTTCAATCGTTTCGGATAATAAAAAAAAATATGATTTTGATGTGTCAGTGCCCCTTTAAGCAAATAGCATAACATTGGCCCATGTGCATTTTACCCAGTTAGCTCTCAAACCCTCCTTTATACTAGACACGCTGGCTCAGTTAGCTTTGGTCAGTCATTGTTTTTTTTAAAGAAATTAATTGTTTCGAGTAATTTTTTGGAGTATGTTGATGTGCCCAAACAGTTTCCCATGCCAAAAGTCTCAATTTGCAGAGGTTTGCAAACTCTTAAAGCTCTTCACATTATGAACTCTGGCACGAGATTCTTTGGGCACAGCATCCAATTTTCCGATGGTTCGGTTGCCTCTTTCTTGGCCAATGGTTCCGCCTCCGAGTTTTGTGTTCAGGCATTAGTTTGAGTATAATGCTTCTGTTAGCACATACCATTTCTAAGCTCGAGGTTTTCATACAACATTGTAAACATTAACATTAATAAAAATGTTTTATACACATGAACATTGTTTGTACAATGTTGCAAACATTAAGGGACGATATGCATGCAGGTTGAAAAAGGAAAATCAAGACGGTTTAAATCGCACTAGCTTTACTATTAGCATGCTTTAAATCAAACCTTTTCTGCAAAAATAATTCTGAAAATATATTTTTTCATTTATTCGGTACTTAAGTCAAGGAGTCATCAAACAAGAGAGATTTATATCAGGCTGAACATGAACACAAAGCAGTTATCTTCCGAGCAAATCGGAACGTTGAGCTTTGTACCATCCACTTCATTCGTCAACTAGTACTTCACGTCCTACTGCAAGTAAATAACATGAAAGAAACTACTAACACTTGAGAAGTAATGTCTTATTGCAAGAAAATCTAAATGCAAAAAAAGAAAATAAAGCTTTCACTTACTAAAATATATTAGACTATTTTTGTCCTACCATGGCCAGTTTTCTGGGTTTTTTTTAGTATTTACATACATTAAAATCTACTATAGTTATGGGAAGTGCTCATTTGGTGGCGTACTGACCCAAATGGTCAATTTTGATGTTTGCAAGTAACCTTTCAGAGTGAAATGCGAAAAAGCACCTAAGTAATGTTTGCACTAGCAGTGTTGTGCAGCTTACCTATGCTCCCAGCATCCTCTTTGGTTCTTGTATGGTTCGGCAAGATATATTGTAAAAAACGCATGCCGACACAATTCACTCTCCAAGCAGGACAGGACTAACCTAAATTCAAGCGTGTACCAAAGTGAGGTCTGGAACACAGCACGCCACAAATCTCGCCAATGCAGGGAACTGCAGAAGACGCTCGAGGAGATGGAACCCAGCCGGCTCAGAACCTTCCCAGAAGCCAACCTGAGCCGATTCCCACAACTTCTCGATGGCATCATGGGCTGGTCGGCATAGAAACCGTGCCGCCGTTTGTCCAGAGTCTCGTGGGCTGGTCACAGAAGCTCCAGTTGTGTTCATTTCTACACTTCGCAGGCAACAACGAGCCAAGAGTGACAGGCTATGACCAGCTGTACCCTTCATTTTTCTAACGCAATTGTCGTTTGCTGCAATACTATTGATTGGCCGAAAGAAGCTCGGGGCATGCAGTCAGGCCTGCCATTTTTCGCTTGTCAGAAACCGACGATATTATCCCTCCTTTATAAGCGAAAACAATGTCTGCAATGAGGTGAATTGAACGACGCTTTTAAGACTTATTTATGTTAGGTTTGGTCAATCTAGATGTTTTAGATATATTACGAGTCATTAAAATGAACATATCCATTGCTCGCAGAGTTCTCCTCTCCGAGTTGTACGTATTTGGACTGTCCCATAAAGAGTGTTAATAAACTCCTTCAAACTACTGTGTTCTGTCTGTTACGCTATAAGCAGGTATTTAATCGTGAAAAATATCCAGACCTATATGCGTCAGTCGCTGGGAAAAGTCGATGGAATGGGAAGTTGCAGAGTGTGTGCAAGTAGTACAGTCTAAATTGGTTAGAACAGACCTTGATAGTGACCAAGATTTCTGTCTGTTGTAAAAGGAGTATGCTGTATGCAGACGCAAAGTTGAACCAACGGTACAGGTAGGAAAACTAACCAAATTTCACAAAGCAGTATGTTATATCCAGATGTCTGCTGCAACCAGGTCTGTTGTAACAAGCTTATACTGTAGCGGTTCAAATTAACTATGCTGCATCAGCGTGGGCACTGGTCCTATTGCCTTTGTGATGGAAGCAGTGCCCAAAATATAGCGACCAACAATACTGCTAGGTGGTGTTCTGTAAACGGCCTATCGTAACACTAAAGTCGCACTTCCTTGTCGTAAATTAAAAAAATTTGTAATGCAACTGAAAAAAAAAAAAAAAGAAGATGGCTTACATTGACACATTATTTACAGACAAACCAAATTTAGCCCACACCTTGGTAACTGGTTTATTATTCTAAGTAACCAGCTCCTTTATTAACCAAGAACAAAATTTAAAGGTTTTCAATGGCCTTCAGATTACACTTTCAAATACGAGAGTTTTCAAGGACTCTAACAAGCCCTGTATTGCATATCTAGATGTTCTACCGGGGTTCTCCCGACGCAGTACCCTCATACTTGTCCCCTAAAAGGCGAGACATTACAGAATGGTCGGGGGAAGCTGCTACAAATGTGTAAGGATGTGTAGGACACTCCACTTTTCCTTAGTAAAATGTATCGATTTGTTTCTGAAACACTTTTAAGTTCCGACTGAGCGGCGGTTCTTATCGTTGGAAATATTGAAAAGGTTGGAAGAGATGGGATCGGCAGTTTTATCCTTTCGGCCTTAAAAAGGGTGGACACCGGTGCAGTTGGAACACACAATATGGTTGCAGGAAAGTTTGAATGGGGTTTTGAGAAGCATATATATGTTTTTGTTTGTCCATGAGATAGGTCATCTCCATAGCAGGTGTGGTACTCTTTATTCCAGATGTGATGTTAGCTGTCGAGGTAAGACTTTTCAAATCTGCACAAATCCTATTAGAATATCTACTGCAATAAAGCCTCGCACAAAGGTATACATCCCAGAAACGCACCAATCGTGAAAAAAAAAATTGAGCCGTCCCGCGCGACTCCACATAGTAGAGAAGTATAGAACAGGTTGTCAACGTCGGTGGCGACGCCGAAGCTTCGCACGTTGCGGACTTGGGTTTGATTCTTGCAGGTGGCAGGCTATCTTTCTCGAGGATTTGGCAACGACGACGGAGGATGCCCTACAACAACATCTAATAGTACAACTACAACAACAGACGTCATTTCCAGCAGTGGGAAGAGCTCATACAAGCTGTTGCTGTAAAACAACACCGGACCTCTCGGTCATGTGAAGCGACCTTATAATGGAAATTCCACAGTTTATTTTCGCAAGCTGGCAAGTTACAAGTTATGCACACGTAATCGGACACGAGCACAAAAACGATGTTACCCGTTCTGATTACAAAAACAGTGTTTGCCGTGCAGCAAAAGATTGGTACGCAAGCTGAGGCAGTTTGCACCTCCGTATCAATAAAACAATCTTGTGCTCGATATCCTTCAAATTGCAACAGCAACGAAACTTTTAAACAAATTAAAACTGAAGGATGTGGTGGGACCCTGTCCCATCAAGAAACAAACGAGTGGCCGAGGGATCAGCTGAACTGGCAGGCCGCCAGACGCTCCAGTGTGTGCCGGTACTCCAGCTCCAGCTCCCGGTACTGGCTCTCGAGTTGCTCGATCCGGTTCTGAGCATTCAGGCACTGCATTGTTGCCTCAAACTCTTCCGGCGACATGGTCCGTCGCAGCTTCTCCACGTCCGCCTTCTGCCTCTGCGTTGCAACGGGAGCACAGGCTGCGTGTGACGCTCGCTCTATGACAGGTTCTCGAAATCCGTCCTAGTACCGGGCCGGGTTTGGCATGCCAGCCCTGGCTGCACCGCTGGACGTACTACTGCTGGTACTATGCAAAACATTTCGTGCGACGCCGGCTAAACTTTACTAACAAAGTCTACGCACCACACAGAAAGAAAACACTGATGCCATACTATTTCCCACTGCCAAGGGGTCAATTTAGAGAGGTACAGTAGAACACCAATGACACGTTTTTCGGGGGACTGCAGTAAAAAAGATGCACAATTCGGGAAAACTTGGCGACCGATAATACTTTTGGAAGACTCTAGATGAGACGGGCAGCAACTTTTGCTCTGTAATTTACTTTCTGTGGCTGCAGAGGACTACCATATTTATTAAAATATAGGAACTCCCGTTTCAGAACCGTAAAATTATGGGTCGATCTACCGTAATATCCCGAGTCATCGCCCACCCCCCTACCGCCTGAAATTCGTTAAAAAAGTGGGGTGGGCCATGTCTCGGTGGGTGAGCACAAACACTTGAAAAAAAGCGGAAAAAACCGCCTATTTTTCTCAGCGTATCTAGCGCTGATGCACAAGAGACACATCAAACTCAAAACTCGATTTAGTTTCATTGTTTTATAGAAAAAATGCTCACGAAAGAATATTTTACTATAGCGAAGTCCGTTGCTTGCATACGCGCTAGAAACACCGCCGATCTGCATATAGCGCGAACGTTTGTTCCGTGAAAGAATGTCACCATTATGTTCTCCTAGTTAGTAATAGTAAAAAAGACAGAAAGAAAAGTCTACAAGAAAATAGAAAAACCGACCAGGCGCAACGAGCGAGCGAGCAAGGGAGCGAGCGGACCAAAGAAGCGACCAAGAGTAATGCTGGGAAAGCGGGAAAGCCGGCGGTCGCGTTGGCAAATACTTTGGCGTCGGGCCAAGTCGGGCGCCTTGTCAATTGCAAGCTCTTGCGCAACTTGTTTGGTGCGTACATACGTGCGTCCGTCCACGGCGGGCTATCAATGCACGCGGTTGGGACGCTCTGCAAACGTCTGTGTAGGACGTTCCAGCAAAGCTTTATTTACGCTTTGGCTTTGCCTAAAACATTGCACAACCGCGGTCGCGACGGGCGGGAAGAAGGAGCGGGTTCGCGGTGACCTTACTTGGGCGGAGACAGACTTCGACCTAACACTCCGCGGTTAGGTTAACAAACTCTTATTTTGTTATCTCCATCGTTTTCTTTTCGCACGGATACACGACCACTTTGGGGTCGCTCACGGAGGAAATGCGTAAACAAAAAGAAGTGTCTTTCCCTCCTTCGTTTTACTTTGTCACGGACGTCCTCCAACTGTAAGGTCCGCGACCGCGTCATTCGGGTAGGATGAGTGTTCGCGGATCACAGAGTCCGCGCTGGGGTATTTGAAGGGGTGGGCGATGACTCGGTGTTTTTTCGGAAATCGATATTGGCCCAAAAAATGGGGTGGGCGATGACTCGGGGATGGGCGATGACTCGGGATATTACGGTATAACTGCAACCAAAGAATGACGACCCATAAAAGTGAGTCAAGCTTTCCAAGTCGATCGAGCTAAGTCAGACATTAAGTCGTGTCAGCTGCTGCTCCTAACACGCCGGTGCAAAACGGTGAAGATCGACGTACGAGCCACGTCGATGCTTAGACAGGCGCACACTATGTGTGGTGCATGATTACAAACTCTGTGCAAAATGGAACTCGTTGAACCAGGGGAACCGCGCAACTGAGTACAACAGAAGTGTGTACACATGCCACAGGAAAAGGTAGAAAAATGAGCGGGCTATTGTGAAAGCCTGAATTCCTTTCAAGCCTCGTGCTCCGACACAAGTCTCTATGGGAGTTTAATAGGATGCAAGATGCGCCACTGCACTGGCGCCAAAGAAAACACACTAGAATCGCCGGTACGTCCTTACGTCATAATCGTTCGAACAGCCTACCGTTTTATTTAGCTGATTCGCACCCCATTTCAGTATCTCAGTAGAGGGAGGTTAATTTCTTTAGCCACCTCTTTTTAACGCTGTACTACATCCTTGCATCTTTTTGAAATGGGCCTATTTGATGGCTTTCGATGGTTCCCAGAAAGATTTTAATTGAAACTGCACCTTTATCTTGCTCAACAAGATATGTAGTGAAATGCTCAAATATATTTAACCATTCCATTATCTCAAACATAATGAGTCTGCCAAAGGGCCCTAAATGGGCCTTTTGGCAGAGACAAATACACTGACAAACACTTGCGACGTAACATTCAGCTCAGTTAACTTTTTTAATTGTCTTTGTAATAAAACAATTTTTCTCTCATTGACAAACCCTTTTTTCCTGTGAGATGTATAGTTTTCACAGAAAAAGTTTGGCTGGCATTCCAGAAAACACCCTGTATCGGCTTTACATGAACAAGCAAACGCAGCGCTGCGACACACTTGCCTGGTATGGTGCATTGAGCCGGTTCTTCACCTCCAGCCTGTATTTCTGGTACTGGCCGGGGTTCGCCGTGTTGGTGACGCGCAGACGGAGAATCTCGTACACTCTTCGTGCTTGTTTCTGCGAAATTCAACAGATCTTATTAGTACTACCATTTTTGCCGTTTTGTCATCCCTAGTCCTCTGCCTTGTAGCAAGTGGATAACTAACTCAAATTACTTGCCGAAAACAAGAGCATAAAAGCATAGACTGAAAAGTGCAGTTTGCATTAAACAAAACTGCCAGCCCCTACCCCGATTGTCGGCTCGCGAATACCGAGCTCTTTTACCGCAGAGCATGTGAGAGCCAATTTGCAATTTATGGAAGGAGCTCAGTGAGGGACGAGGCACTAAATGTTAGGATTTTACACAGTCAATCAATCAATCAATTCTTTATTTCACATCAGAAACTGATGTAGGCTGCAGGGGCAAAAAGTCAAAAGTTTGACTTGACAAGGCCTCTGCAGCCTTACAATTGGCACACGGCGACATACTACACATGAAGTAATAATATTAAGTTTTCAGCTTTTAACATTAAGCAAATAAATAAATAAATAAATAAAAAAAGAACCAGAAGAACAGCATAAGTTAAACACGCTGTTAAAGATAACAAAAAAATCATATATATGTATGTATATATATATATATATATATATACACATATATACATATGCATATACATACATATATATACACGCATACATACATACATACGCATCATACACACGCGCATATACACACATATATATAAGGCACATAGCATATTTAGGTACATGACAGGACTAGAAATAAAAATCGTACTACTTCAAGGATAACTGAAACATACAGAACACACGACCTCACAATACAAGCGAAATTTTAATACAGGAAAAAATTTCTAATTGTACTAAGATTCAGTCTCTCGATATTTGTTAAATTATGCTTCTGAAGTTTATTTAGAATAAATGGAAGATTATACCTTAGCATTTGGAAACCGTAATTTGTGCGATTTGTTGGCATTTTCCAATGCTCCCCCTCACGAACGTCATATACCCGGATATTTGGTGTGAGGTTTGAGATATGTGCAAGGAAAGGCTCGTTAGAACGGAGGGCTGATCTATATCGTGTTAGTAAAGTATACTCATATAGATTAGGGACAGTTATTAGACGTAGTTCTTTAAATAATGGGGGTGTATGTGTATCGAAAGGAACATTGAGTATTGTGCGAACAGCCTTTTTTTCAAGAAGGTGTAACTTGTTAACATTTGACAGAGATGTGGTACACCACACTAAATTACAGTAGTTCAAATGGGGTAAAAAAAGGGCCCTGTATATAAGCATTTTTATGTGACGAGGCAATAAATTTCTAAATTGACATAATTTCCCAAGCACTCTTGATAGTTTTTTAACAACATAATTAACGTGATAATCCCAAGACATCTGTTCATTAAAATACACTCCGAGCGTTTTGACGTTCGGCACCATTTCTATGACGGAGGGGCCCAAGATGATATTAAAAGAAAAAGAAACATGTCTATTCTTGGGTTTGAAAAGGACAGCCTTGCTTTTGGTCGTGTTAATTATTAATGAGTTAACTTCACTCCAATCATTCAGTTTCTCTAGTGAGGCATTCGTTTCTTTAACAAGGTCTTCTATCTCTGTACCTGAAAAAAATAGACTGGTATCATCGGCATAAATGATGAAGGATGGTGCTTTGCTGATATTAACAATATCGTTTATGTATAGATTAAATAACAAAGGACCTAAAATGCTACCTTGTGGTACTCCAGCTCTAATGGGTAGGACAGAAGAACTCTGTCCATTTATTACGACATATTGCTGGCGAAATTTAAAGTACGATTGTAAAAGGTTTAAAGGTACACCGCGAATTCCATAGCATTCGAGTTTTTTTATTAGGGTAGTATGGTCAATACGGTCGAACGCCTTGGAAAAATCAATGAAGACGCCTAAAGTTAACTTTTTTTCTTCAAACGACTTTAAAATTAACTCCTTCTGCTCTAGCAAAGCGAACTCCGTTGATCGACCTCTGCGAAAGCCGTACTGTGAGTCAGAAATTAATGAAAATTTAGTGCAGAAACTCGTCACTCTATTGTGAATAATCTTTTCAAGACATTTCGAAAACACAGGTAATATTGATATTGGCCTATAATTCGAAAATTCATTTTTGTTCCCTCCTTTAAACAAAACAATGACTTTTGCAGTTTGCATCTTTTTAGGAAAAATACCACTGGACAATGAGAAGTTCATAATGTGTGTTAACACAGGTAATAGAACGTCCAAAACATGCTTAATTGGTTTTATCTGCAAATCGTCTATATCACAGGAGTTGCTATTTTTAAGAGATGACATAATTAAAGTTATCTCATTTTGATCAGTTGGAAAGAAAACTGCGCTGTGTTCGTTTCTAGGCTTCATATACGTCATTGATGAAGGTATATGTATGCTACTAACAAGGTTAGTTAAATAACAATTGAAAGCTTCAGCGAGAGCTTTTCCTTGCAATGTTACCCCATCTCGTTGTATTGCGTGTATAGCTGGTTTAGAGGGACACCGTTTTAATACTTCATTTAGCCGTTTCCATACCACATCTGTTCTATCCATGCATGACTCGTTGAATAAATTATTAAGGTAGGTTTGTTTTGCCTGACGTAGAGCATTGTTCAATGTATTTCTAAATTGTTTAAAAAGAGCAAGGTCCTCAGGTGCTTTTGTTTTAAGGAAGACATTATAGAGTTTATTTTTTTTCTGAATCATTTTCCAGCACTTTCTATTTACCCAGGGCTTGCGGTTTTTTTTAAACTGTTTTATTTGTTTATACGGAAAACACTTGTCGTAAATATTTTTGAAAATATTCAAAAATTCATTGTACGCTTCATTGGCAGTTGTTGCAGAGAATACAGAGTCCCAATTAGTATTAGAAATAATTAATCGGAATTGTTCTAATGTAGTGGGATTTATACTTCGGGTCATGTTAGTAGGTTTCTTATCTTCATTAACAAGCTCAGTGGCCTGGGGCACAGTTTTGTGTATAAACATAATAATTGGCAAGTGATCACTTAGACCATAACCTAGAACACCAGCACTGATGAGACTTTCCTCGCAATTCGTCACAAACACATCAATCAATGTTGATGACGTGGTTGTGACACGAGTGGGAGGGACAATGACATTACAAAAGTTATTCGACGTAAGTAAAGTAAGAAATTCATCTCTAAGACGCGTTTGCTCTAGCAGATTTATATTCACATCTCCACCAAGAAAGAGCGTACATCCTTCCTCATTTGCAAAGTGAGGATGACATTTACATTCTCGGAATCCCAATGCAATCACATTTTCAAGCCTCATTGTAATCAGTGTCTTGTCATTCATTGCTCTCCTCCTACAAAAGGTAATGATTTGCCACAACAAGCTGTACTGAGCATGCTGCAGAAAACTACAAATGTGTTTGTCCCCCTTCACATGTTTCAGAGTCTTTTTTTTGCCTCCTCAGAATGCAAAACGTCCTGTACGAAATGCTTTGCACCACCAAAATGTGGGCTTGTTATCGAATAAGTACCGTATTTTCCGGTGTATAAGTCTCAGTATTTTTTCAAACATTTTTCTTGGTGCGACTTATACAACAATGCGACTTATTTGAGATTTTTCTTTAGGTGCAACGCCTTTTTTATTCGCTGCGCGCCATTTTTTGTAGAGCACCATAATAGCGTAGCAATAGGTGGTGTTTCTTCCTCCAGGAGGCACTGCTGTCGCCGCACTATTTCGACTCGGAATGCGAGATATTTTAATTTTTATGGTTTCCCCGAAGCGGCTCAATGTGCAAATGCAAGACAGTGAGAATAAAGCTTTTACAGCATGTTATTGATAATGCTTAATTAAGCCATGGTTCTGTATTCTTTTGCTTCAGTCCAGTAACATTGAAAAGTAAGTGGGCTGGCATACACGCCCCCCCCCCCCCCCCCCCATTGCAGAATATTTTCTCACGTATTTCTTAGTTTCCGTTTGGTGAGCAGTCTTTTTGTGTCACGCTCCAGCTGTGTTGCTACATGTAAAAGGAAGGATTGTGGCTAGCCAATCTTTTAGAGGTACCAGAAAAAAATATGTCAAGGTTTATCTTTCTGCCTGCGCATCAATGCTTGCGTCGTCTCCAGGACTTGGCCAGGCCTAGTGCTCCAAAGCTTGGTTTGCGAGTGTCTAGCTCCTTAAACTTTTGTTCACTCGGCATGCGTTCGCTCGAATAAAGTCAACTACCCTCTCATTTTGCGCATTTTACATCCTTTTGCTGCGAAACACTCGACTGCGCCGTCCAGACAGCACCATACTATGGGCATTTCTCACGAGTTGAAATGTACGTCAAACATTAAGTGTGATTTAGCAATTATGCGAAACTCTGATTTTGCAATAACAATGCGAGTAAACTGAAGAAATCATGGTGTGAACCATGCAAAGAGGTGCGACTTATATACCAACTTTTCCACGAAAACGGCTCAATATACGGATGTGCGACTTATACAAGGGTGCGACATATAGTCCCGAAACTATGGGTACTAACATGCCTACATAGATTATGTAACACCGCAAGTGTTGGTGCTGGAGGGTACCACATTTGCTTCATCGAGCGTAATGGCAGTGACTGCCCTCATGGCAATGAGAATCCCTTTCCGGTTCCGAAGTATGAGCTTTAAAATGTCCATTCCTTAGAAAATGTTTGGAGCATCGCTTTGAGTCTTAGTTTCTTTGCTCATGAAAGCACCAATATTTTTGTAATGACACTTTGTATCCATCAGCTAGCGACAGCTCAAATCTTCCGTGCAACTAGACTTCTAGAGCAGTGGTTCTCAGGGGTCCGCAAAGGCATTCTAGGTGTCCACGAAGCCCTGCCTCGTCAGTCAAGCTTGGCAATAAAAGTTGTCTTTTATCCGATTCAGAAGAAACATTCCAATTTTCGGGCACGTCTTCTCGTGTGTTTTGTGAGAAGTCTACTTTGCACCAGCCCTTAGCTATATCCACTTATTAAATCATTATCACAATTAACTTATACCTTCCTCTTCCCCCCACCACAAACAAGGTCCTCCATCATCTCCACCAATCCACAAGGAGTCCGTGAAACATCAATGGTTGAGAACCACTGTCCTAGAGTATAGCTGGCTGAAAACAGCAGCCGATTAAGCAAAGATAGAGGCACTATTTTTAGGTAACGTATGGGATGTTTTCTAGAAATTAAGAGAAACAGTCTCTTGTAGCAAGCAAAATGCTAACCTTATTCAGCTTGAACTTTTCCTGGGCCTCTTTCCTCATCTCTTCGGAGAAGCCCTTGTGTAGATGTTGCCTGCTGTAAGAGGGCAGGGTCAGGCAGTTTTTGGAATCCACAAAGTCTCGAAGCCGGATGAATGTGCTGGACGGATCTTCCACTGTAAGCAAGATTCAGGCCATCTTAAAAGGCCTGTGCAACACTCTAGGGTTGGAATGTTTCTTACTTTACACAATTGCTGGCACTAGTGGGACACAGGTACACTTGCATGCAACATCACTGACCGAGAAGCTTTCTAGTCGCCATGTAACTTCAAGGATGGAAGAGGACTCACTTTCAGTCTCTCCTTTGCAAAACCTGATGATGCAGTCATGAGGATCACAGTGTTGTGTACAAGTAGCCATTGATAGCACATGCGGCTCAGACTGCAAAGCACTCCGTGAGCACCTTATTCGGCTCATGACAACCAATGTCTTGACGAGCACTCGTGATCAATTGCTATGAGGGGAATAGTGGCCCTGTAACAATGTCTAGAACTTAATGCTTGCCCCGTGCTTTGCCAACCCCAGCGTGTGGCTATGATGAACGTTGGCGGCATATAATCGTCACCAGATCACGTGGCCACTTCCTCCGACTGCGAGTCTGAGAAAGTGAATGTTGCTCCTGCTCTAATTTTTGTCTATGATAGTCACCACGTGAAGGTAAAATAACACATGTTTTGTAGGTTATGACCATCAACGAGTAGCTCTAAGCAATATTTACCGGGAGTACAAGACTCCTTGCATCGTCCCTTTTAAGCTCTACCAAAGCCAGAAATAAGAAGCCAAGAGAAGGTACTTTACAAGGATAGCACCAGCTTTCAACATAGCTACTTTTTCCATACTACAGAATTTTCATGAGCCTCTGGGCATATCTGAAGTACCGCTGCATCAACAAAATGCCATTATGGCCCTAAAGGATTGGCCAGCTTCACAGCCTGTAACCACGATTGTCCTACAAGTTTTTGGACTTCCAGGTTCTGGTGACAATAACATTCACTAAAAATCTGAGATTGTGGTCAGGAAGAAAAGACAAAAAGCATACTCATTTGCAGATTGATCAGATGCTTATTTTCAACTGGATGCACCCGACTGACAGCAAACCAAACTTGCAAAAGGTTTTTGTGCCTTTATCTTTTTGTGTACAGCAGCCTACCATATATAATGCCAAGATAGTAGTACTTACTGAAAATGGAGATTATTTTAGCGCACTTCTGCAGTAAATGGGTTGCTCAAGCTGAATCTATGCCTTTTATATCCTGATAGTGTCTAGGGGTTTATTCTACATAAATTAACTCCACCGAGCTATTTTCCAACCGTTTGAGTCCTAACTTTCTTCTTCTCGCTCGTGTCCGGCCTGGCGCACGCTCTGCTGTCCCATTGCATTGTCCCCCGTGAGCAACAATGCCTTGATGTGCCACCCGTTGGGCAGGGTATGAACTCCGTGCCCAGCATGGTGTGTGGCGCGCGAGCGCCTATGTTCTGTGCATAGCCGTCGCACGCACAGCCCGCACCCCTCACAATCCATAAATTAAATCCGCAGGTATCAGGTATTGTGAGAGAGTATAGGTACCACGATTTAGCATTTACACCATTTTGTTAACTGTTACACTAAATAACATATAATTTTGTTTCATAAAGTAAAGTCAACATGTTTCAACCTTGATCAGCCATCGAAGTCACACCTTTGCAAAGTGATCGCTATAGTCACTGACAGAATGAAAAGGGTGTGTCTTTAGAATGCCCGGCCTCCAAGATGCGCTCCGTGCCTTCTGTCATGCCACGGCTGCGTGTGCGCTCGAAGTGCACAAAATGCCCAAGTGTTGTCAGAGGTGGGGCAACTGCTGTTCTCACGTTGTCAGCGACTGTAAATGCTTGCATAATGAGAAGCTTACCGGTGATGTCAATGACATCCCTGCGTCCTGTGTAGTAGTTGTAGATGCCCTGGAGCATTTCTGCTCCCAGCCCTTTCTTTTGGAATGGTGGAAGAATAAACATTTGGCTAAAAACAAAAAGGAAAGCATGACAACTGAATAAAAAGAGCTCTCCATATTGCATAGTTCTAGAGCATTGTCTGCTGTCTCATCCACAATCAAAAAATTTAAGAGAAAAACCGGTCTAACATATACTGCAAACGACTTATTTTTCGTGGGCTCAATATTTCGCGTTTTAGGTCAAAGCTTAAGTTTTGGAATGATTTGCGGGTTCTAATTTTCGCGATGCAGTGGGGTCCCAATATAGATTCCAATGTGTTTACATTTTACCAGAATTGTTTGCGGGACCTATTTTTCGCAATTAAGGCGATTCGCGACATTTAGGTTCTTGCGAACATTAAGTTGTTTACAGTATAGACTTTGAATACAGGTATCGCACACCTCTCAAAAAAGGAGAAGAGTGACGTCCGACAAAGTTCCCAATTGCACTTCTGAAATGTTGTCTGCTGCCTCATCCACATTCACAAAAATTAAAGACCAACATATTTAATTTGCAAAAAGGGATCTTGCACCTCTCCATCCAGTTAGAATTGCAAGGGCAACTAAAGGAATATTAGTATGTTTGTTACAGGCTAGAAAGACAACAACAAACAAAGAATCTCATGCTCAAAATGTTTCAAGAAATGTTTTTGAAAGAATTAGAAAAGAACAAGCGAAAGAACCTCAACGTTCCAGCATTGCACACTTGTTGCGCAGTGCGTGAAAAAGAGAAGAGAGCCTATAATTGTGTACTACACGGTGTGTACACCACCTTATCCTGGGCCGGATGTTGCTGGGATAGGCATAGTATCTGTAGACGGTGGCATAACCGGCGAAGGGGTAGCACACCTTGCCATTGACAAGCTTCTTTTCGTGCCTGTTCCAAAAGAATGAAGATGATCAAGTGGTCTGCCAAGTGCACGTCAACAATGAAAAACAAACAGATGCAGAATGAGCATAGAGAAGGCACACTTACAGGACAAAGTACTCCCACTTCTCATCGTCCGAGTCTATGTAAGAGGCAGCATCGATAAACCACAGAATGAAGCTCTCCATCCTGGCATGATAGTCGACGAAACCGGGAACGGTGATGTCAGCCTTGTACAGCTTAAAAGTCTGTGCCGAGGCTGTCCCTGGAGCAGAGCAGAGCCTTTTATACTGGGAGAGTTCGGCGGTTCTTTGATCCAGCCGCCAGTCTGGCAGCACTGATCAAACAGTCTGGCAACTGTGCGCCTCCGCCATGATGTGCCTTGCCGTCTAGCTTGATTGCACGTTTGCATTTAATTGCATTATAATTATAACCTTAAGATGCAAGCTTCACCTTTGTTTGGTGTAAGGCTGGTGGCGGCTGATAAAACCCGTTTGCCCTACTGACTCGAGCCGGCAGTCGGCTCGCTAGAGTCCATGGAGCGAGAGACGACGATGAAAATGATCGTTCTGCGCTGCGCTCTGCCAGACGTTAGATGAAAAAGAAATGGGGGGCTGCAGTGCCGTTGGGTGCTCAAACAACGCGAAAAAGGGGTTCAGGATGTACCGGTTCCCGCAAGGAAAAGAAAACCGCACAAGGCACAAGATCTGGGAAACCAAGAAGGGCTGACTGGAAGCCGAGTTCTCGATTGTGCGAGGTAAGTTTATGATTAACGTATGATTAACGTAACAAAATGCTTGATTTTTCGACTTTCTCCTTACGCCAACAAAAGCGCAAACAGCAAAACCTACACGCGTATACATCGCATGTCCATGGGGACCCACTCGCCGGGAGGCACATCATGGCGGAAGCGGCGCCCGCTGAGTCCGCTAGACCTAGCGGGCCGTAAGCCCCTCCCACCCGCCGAACTCTCCCAGTATAAAAGGCTCTGGAGCAGAGGTATGAGCTACAATCAGAATAGATTCTTTTCGAAATTTCGAAATGATACAAAGATTATGAGCGGCCGCCATTAGTTGCTCATGTATTGCGAGCACACATTGGACATGAGCGCTTTGTCAGCATTCGGACTGTACTCGGATCGAAACACATTCCACACGAGTGCGGCGTCAGTGCTTGACACAAACTCGGAACCAGTCACAGGCTTCACATTGGATGCGATGAGACCAACTAATGGCGGCTGTGCATAATCTAAGTATTGTTTCGCAATTTCGGAAAGGGTCTATTGTCTCAATATTGCGACCCGGTTGTCCAATTACTTCGTCGATAGTGAAATCTAGAGATTACATCAGCATATGTAATGCTCCTTCAATAAAATGTGACGGTGTCGGAAACTGGCAATGCGGTGGCATTTCTTTAAATTCTATAGAAATAGAGGTCCAGCTAGTACAAGGGGTGATCGAAAAGTTCCGGGACTGATTTTGTAGTGTAGAAAGCGAGACCAGTACAGTGAGGCGTGTGCAGCAGTCAAAGTAAAGAACCTTTGTGTTTCATTATACCAAAGGGCGTCACTCTGTGAACATTCGGAGCTGCGCTACATTAGTTTGTCTGACCACATGCACGAGCATGATGGCGATCTTTCCATACACTGCAAACCAAGGCGAGAACGAACACCAATTTTACGTCAAGCTCAGCAAACATAAAACAGAGACCTCTAAAATGATTTAGAAGGCTTATGTGAAAAAAAAAGTGGTGTGCGCGGTGTTTTGAGTGGCACTTGCGCCTCAAGAATGGGAGAACGTCACCGAAGTCAAGGAGAGGTCGGATAAAGTCGCCCTACCACTCTTCATCTTCCAGTGATGTTCTGCCGTTCCTGAAGTGCGAGTGCCACTTAAAAAACTTCGCGAAACTCACTGCTTTTTTACACAAGCCTGCTGAATCATATCGAAGGTCTCTGCTTTATATTTGTCGAGTTTGACGCGAAATTGATGTTCGCTATTGCTCTGGGTTGTAGTCTATAGTAAAATCGCCGTTGCGCCCATGCACATGGTCACAAAAACTCGTGAAACGCAGCTCCAAATGTTCACAGAACGGCGCCGTTTGGTATAGCGAGACACAAAGGTCCCTTCCTTCGACTGCTGAGCATGCATCACTGTGCTGCCCTCTCTTTTTACCCTACAAAATCAGGCCCGGAACTTTCTGATCACACCTCGTATATGAGGCCCATCTTACGTTGTCACTCCTGCGACTATCTAAAAAATGTGAGAAGAAATTCTTAAGTAAACTGCAAAACACCTATATCACAAACACAACATCAACATTTTTGTTCACATTACTTGGAAAGAGTATTTGGCCGACAACAAATTTTACCGCTTAGGATAGTGTCCCAGATGACCACTATTAGTCATGATGACAGCCTTTTAATTCTGAGCTATAAAAAAACACACAAAAAAAGGTGAGTCACTTGTTCACATTAGCACTGTCGTGTCACATACTTGTAAAACCATAAAAATAAGTATGGTTCTAGATTAAAAAAAATGCACAAAATTAAAAAAAAAAAAAAATGTGGCTTTGAGAGTCGATTTTTGTGCCTTTATTTTGTGCACCATGCATTATGTGTCTTATCTCTAGCACGGCAAAATAAGCTGTAATCCAACTTGTCCTCAATATTCACTCTTCAAAGCTTAGTATCAGATTCCAAAGCTGCTTCTTTGCACTTCTGTGTCTGATGAGAAGGCAAGATGTCCATTAGGGCTTGCTTTTCTTTACCTTTGTTGACGGTGAATGAGTGCAGGTGGGTCCCGAAAGGTCGGAAGGACGGCTCCTTGGGGAGTGTTGCCACAAAGTCATCCAGGTTGGAGAGCACACCAGGGGGCAGCTTCTCACCAATCATCTTCAAAACGTTATCCGCCTGTGGACGGGCATGGGACGGGAACCTTGGACATGTCTACAGCATGACTACAATGGGCTGAACATGCATTGAACTTTTATTTTATTAAAAAAGACCTAGATTCAGAATATCTGGTCCTTGGTACAAGTACAACACTAGTTTGGTTTGGTTCCATTTAGGACAAAAAGGGGAGACTGCTTCTTTGACACTGCAAGAGAGGAAACATCCAATTTTAAGTTGATCTCCACTTTTGTCTTAGAGGATTCCATGATGTGGAAACACAAAGTTGCCCGCAGACACGCAGTTAGGGTTCGGCGTTTTCGGTTTTTATTTTTTCAAAATTCGGCATACTTTTTTCGGCGTTTATTTTAAAATTAAATTTTTGTTTTTTTTCGGTGTATACTTCTTCCCAAAAAGGTTTGCCGTTTTTTTTTTCGGTGAATATCAAAGAAACACCATCGGACACCGGATGTGATATTTGTGATTACTCAAAGAATAACGGCCTATATAGATACGTCGTCTTCGCTACAACTTTCCGTCAGGACACACCTCAAAATCACGGAATTCGCGGGCATAATCTTTACCATGCTTCTTTTTCCTTCCCCTTCTAACGACGTGACCTCTGAGGTGATGACAGTACAGCACTCAGCGGAATAACAGAAAAAAAAATCCACTGTCGTTATGTTCTTAACAACGGTTTTCCTCGATGTCGTCTGAAGTACATGGAACGAAAATTCTTATACTAGCTCACATCCAAACTTTTTTTTTTTTTAGGACTGGGAACTTGACACACTAAGCCCGATAACAGAAAGGACACAGATGTCCCGTGAAGACCAATCCAAGACCTCTTTTGTTGAACGTTGAATCTTGGAAGAGGGCGATCACGAAGACGTCACACAATGTCGAACCTTGCAAAGCCCTTTCTCTCTCCCCCCCTCCCCCACCCATCTCGACGCGGCCCTAAAAAACTGACCTTTTTCGGTTAAAACTGAATTTTAGAAAACGGATTGGACGTAGTTTTATTGGTTTTTATCAGTTTAAATCGAACTCGCCGAACCTACAAACTGACCTTTTTCGGTTAAAACCGAATTTCTGAAAATGGATTCGGCATACTTTTATCGGTTTAAACCGAAAACTCCGAACCCAACACGTAGTATGCTCATGTGCAACTGAACCAGGTAATTTTCATCACCTTTGCATAGTCTCTAAAGGGGAAAAAGTTGAAATATGCAGACAAGTCAATTGTACGATTGAATGGAAATAAAGATTGGAAATCCGCCGAAAGACGAAATTTAGTAGCGCCGCTATTCTGGGTCTCAATATCGGTGCCTTATGCTAACCGTTACACCACACTGCCTTGTCTTTTGGCATTTCCTATCTGTTTTATGAATGTACCAAAATGAAATGTATCCAATCAAAGGAACTTGCAGGCACATGCCACGACAGGAATACATTATGACATTTTTTGGCAAGTGGTGCGTGTGCGCTCTGCTCCAAAAGCTTTTTCAAAAATTATAACACAGTGCACAAAAGACAAGAACACGGAGTAAATAATAGAAGACAGGACAAGCGCTGTCCTTCTATTTACTTTGTATCCTCGTCTTTTGTGAGCTGTGTTACAATTTTTTGAAGACATGCACCAACTAGCCCGCATTGCCACCTTAATCCAGAGGTCCTCTCACTGCTTATCCCACCAGATGTACACTGCACAACACTGTTAGAGCAAATACGACGGCAGCCCTTTTCGCATTTTATTACGAAGGAATTCTGGCGGGCATCTAACTTGACTGCTTCGTATAGTGCCCCAAATGAGCACTTTCTACTGCACTAGTGGCATTTGTGACAACTCTACGATGCTAAGAAACAGACAGCCCAAATCGACAACTGCTTCTTCACGCTAATCGTGTAGCACTGGGCACACATTGTTGGGACCGAGCTGTTGTCCGGGAACTTGGTGTACAGCAAGGAGCCGAGCCAGGGCAGGACCTCATGAGGACGCAGGAATAGCGAAGGACCAGGGAGCAGGAGGGGTGTCTTGTATAACTCTTTATACATACATATGGACAGGTTACATCAACAATGGAAGCACACTAGAGAACACTCGCTAGCAGCCGCCTGCTGCTCCTTTTATGACGTCACATTTCCCTATATCCCTAGTAGGGAATCCCTATCGTCCCTGCCTTGACCAAAACAGCGTGGTCAGTCTTCGTCACGTTCAGGCACGCCCCTTCCCTCTCCCTCACCCCCCGCCACATGCGTCACGCACATCGAGGGCCAGACGTCCTTGGTCGGTCACCGGTGCCGTCGAAGTCCGAATGGGGCAAAGATATAATTACCCCCAGGTGCAGATTCTTGGTTTCCACGCGCTAAGCAGATAATCCCATTAGCGCTCGAAGCTGGAAAAAAGGGCGCAAGGCCCCCTCCCTTGTCCAGGGCGTCCGAAGACCGTAGATGGCGCCGTGCTTCGAGGCGAGACAGAAGCAACAAGGAGAGGGGCAGGAAGTAAGGACGCGTCGGTCAACTCGATGATCCCCTCGCACTTGAGGTGCGTTGGTGTTATGTACCGGCGCCACCGGCAGGTGGACTAAGCAGCCGATGCCGCGAGCCTCGTGACAATCGCGTGCTAGCGAGAGCTTGGGCACTTGTTCCTGGACCGAGAACCGCGATGGACGCACCGTCCACACTCTAAAGCTGACAGTAAAGCTTTAGAGTCAAATCAAATCAAAGAATCAAATCAAATAAAAAAATCAAAGAGTCAAATCAAAATCAAAAGGCGACCCCAAGTCGCCTTTCGATTCAATTCCGGGCACAGCTAACCGGAGCCACGTGGCGACAATACTCAAGGCGTTCATCGGCGCCGGTCGAATCAGATAGGGAAGGTCGTTTCTTGGGGCCTTTCGCAACAATGTATGTTCTTGCTTTTGAGCTTTAAAAATGCGGCATCACAATTCGCGAGAGTCAAAACCTACGTTAAATCCCAGGCGAAAATCAGTCCACTTCCAGCTGGATTATGGAACTGGAAGTGGACTGATTTTTGCCTGGGATATATCGCGAGTCTTTTTTTGTCGTCTTTTCATGGTCCCCAAAGAAAAAATAGTTGAAATATGCCGACGGATTGACCGTACGATTGACTTGTAATAAAGGTTAGAAATCTGCCGAACGACGAAATTAGGCAGGGCCAAGATTTTAACTCTCGGTCTCCTTACTACCTTTACTGAGGCAGATTTGCGCCCATATAAACAAAAGACAAATATGGTTGCATTGGTGGCATCGAGGTTGGCACTACAGGCTCACGCGCTAACATCGGACAGTCCGATGCAGAAGGTTGTCGCTGATTTTAGTCACACGCTATGGTCGAGAGCATTCTGGACTAGAACAGACAAATGACCCCCAAGCTAGACCATATTTTCCAGGATAACTGATGAAAGATAAAGAGAAAGTGGCCAGCGGCAGGCTTTGGACCCTGCACCTCCTTGCAGGAGCCAAATACAGCATGGAAATGACTTTTGACCGTTTAAAGCAGGTTTTGTACCAGGCAAAATGTTAGTTTGGAGCAGCTACTGACGCTTTTTGAGCGGATGCTAACGTATCTGTTAGCACATCAGTTGAGTTTAATAAAAAAAAAAGAAATTGCATCACTAAATGAGTTTATCTTCGATAATTTAGGGTTCCTCTTTGATATTGAAGAGCTATATATTACCTTTTGTAATAAGACCAGATAGGACACAAAAGAAATACACATCCTTCTTTTTAGAAATAAGGCTTAAGGGTCGAAGTAGGCTCCCTTTACAATGATAATTAAAAAAAAATGGTTGCAAAAGTAATCAGCACAACACCTCAGTTGAGATAAAGCCTCTTTCCCCCTTCCCACTTTACACTTGGTAGTTTACATAGCCTGTAAATATAATTTCTGTAAAATGACGGCAAAAACCAGCATATCCTAAAAATGCCTAAAAGTATGTCCTCCCAAGTCTCATGAACCTAGCAAAATCAAGGTTCTAATATCACAAGCTGCAAAAAATGAAAGGCGCTTACACGTCTGTGTAATGCGAAGTTAGAGCGCAGATCTTGGAAAGGGGACGGTACCCTCCTCTTCCTCCTTCATGCCCTCCCCTACTCCCACAGTTTCCCTGCTAAATTTAGCTGGAAAACTAATGCCATGTGACCTTCCGCCAATTCAGTTTTCACGCTAAATTTAGCAGAGAAAATGACGTCACATGACTTTGTGTCATGTCACCCATGAACAAAATCAGTTTCTCCGAGCGAGAAAATTGACGTCACGTGACCTCAACTCCAAATTCAACTTCCCACTAAATTTAGCAGGGAAACTAAATTAGTATTGGTCACATGACGTCAATATTACCGCTAAATGTAGTGGGGTTATGCCAACGGCGACGAGGCTATACGTGGAAACGGCCCACCCCGAAACTGGAAAATATAGTCTATCTTGGAGGACTGGGAAGGAGGATCTTCCCGGGTCACAAAATATAAAATTAGCATTTTTTTCCAACTTTTTTGATCGCACATTAAAAGTTAGCCCACTTCTTACTTTCTCCCGATATGCTTTCGACTTTAGGTGGGCCATCTCTAGGGATATTACGGTAGTCTGGCTTTAAAAGCGACACTGCACTTTAGCTGGATTGGAACCAGAATTGAGTCAAAGTTTGCAGCTCTTTTGATTGACCATACTACACAGGAAGCACCCTATCATATTAATTCAAATATAGACTCGCTAGATTCACTTTTTTGTTTTGTTTTTCTTGCCTTTTCCTGGTAGAATTTTTTCTTTTAAATTAGAAACCAACAAAATTTTGGGTTTTTTTTTTTACGTGCTAAACCAATGACGGGTATCTAAACTAGAGACCAACCTACTCTGCCATACTAGGTCAACCTGCATAGTGCTGAGCCTATATTCTGAGCCCGTCACACTCACCTGGGTCGACCAATAAAGAAATTAAAATATTTTTATTGTGACCCAAGGTGACAAACAATAAAATTAAAATATATTTTTATTTTTTTGCTTTGCCCATTTTGGCACAGGTGTGGAATAATACTTTGCAAAAATGGCATTTTGGCACACAATGAAGCAGCGGCTTTTGTTCATGGCACAATATGCTGCTATTGTGCAGCACTTTCATCACTGCAAATACTCTGCTGACTGGAAATAACGCACAATGCGGCAATATGTAAATTCTAAAAGCAGTAGTAATCCATTTTTTTTTTATGCAGCACGACTCCATTTTAGTGGTTCCACTAGAAGTTTCCCTTAAAAGTTTTTTTTGGAATTAAATGCACAAACGTATGTCCTTAGCTATAACAAAAATATCCGATTAGTACAGGGCTACACTTGATGGCAGTAGAGGTGAAGAATGGGCAGATGGTTAAAAATATGATGCATAACTGGCATGGCAGGGTAAAGCTTGGCCTTACCTTGACACCATCACTCTTTTTTAAGGTGATCTTTTCGGTGTATGACATGTGAAGGTAGGTGGTGAGGGAGCATGCTGCATAGTAGAGCTGCACTTTTAGGTCTCGATAACCAAAGATGCTTTCTCTGTTCGGGCAAAAAAAGAAAAAAGTACTGTTACACGTCTTTTTAAACGAATGCTTACGACAATGCTGTCAAAATCGTAAAAGTAACTGGGAATGTTAGGCACATTTTGGCTGCACGGCGGTTTAGCAGCTAGGCCATACGGCCATACGTATGGCGCAAAGAGCTCTTGCCATTTGGGTCACCCTCTTCAGACGGTGCATGTATCACTAGGGGGCGTGCTAAGCCACTCCCCTGCCTGCATTCACACCGCTTTACAGCGACAGTCTGCGGCTGCTCAATACAAAACTATTAACTCTCTTGGCAACCCAAGCCCCGCCGTCCCCCATTGCACCTCCGAAAAGAGAGTCCCATATCATTAAGTTCAGCGAAGTTTCGTCAACAAGATTAATTTTTTTCAGTGTTAACTGTAAAAAAAGAAATGTAATAAATATTGCCAAATGCTCGGAAAAACAAAAAAAAAAAAGGATCCCCACTTTGTGGATTGAACCTGGGTCCGCTACGTATGAAGCAGACACCTTTCCACAAAGGTACGCTACCGCTTTGGAAACTCGTAACCACTTGTTTTGTAAGAGACCCACTAATTTTAGTGTCGTGCGTATAGCCATTTCCGGTCGAGGTGCACGAGCTTGTGCGTAGAAGGGGTATTCACGCGACGCTATTTTGTCGGTCGTCGTTCGCAGCGCATGCTCAGAACGATTTTCGAGTACAACTTTATCAGCCAGTTCAGAAGAAGCGAACACGGCTCGCTCGTGCACAGCTTTGATCGACGCCAGGCACGTAGCCCCCCCTGGCTGCGTGCCTGGCGTCGATCTATTCCCCCCCCCCCACACCCCCCCCCCCCGAAATCTTCCATTTTGCTGGGACCTCCTCCCTCCCCTCCCCCTCATACAGCATTTTGTCATGGGCGGCCCGCCCCCCCCCCCCCCCCCCCCACCCCTGAAACAAAATCCTGGCTACGTGCCTGATCGACACTCAAGGTTTGCGAGCACACGGGTACCCATGGCTTTGACTTCACTGTCTCCGAGGAATGCATAAGGATCCACGTGCAACATTCATTCCACAGAATCAGAATCGCAGTTCTTGGAAGATAATAAATAAAAGCTAGTTCTGAGCATGCGCTGTTGAACAAGGTCCAACAATATGGCCTCCCGTGATTACCCCTATAGCCTTACACTCTTTGTAATGAGCCGCCACAGACTAAAGTCGCCAAGCGACGTGAACGGGTGGGCTAAAGCGGCGTGAACAGGTGGGTCGGGTGGGCTAAAGCGCCCCGCAGATACACGCGCGACGAAATGTCCCTACAGCGTGCGTAATGAGTGTCTACGAGACGTTACTATCGACGAAATGTGTGTTGATGAAACTTGTATCCACGAAAAGTTTTCCATGAAACTCGGTATTCTACCGGCAGTTGTCACGTGATTTTAGGCAGCCAATGAAAGGCGACTGGCGATAGAATTTCGGGAAATTATTAGGGAATTGTAGTAGACCGTTTTTCTCCTCCGCTACGGTATCCCTGAAGAAAACGCCGCAGCTGCGCCTGCGCGCCGCCAGCCTTCTCTGCATAGTTCAAGGTCTTGTGGCGGATTACGGAGCGCTATCCGGGTGCTTAGCGGGCTGCGGGAACGGTCTACTACAATTCCCCATTCTCCCGACTCCCCGTAGGATAGACGCTACCATTATCATTGCCTGCGCAATCTTTTATCAAAAATTCTTCATAAAGAACAAAATAAAAGCACGCTACAAACCCTTCGCCGAAGATCTGGTGGGACATTTCAGGAGGAAACGCTATGTCGTCGTTTTCCAGGTCGTCTTCATTCAAAACTGCAAATGCCCACAAAACCATTCAGTCGTGGGCACGACCATGCACCTTGAGATTCGCAAAACCTACCTAGTTTGAATTCCACCACTTCATTTCCGGACAAAACATAGGCGTCGAGGACCCCTTTCGACATGAAGACGTCTGGAAGTGCGAAAGGCACGCATGACACTACGTAAACACTCGGCCTACGCAAGGGAATCGAGCAACCCGCGCATACATCATTCGAGAAGCCATGACCTTTGCTCTTTTAAAAGGTGATTGCCGTGAGAGCTAGGCGAGTGCATTTCAAAACGTACGCTACCGCGCATTCAGTGATCTTTAGATTCACGGAGGCTGCAGAACTAAAATGTAAAGGAACGGTTCTACATGTGTTACGTTGACCGGCTTTTTCGAACGAGAGTACCGTTCCGAGCGAACCGCGTTGGCACTCACGAAACGTGAAGAGTTTGACATGGCTTAGCGCTCAGATGAACCTCGATGTCCCCCAAAATCTAGATTTGTTCCGCTCAGAACACGTAATTTAAAACGCAATGTGGATATTATTGTTTGTTTTCTAGTTGTTTTTTTTCTGGAACTCGCGTACGGTACTCACCCGCCATCTTCGCGCTTGTTTTCCCGCCGAGTCACGTGACAGAAACCTCGGAAGTGACGTGTATCTTCGTTTATTATTTCGTTTATTTCTTCAAAACGAACCACTCACGAGGCGCAGCGGAGTTGGCCAATGAGAGGGCGAGATGCAGAACACTGCTTCCTCTTTCACATCATGGCCACTGAGAATGCTGAAGTGACCTTGCTCGAAGAAAAGGTAACGGCAAAGTAGCAATATTTGGCGATTGAAATGTCCAAATCTTTTGAGTTAAGTTGATTTTTAAGTTGTTATACTAGGGTTCTGATTTATTTGCTGCCTGTTTTATTTTGTTTCCCCCCTGCATTTCTTTACCTTAGGCCGGTATGGAGGATTACGGCCTCTTGAGCTTGCTCCTCACCCGTGCATCATGCGAGGTATGAAGACCGCCGCCGATGAGGCAGCTTCCCACTTGTTATATTATATTTTATGCCTGGGTTCGGTTGGTTTGTTCGACCCTGTTTGTAGCGTGAGACCGTGCCAGTTTTGTGCCAAGCTATGTGATGCCAACATCCGAGCTGTTTCGGAATTTGTGCATAGTCCAGATACGGTAGTGTGCTACACGGATGTCTGACCCCTTTACACGCAATCGTAGCGAAAGCAGGGCACTTGCCGTTATCGGTCACCGAACGCCAGCAGATTAGCGGCGTTAAACAAACGATTCTCGGACGCCTTGTGGTACACCGGTACACTGTCACGTTACGTGGTGTGTTGCAATGCTAAATCAATCTGCAGTCAGTCGCTAGCTTGACGGATCCCTGGCGCTACAGGGTCAGGGAGCCAAGTTTCAGCTGGAATGTTGAAAGTCGTGTAGTTTTAAAGCGACTGTGTTTAACAGCAGATTCTTTTTCGGATTTGAACTGTGACCAGCATCGTCTTGATTACTTTGAAAAGACAACAGCACATAATTCCTCTTTTGAAACTTTGTGCGCTGAATTGTCAGGGTTACACGAGAAAATCGTCGAGTTTCGCGTGCCTATTTCGTGCGTAAAAGTCTACAAAGGCCAAGGTGTTTGCTCTTATCTCTAAAACGTCGTTAAGCTCTTACACTTGCTGACGTGATAACAAATCTCGGGTGCGTAAAGTTGATAAGCTGGATGACTTCAAAATGATCTAACTGCGAGTACTGTAGTGGTACAAGTCAGCTTAGAACGGTTACCGCGTGTATGCTGACTTCAATTGTCTGGTTTTCATAAGATTGATTTGCTTGGTTAGATTCATATTAGATGTCATGCATTGCCTCACAGCCGTATTTGCATACACACAGTGCTAGTTCAATTAGTGCCGACGCCAGGACACATATATATATATATATATTATTGCGGTCTTTAGACTAGTTCTTGATATTCCATAATTTTCGGCTTAGTATTTGTAAATGTGCAAGCCCTGCTTGTCAAGGACATTTCAAGAACTTGAGGCAGGGTCATCAAACTTCAACTCAGTACTTTGGAATTTACAAGCTTGAATTCTGTGCATGAACAGACGGATGGAAACTGCAACAACCACGTGGTGTATGTTAAATGGCTATATACTGTAAACGACTAAATTTTCGCGAGGACCTAATTTTCGCGAATCACCCACAATTCGCGAAAAATACGTCCTGCAAACAATTCACGCAATATGTCAACGCTACGGAAGCTACACTCGATTCGCGAAAATTAGAACCTGCGAAATCATTTAAGATTTTCAGCTTTGGCCCGATTCGCGAAAATATGAGCCCGCGAAAATTAAGTCGTTTACAGTATGTTGCCTAATTGCTCAAGTAACTTGAGACAAAACTAAATAAACTCAACAAAATCAAGACCAACAGAATCTTATGTATGCGTGAAAACTACAAAGCGATTTTCTTAATTTGACTTCTTGAGACTCAAGATAAATTCCTTGCCTTCCTAAAGCATGTAAAAGGTATCAGCTTTTGTTTACACACTCCAGTTAAAAAAAAAAAAAATCAAGAAGGTATATAAAAGGTGTATATTTCCTTTAATAGGTTCATATTTACTTTTCATCACAGCTATTTCTTTTTTTTTTTTTTCTTGTGATCTCTGACAGTCACATTTTATCACGCCTTAGAATTGGCAAAAGAGAAAAGAAGTTTATTTCAACATCTTGTAAACCCTGAGATGGGGAACGATAAAAAAACGGACGAACAACAAACGGACGAACACAACGAGATTTTGTTGTGTTCGTCCGGTTTTTTTTATCGTTCCCCATCTCAGGGTTTACAAGATGTCGATTGATTACCAGCTCGCCTGCACTCTCTCACTGCTTACAAGTTTATTTATAAGGATGACCCAATGAAATAATCTCATGACTGGGGGAGTAGGACATTCCTGTTGTCCACTGCTAGATTCTTTTGCATGGTTTCCTTCAAAGATGAGAGCCACAGTTAATTTTGTTTATAGAAAGTGAAACCATGTTTTCACTCTGCCATTATCCAACTGGCTGAATTATTGTTTTGTAGCTTGTTCTCCCCAAATAATTGAAGATGTTGAATAATCGTTGGTTTTTCAATGTAACCCAGCTCACCGACGCATCCGCTTTTGCAGGGAAGCCAATATGTCCGACGGGCCGACACCGACAGGTTGCAAGATGTGTTTAACAAGGTAAGATAGTCTTCTTTGCATATTGCATAGTGTGTGTGACATTGGAACTGTGTGCTCCCTTTTCCAGTACGCCAGCATCGAGAAGAATGAAAACAAGTTTATGACCTCGACCGATTTTGTGCGAGGGTTCTTGGGTCTCTATGAAGGTCCGCAGTACAATCAGGAGGCAGTCAATATCCTGGGGAGTATACTCGATACCTCCAAAGATGGGTAAGTCATTCAAAAGATGAAAAAAAAAAAAATAATAAAAAAAAAAACATTAAAGAAGGGTAAAGTGTTTTTAATTTTTCGACCGAATGATGTAGACTTTTTTGCGGATTAATGTAAGTGCAAAAAAAGATCTAAATTTGTGTTTCATATATTTTCACACCAGTTGTACAATTTGTGAAGACACCTAAGGTAAAAACGAGTCTCAATGAAGAGCTGCCTCCTTTTTGACATCTTATTGGGCAGTAATGTACATAATATAATAGCTTTTTAGTGTTGCACTGGTCTCTTAAATGAATGGTGTGCGCCAGTTCATATAGAAGATTATGTTGGCCAGTAAAGAGGAATAGATTGAAAAGTTTGTTGGATAGGCAAGTCTTGAAACAAGTGAAGCTAGTTTCTTTTATAACTTCAATTTGCACACTTTGCATATCTTGGTAAGTGCTGGCCAGTGTTGTGAAGTTCAGAAGAGAACTAGGCTTTAATCTGTTATACAGAATATTTTGACGGAATTTACTTTTCTTCTTTGCTAGTTTTCCACAATTGCTGTATGTGGGACCGTGAGCATTGCAGACAGGTGGTGCAGCACTACTAGACCTATTAAACAAATTTTAGGCCATAAAATTTGAAGGCACTTGAGTTCTGAAGTATTGACATAATCAGCTTTTGAGCGATGCAACAATCAAAATCATAAGCTCCAGAAATGTGTCATTGTCCTTCTTTTTCATGGTTCATTTTTTGCCAATTTTTATTTCGAATAGTTGCAACAGAGTTTCTTAGGTCCTGATAATATTAGAAAAAAACAAAAACAATTGGGTATTTATAAAAAAAGCAATTAAAACATTGCATCTTGAAATTATGATTAAAGTTAGGTATTTCTAAAATAACCAACCCAGTGTCATGTTCTCCTTGTACGTGTTCAATTATAGACTCATCTCCTTCACGGAATTTCAAGCTTTTGAAGGTGTTCTCTGCCAGCCTGATGCACTTTACAAGACAGCTTTCCAGATGTTTGACACCAATGGTTCTGGCTCCATTACTCACGGTGAGAATTTGGTTTGTTGCCTTTTGCCATAGTATGGTGCTACTGGTTTGCATCTTCTCTGCTGTAGCTCTGTTTCAGAAGATAAAATGGAAACAATGGCTAAGGTTCCTTTTAATGTGCCCTTTTTGTCTTCTTGTTTCCCAAGATGAGTTTGAAGACATCATCAAGAAAACGACGCTATACACCAAGATCCCCTTTGACTTCAAGAGTGAGTTTATGGCGCTGCACTTTGGCGGCGACCGCAAGAGGACTGTCAGCTATGCTGAGTTCTCCCAGCTTCTTCATGTAAGTGATCTGCATGTGCTTTTGCATTTAAAAGGATGGAATGTTGGGCTAGTTGGTACGGTAGCATACGATAACAAAAAGCACAAAAAGGCAACCGACGAAGAAAAGGAACTGTTCTTCGTCCATTGTCTTTTTGCACTGTTTCACAGAAGGCTTTTTTATTGAGTCTAACTTGCACCTTGTATTGGAATATTTCCTCTGAGCACTAGATTCGCAATATAAAGGGATAGAGTCAATTTCCTGGGGTTCTAAACTTCAGGCAGCTGAGCTTTAACCCGTTAAGTGGGGAGTTTTTCTTGGGCAGGTAACCATGCCATAAAAAGTTTTTTTTTTTTTTTTTTTTTTTATTTAGAAATTTGTAAAATTATTTTCAGGCAAAAGTTTTTTTTTTTTTTTTTTACCTAAAGAAATAACATTTTGCATCTTCTTTTGCTGAGGTACGGGAAAGGGGAGACAATGTTCATTTTTACACTTTTGACTTTATAAGGTAGGCCATGAAGACTGATGTTGTACAAGTAGATTTTTGAAAAATATATAATAGCAGGCTTGGTTTGTAATTATTCCACGGTGTTTCGCTGCTACTGAGCATGTCCTCATTTTCAAGTCACCGTTGTCGCTTCGCTACAGCAGTGGCACGTTTTCCGCATCTCAATGCCTTGTCCAATCCAGAGCAAAAACAAGAGGAAAAAATTCCTGACAAAGCATATAAATGATTTCTTTAGCTGGCAAACGCAAATAAATCTAAACATGCTTGGTATTGTGTTTGATAGGTGGCAGTAACTATGACCGCCATCAAAACATATTGCCACCTGTTCCACAGTGCTTTTTCTCCCTCCTTCCAAAGGAAGTGTCGTGCGTCTTTGTGTCGAGATAAAAATAGAGGAACGTCTAAAGACGTGCTTCCCAGTTGAGGGGCTAAGATGGGGTGCAGAGGGCAACTTTTCCGCGAAGGACAAAAAAAATATATGGTTTGCGTTAAAAATAACATATTTTATAGTATATAAGACACATCGATGTACAAGATGCACCCTCCACTTTTTGCAAGTTTTAAGTAAAAATTAGTATATAAGACGGACCTGTGTATAAGACGCGCCTATATTCATGCACTTGCCGCGAAAAAAACTTCATATCATGTGGTTGTTCAAATATTATGAAATGCCGTACTTACCGATTAACGTCTCGGAGAAATAGTCTCTAAGAACACTTATAAAGTGCCAAATTTGCAAGGAAAAAACTTGCACAACCTCGCATTTTTTGTTTTTTTGTTATGGAACTCTAGTTTTGGAAGGTTGACTTGCATTTATGATGCATCATTTGCTTTGAGCTGTCATAATAGTTAAAAAAAGACTAATCAGCATCAACAGGAGTTCCTTCAGAGTTTGTCAAAAAGTAAAAGATATACATATAAGACACCGCCAAAAATTTGGGGAAAAAAGTGTGTCTTATACATTGAAAAAGATGGTATATACCGTAGTTGACACTCGAGCAAGCACCCGGCCAACATTGAAGATAATCGTGAAAAAACTGGGGAATAGGCGAATGTCAGGTCCAAGAGCAAGGATTCAGAAGGGGATGTGGAAGGGTGGGCTCCACCGCTTTGCACCGGCGTGCTTGAAGTGGTTGACGAGGGGGAGCACCTCAGTTAAGGGGCTCAGAAGTCTGCGGTGGGCACTTGAAGCATCCTTTGCTTAGCTTTCAAACCTTTCAGAAGTAGTGGGCGGGTACTCATTGTGACCTGGATGCATCCTCGATATTTTATAGTACTTCACAGTCGTAAAAGTCCAAGGTTCTGGTAATAGTTTGCGTTCGGGAAAGCTCCCTAAGTGACATGCGAGGTTATTTTTTAGGCAAGTCTTCATTCAGGCCATAGCCAGGTGTTTGGTATACCAAAATGCTCTGTTTGTGCCTTGGTTGTTTAGGAAACCCATCATGAAGAAGCAGATCTCGGTGGGATGCTGTTTGTACCTACAACCTGCCGGGTATCTTAGCTTCGAGTGTTTAATTTTAACTATGAAGCTAAGCATACTTTTGGAATGCGGTGCAGTACACTACCTATATCATGTTTTGGTTGCAAAAGCGGCCTACTGTGCTGTGTCTTTTGGTCAAAAATGCAAACTTGTATTTTTTTAGGATTTTCACGAAGAGCATGCCATCCAGGCGTTCAAGCAGTACGACAAGAACCGCAGTGGAGTCATTGCTGCAATGGACTTCAATGATATCATGGTTTCTGTCAAGAGTCACCTCCTTAGCGAAGATGTGAAAAAGAATATTGTGGCTGTAAGCGAGACTTAATACCATTACGCTACTGTGGGCAATCCATGCTTGTGCTCGGGTAGCATCTGCATGATATTTCTGTGAATCGCTGGAACAAAACCTAAATTCCCTCCTTGTACATGTCTTTCGATGGCATCACTATCGCAAAGAGGCTTATATTTTGTGCCTTACATATACTGCATATTTTTTGTTATTCGTGGATGTGTCCCTTCGATTTATTTGTGTCTTTCAACTGTCTGTTTCATTGTGTTCTTCCCTGTCATTTGCTAACAAGACCCTGTCACCTTTTGAATCATTTGACTACACTTCTATCATTTCACCTGAATATTATCTTCTATGTGTCTTTTATGTTCTTATTTCCCCACCTCTTCCTTCTCTAATGCCCTTTAATGGGCTTCTAAGATGCCAGAATAAATGAACTTATAACTTTAAGGCAATGTTTGAAGCCCTTTTAAGTTGCATGTTGGGTCAAGGTGCAGATAGACTTGTCAGTTCACTTTATTAAGCCAGTATAAAGCTTGGCCTTCCCTGGCTCCCAGTCTGTACCATTCATAAACGGGCAGTAAATGGGATCAAAGGAAATGCCAGTACTAACTGTACTGGCATTTGCCTTGGGCTTTGTTAGTAGCTACGCTAAGATTTTTCATTTAGGTTGAAATGCAAGAAAAAATTAAAGCATTAAATATTTTTTCTTCTTTGCAGCATTAATAAATGGTTCCCCAGGGGTGGAACGGCTGCGCCATTTGCGCCATTTTGCGCCAGACGGATGTGTCTGCGCCATCCTGCGCCATGTTGCAGAAACTGCGCCAAAGCCAATACCTCGCGCCATTATGCGCCAAATCGCAAAACGTCCGCCCAAAAAAAAGTTCTATTTTGTCTTGGTTTCGGTTTTTATCGACTCGATTGTCAACAATGAGGGCGTTTAGCCTGGTCGGCCTTGCAATCCGTTGTTCTGTTTATTCCCCTTGTCTATCCCGAGTCGGAAGCGCGCGAAACAACTCGGATTCTAAGCACTACACCACCTGCGACTGGATTGTTACTCTTCAACCATAAGCGGTAGGGCAAGTAGGCCAAGGTGAGGTCGAGTCGTTAAGCGTCAGATTGCATGAGGCTCTGCGGCCCGGGATCCGGACGTCATCCAGTCGAAAGCAAATGAGCAAAATATTCCTTTTAGTGCTTCATCGTTAGGAGTTGGAACCGCATTCTTGCAAGATAAATCGTGATTTGATAGAACTGAAACACGGTCCGATCCGAAACCTTGCCGGTCAGCAGCTCTACTTATCTGCTCGGCGTACTTTAACCTTGCTCCTGCTTATCGCTTCAAATACGATAACTTCGTTAATCGCAGTCTGCTGCTTCGATATCGAGTTTGCACAATAGGATAAACTCGAAATTTGTTGCCCTGTTCCTCCGTGCAACTGCACGTCCGTTGCTTACGCACGTCACGTGGTTCGCACATGTAATTACTATGTCGAGCACGTGTGGGTTGTGCGATAAGCAGAGCTGGTTTGCATCTTGAGCGTCTGAAAGCCACTCAGAAAATATCAAGGACGCTATCTTCAGAAACATAGAGTACTTGCTGTTTGATTCTCATTAAGGCTCACAAAGTTTCAAGTTTTCGCATCTGTTACACTGTTATCCCATCTACCTAGGTCCCTAACCGCTCATGTTCATCTCTGCTGCTAAGCACGATTGAAATTGCTTTCGTGCTTGTGTAAGATACAAGCTGAAGTGCAATGCAAACTGATCTGAGCTGCTCCTAGCCTGCTCCAGAATGTAGTTTCAGCTGCTCCCAACCTGCTCCAAAACAGCTGTTTCAGCTGCTCCCGTGGCTGCTCCCAAGTACATTTCATGAGTTCCACTCCTGTTCCCAGGCGAAAATTTTCAACTCCAACTGGTCCCAGTTGGAGTTGGTCCCAGCTGGAATTGGTCCCAGTTACAACTGGTCCCAGTTGGAGTTGGTCCCAGTTACCGCTGGTATCAACTCCAGCAACAATGAAACACGGCACGAAATGGAAGGTTGACAAGACTTTATTGTCAAAAACTTGGAGAGTGAAGCTAAATAATAGGTTCGGTGATGTGCACGCTCTGGGTTTAGCCACTTGCTTGCAACGGTTGAATCGCTTTTTCAGAGGTAGTATTTGTGAGATGAAGGAAGATTGGCCGCTGGCGTCTGTTAGTGAAAACGTCCTCAGCTTCTCTCCCCATCGCGTGAAGAAAGGTGCTCACCCGTGATACCCCGTTGCGCTGGTGAAGTCCTTATAAGGTTCGGTAGCGCTCCCACCTTGCAATCTCTGTCACAACAGTCAAACATTTTCAAGGTAGACCTCCCGCCATTTTCGCCATTGTGCTCTCCGCGGCGTTTTCTTCCGTCCGGTCTATCTGCGTCCGGTCTTTCCTGGGTGCCCTCCGATCGCTGAACTGCATCTTTCCATCCTCGAAGTTCACCACCGCCACCATGGTGTGTGTACAGTTAGGTTCAAAGAAGTGCAGCTGTAGTTTTGACATTTTCATAATGACGCCAACTTGGGCGATGGCGATCCTTCTCTACCGCATCCGTCCGACTCCGGCATCAGCATAGGCAGTGCCACCTGCCGACAGCGCGTACCACTAATCCGCACCCGCGTGCCACGGCGGCCGGCTAGCTCCGATTGGCCGAAAGATAAATTTATTTATTAAAAGAAAAAAAATACTGTAGGTATTTAAATAAATGTTTTAATATATTTTAATGATGCACTACATGTTCATTTAGGTGAACACATTTTGTCATTAATTATATTTTCCAATTAAAAAATTATTTTGTTAATTACAATTTTTATATTATTTTTATAAATATAATATATAAATGTACCCAGTAATTAAAAATTTTCCTATTTGTATAAATCTAAAAATGTAAATGTTTTTTAGTTTTCTTCATTAGCAAAGGTCAATGCAACCCCAACTTGTCAAGATTGTTGCCCCGTGTGAACTGGGAACGGGAAAGGCATTTGAAGTCCGACTGGGAATCGCTCCAACCAGTTACTTTCCTAACTGGTCCCAGTTCACTCCATTCCCTACTGGGAGTCAAACTAGTTGACTCCCAACTGGGAATGGTTCAAACCAGTTGACCCCTCAGCTGGTCCCAGTTGGACTCCTATTGGTCCCAGTTGGTACCAGTTAGTCCCAGTTGAAACCAGCTGAGGTGCCAACTGGTCCCAGTTAGAAATTTTCGCCTGGGGTGTGTAGGAAGTTACACACTCAGTTTACTTTTTATTTCAATTTGAGATTGCTGCATTCTCGAAAAGCAGCCCAGTAATGAGTGGAGCTTTCGTTTTGTGTTCCTTTTGGCAGCGTCACATTTCAAAGTGACATTTCTTGAAATGCAGGTGGCTGGCTCTGGGGCGGGGGGCCACCAGGTGTCCTTCCCTTACTTTATGGCCTTCAACTCCCTGCTCAACAACATGGAGCTCGTCAAGAAGATCTACCTTCATTTCACCAAGGGAAACACCGCTCTGGAGGTCACCAAAGGTCAGCAATGAATGGGCTGGCTTAACATCAGAAATAACTGACACCAGCTCTGCAAAAAAAGGAATATGCACTCACTTTGTTTTTAGTACTGGGGATTTTAACACTTTGACTGCCATGAGTATGTTTCTTTTTTAGAGCTTGTTTTGCGCACTCTTATGAAGATGACAGGGCTACCACTGTTGCTCCATTCCTTACAGGTTCTTTTATTGTCTGTTTAAAATTTTCACTGAGCGAGGACTACATTTTCCTCCCGAAAAAAAGTATTTGACGTGTGCAAGTGCAGGGAAAGGCGACATGGCCACATGACCTTTCCGCTTTAGATAATGGAGAAATACAGGCGCTTCTATTTGAAAATGATGAGTGCTCTACCATTTCTGATGACAAGTCGAGCACCTTTCCAATGACTCGGAAACTTTGTTTAAAATTGACAACCTGCACGAAACTTGGGAAGCATTGACTTGACCCCCAGATGTTTCGTGTTGCTCACTGCCTCCTTGATAGTATTTGCAACAGCACCACATAGTGAAGAACTAATAAATGGAAACTTCAGATGGCCAGGAAATAATAACAAAGAACTGTAGGGAAGGTGAACGCTTCCTTTTACGTTGGCATAAATTGCCAGTTTTAAATAGGATTTGTGGTACGTTTTATGAACGTGCCGTGGGCTGAACAAGTGCAAAATGTGGAGAACCCCAGCGTGAAGTATGACGGGTTCCAGAAGAAATGCCCCACATAGTAGTGTGCAGAAATGTTACAGTTTATAGAAGGCCAAATGTTGGTTTTACAGATGGTTTTCTTGCAGGCAAATTATTGTATCTTCCAAAGGCACAACATACCTTAGCTTGTGTGCTTGAGGACAGCATTTTCTTCGCATACTCCAATGCACAGAGGAAAGGTGGCAGTTTGGAGAGTTGATATGTGTAATATGGTTTTCTGAAATGTTTGATATATCGGTATTCTTTAACACAAAATGTGTTTATGGCCTGGATTTTATGGAAACGTGCTACGCTCGAGTGCGACGAAAAAGCGTTGCACGCGGGCCAAGACGACATAAAAGATGCTTAGCTCGTAGCAGGCCATGCATAAGTGTCCAAAGCATATGTAGGAGGCGTAATTAGTCATCATTATTCATACATAATCATAACTGGGAACAAGCGATCGAAACCAGAGAGGTTCACCAAGGAGCTCAGCAAGAATTGAACCCTGGACCATGCAATCTGCAGTCCGACATCATTGCTTGGTGCCACAAGTAGGAGATGAATGAGAGCACAAGGCAACCGGGTTAAGTAGGACTTGCCGCTGATCGTGGGGAACCAGCGAGTGTCCACCTACGCCAGGAACCAGCGGCGTCCGTCACCGCACGCTGGTGGTTCCCGACGAGGTGTAGCGCCCCGCGTGGACTCTTGACATTACGGGGTTGGATAAAAACATACCATGGGATACTGTAATGGGCGTATGACATCAGAACTCCCGAAATAAGTAAATTGATAGAGTAAAGGACATCCTAATTTTCATCCCCTCGCAAGTAATCGCAACTTCCACTGGGGTTCCTAAAAATCCAAGAGTACAAAGAATTCAAAAGCGTACACGCACACACCGAAGAAGCAGAAACCGGGGAAAACTTCTTATTAAAACATGCTGTGACAAATTCTACTCCTGAGGAAATTCAGACTTGTCTCAAGCATATCGTAACCCACACATAATATATACATGCACCCCCGGGTTTATCAGAATGATTAAAGTGAGCTTAATTTATTATTTGGATAAACAATTCCATTGCTGCTGTACGTACCACTCTGGTTCCTGCATTTCTTTTTCAGAGGAGTTTTTGTACGCAGCACAACAAATGTCTCAGGTCACACCACTAGAAATCGACATCCTCTTCCAACTGGGTGGATTTCTCCACCAGTCCACAGGGTGAGCTCTTTAACCCGCTCTGTTCTGACAGTCGTCAAAAGCTGTTTGCCTTCTGACGTGATGTGTGGAAATCTTTCAAAGAGTGCAACCTCTCATCTTTATTTTTTTTTTAGTTTATCTTGTGAGAGCAGTTTGGTATTGATGTATTACTCTGAAAGTATCCCAATTTCAATTCTCCGCTATATTTTCGTGATGTCTTTGCATTGGTGTTTCATCTGTGTTAACGGAGTGTGAAAGTTAATAATTTGCCTGAATTTGTGCCATCTTTTAAATTTATTTTCTGGCAACTGAGTCATCCTGAATTGCTTTTGAAGAAACAATTGCATGATTTCTCTCCAAGATGCTGATGTTTAAAGCTAATTTAGACTTGACCGAGTCTTATTCCTCAACTCGCATGCTTGATCTGAATAACGAGTGAGATAGCCCTTTATAATGGTACACATAATTAAATTTACCTACTCATATTACACAGAATCTCGACTCCACTGTAAGTATTTCATTTTGCTACAATCGTGCATACTTAAATGCTCGTGCACCTTCTCTTTAACGCGAGTGTAATGCAATAACTGGAAAAAGTTTTTTTCTTTAGATCTTTGAGTTGGGCACTAAAAATGTGCGCAATCTCATTGAGTCTCGATTTTAGCCTCGGTGTTTTGAGAATGCACATCCTTGCATTATATGGCAATGCCCGGAATGCGTCTCTGACTGGTGCGCTTACTATCATATCCCGCCCACGCATTGGTAGTGGTCCTAAAGTGGCAACAAATTTCATTACACAGTCTGCATGTCATGTCCTTGGGTGTCGCGATCCTGGCAGTCTGTGGTAGAAATGCTGTTGATAAAAAGCTAGCAAGGGTCGCCGTTGCGGCGTCTCGTCTCGCGCCTGCTTTGGTGTCCGGCAACTGCCTGGCTGCGGAGTGACCTAGAGCAGGGCAGACTGTGCCACTGCCAGGATCGTGGCTGGCAATGGCCCGGCCCTTTTTTTGACCTCGTCAAGCAGTAATCGAGAGACTACTTTTGGGGACGCTGTATGCGCAGCGGGCGAAGACGCTTTCCGGGGGTCCAATCTCGGTCGAGGCGAGAGCGAGAGCATTTTCTTGGCCGCTGATCGGACGTGGCGCCGCAGCTTGCACGTAACCGACCGACGACGATTGGACGAGGACGTCTCGCCGACGTGCAAATGGCTAGAGGGGTCTTGCAACCTCTGATGGACCTGTCCTTGGTACTTATTCGTCCGCCGGTCGACACCGGCTTGTGTACGGCGGCGGAACGACTCGAGATTTGCCAACAAGACATGGGCAGTGGCTTCCAACGTGAAATGGCGGACGATCGCAATTTTCAGCTTGCTTTCGATCTCGCTTCGCCGCGGCGCTCTGTTAATAGCAGACGGTCAACTTTCTTTCCGATCTGTACGGTGTTTTTTCATTTTATTTTAATCTGCGAATAACGCCTCGTAGCAGACAAACCACATTCTTCGCTCGCGTTGGCGGACGAACCGTCTTCTAACGCCGTCTTCACTCGCTCCGTGAATGCAAGTTAGCTCTCGCTCTCGCGATGACCGAAACCAGACCCTAAGTGCCGCACTTGTACTTCTCGATGCAACCTTGCCTTTCTCGCGACCTGTTCTGGAATTGCCCGAAAGCTTGCGGCTCGAGCTGGCCGGCAAGGGAAGGGCAGTCAGCGCGGAGCGTGAGTGCCGCAGGAGCCCCTGGTTTTGTCTTGTAGAAACACGGGTGTGTAGGCGAGAGGCGCCCCGGCGTGCCCCGAAGAGCACAGACGGGCGCGTCCACCGCAGCTTCCTCTTGTGGGGCTCGATTCCACGAGCAGAGGTGTGAAGAGGTTTCCAGGTAAAGGACCTCCCGCCTCCCCCGCCCGGGCAGGGAGCAGGCGGTGCACTACTCGTAAACTGAGGCTGCCCCACCGGCACGGGGGTGGTTCTCTCTCCTTATCTCTACTGTCAGTCTTTACGAGAAGGCTAGATGTCAGGCGGGCAGTTTGATAGTAGCATGTTACCTAGAGTCCTAGTGTATCATCTTGTTTTGGAGGCAGCTCTCAGTTGTTTAATCCACGTGCTAGCCCATGGGTTCTCAAACTGAGTTCCTAGGAACGCAGGGGTTCTTTGAAGCACCCTCGTCGGTTCCCCAAGTTTCTTGAACCGTTCCTCCTCCTGACTGAAGGTGTAATATTTCCAGTTGATGCACTGCTTTAGCAGATCTGAGCCATCACCAGATGTGAAACTGTTAGCCAAATGCTCTTTAGTATGTACGTGAATGTTCACAAGGTCTGCGGGCACTTGCAACACTTTATTGGATCGGTGCCGAGGCAGGGAGCGGTTCCTCGGCCACCATTCGAGGCAAACGGGGGTTTCCCGAGATTAAAAAGCTTGAGAGCCCGTGTGCTAGCCTCTAACTAGGCTGTATATTTTCCAGTGTTTATTTATATCAAAAATCGGCGGATGTTTTTTGGTGTTTATTTATTTCCAAAATTCCAGTACGTTTCGGTGAATTATTTTGTGCAGATGCTTAAAATTGTTCTTATTGACGGAAGAAATTGTGAATAGAAACGAACAATCAAGACGAGATATGGTTACTCTTTTATCTAAATCTGATACACAATGCTACTCACACCTCATTATTGTAATATATGCATGCATGCATTCCAAGTCTCGCATCTGTCATTCCTGCCTGCTTCTTCCTGTTGACGAGGCTCAATTTTGAGAATGCGTGCTCTACATTTGCGCTAGACACGGGGAGTCTCATAATGTCTAAAGAGGCTTGGGAGAGTACTGACCAGTCTGGTGAATGCAGCTTCCAAAACAGCACAGGGTCAACAACAGCACTGATGGCGTACTGGCGGTAATGGAGGAACTCAGCTTCCAGGTCGCTGAGCTTACATTCATCGTGCATGACAAGTCTGTAGATGTTTTCATAGGGAACAAATTCCTCTGGCAGCTCCATCTTGTTGCAAGGATTAACTATCTGCACACAAAACTAGAAAGAGTCATTCGTGAACTGGCTGCATCTGGACTTGAGCTGAAACAAAGTATAAAGAAACACCAATGTCACCCCTCCCACAGACAACCTTTGACCCAAGCAATATGAAAGACACTTCAAACCACCCAACTAGGGTCCACAAGGAAGGAGGGCAACCTTCAACGGTCAATCTACAAAAAGGCACTATGAGGCCGAACTTTCGGGGGCATAAACTGAAGGTCAAAGTAACTGGCAATGACAGAAAAAAACATATCTCGATTACTAAGAGACCTTGGGGGACCTATGCTGACAGTCAACCCATAACAAAAAAACGTAAAAAAAAAGATTGAGTTTGACGAACATCTACATAAGACTTTTTGGGTGAAAAAAACTGCCGCTTTTACGAAAATATCCATAAACCAATATTTTTCGCTTTTAACTTTTTATTTTTTTTCCGACACTGGTGGATGTTTATTGGTATTTTTCGGTCAAAATCGGAAAGTATACGGCCTACCTATCACAACTGAAGAAGATTCATGCCTAGGGAGAGGGCAACAAAAATGGGCCAGACACGATCGTGTTTTTTGTGGAAGCTGATCTGCTAAAATTAGCTGAAGGCTGCAATCACATGTATTGCTTTTTACGCAGGATGAGTGCTTTATTAGGTACAGAAACCTGACGAGACTGTACTTGCCGTCGGCCGTACCACAGCTTATGTTTGATCGTGCTACGGCACTAGCATCGTGAACTACGTTTTCTGAAAATTCCAGTTTGTAACTCGTAAAGTTTATAGTGCGTAGGCTTAGAGATAAAGTAGGTTTGAACTAGACTATCTCTACTAATGTAATTTTGATCCTCCCTGCAGTAATCAATATTGTCATCCTTCCCTAGTGCTAAAGAACTGCCCTCGGGGTTCATGAACTAATACTACAGGGTTTTATCAGATTTTTTATTTCTTTTGACAAGTGTATGCAACAGTACTTCTTACTACAAGGCTAAGCTTAATTACATTTTAACATTGGTGTTGTGCTTTAAAAAAGAAATCTGGATGTTGCAAAATAAAACAATAATAATCGGCCAGTGTTGTTGGTCAACACCTGAAAGCATCTTTATTTTGTTTCTGTGCTTACCTCATTTCAGACGCGTAACTTACGAAGACTTGGAAAGGATAGCTCCGTACCGACCTACTCGATTCCTCTCTAGGCCCATCGCAGAAGTAAAAGCGGTCAAGGTTGGTATCAGCTTGTCTTTTTACCAGGAGTCAAATGAATAACTCGGCAAGAAGAAAACTAAATGACCCAGGCCACCTTCCTACATGGTTGCCACAATGCTCTGCTGCCAGTAAAACCTTTTGACTGGCGGGAATATGCGTAAGGTGTGCATTTTCCCATTGTACCCATCTCGCTAGTGGAAACAAGATAAAGAAAGTTTCGAAGCATGTATTATTGAATGTGTTTATGCAAGCGTGAAGCCATCTGATGCATGCGTTTGCTTAGCTCCCGGCATTAATTTTTCCAGAGCCCCGACGAAAGGGGGGTCGGAGTCCAGTTTCTCGAGAGTGCCTATCGCTTCACGCTTGGTTCCATTGCCGGTGGTAAGTGGTCATCGTCAAAGCAATCAAAGGAAGCAGTCGAACAGAAAGGTCAATAAGATGAGCAGTTGATGCCAATCTCATGCGGTCAATTTCCGACGTAGACATAAAGGATGGAATCAGGCACAACTGTTTACTTGTGCCAACAGATGAGTTGACAGTGACTGGTGGCCAGAGCATTTTGCATGAGGATCTGGAAGGGGATCAGATAACTGATCAATGGTTTCTTAAAGTCATCGATCAGGATGAAGTATGAATTTTATTATGAAACATCTATAGACATGTGCAAATAGCAGTTTCTGACAGCAGATTGAATGTTTCAAGAGTGATGGCTCAAATAATGTTGACCTGAGCTGTATACTACTAATTTAAAATGTTGACTTAAATAATTGTTTGACAAAATGTAGAACCTGTCTTAAAAAAATATGTAATTCAAAATTTGTTTTTTATAAAGGAGGTTTCTTAGTTTCTCGTGGTTGTTTGCATGTAAACAATGCTGCATCACGAAATTGGTATTTAAATTGCAAAAGCTAAAATCAAAGACATAAATTCTAGTCCTGGGCAACAAATCCTCATTTTAATCAAAGAGATGGCATATTTTAGAACAGTGGTCCTCAGATGTTTCGGAGACCCTTTCTAGATCGGTCGAAGTGATGGGGAACCCTATCTGCCGAGGGGCAGGAGGCGGTATTGAACGATTACAATAACAGAAGGATAAATGAAGGAAACTAAATGCATGCAAACCAACTTTGCAGCTCTGAAACAGAGTAATCAACCCTACTCATTCATGTTTCGTGTATTTAGCTTTGTGAGGCAGTGAGCATCATTAAAAGGAAAAAGTTTTTGAGGTAGGCTCGGTTTCACAAGCTTTTGGGGTCCCTGGAGGCCTTCAGGGTCCCCAGAGGGTTCGCGGACCCCCATTTGAGAACCACGGTTCTAAAACTTTGCTTCAAAAGGTATAGTATAGTTAAGTTTCTAGAACTCTGCAACATTTATTTGTTATATGCAAATTTGGCATGAACTAACTGCTGTCTAAATTGCTAATCTTCACATTTACAGTGCTGAAAGGCAATGTGGGCTGTCAGTGCAGATTCATATTAGCCATAATAAGAATTTAGCTTTTAGAAGAAAATAGAAAGATAGAATTGTTATGTTTGCAATTCACCTGGAAGGTATGCTTCTGCCCCCTGAAAACTATGGCAAAGTGGCATCCACAAAGCCACTGTCATGAGTGATGCTTTGCTGCATTGCACATGTTCTGCACAAGGTGCCCTCATTGGAGCATAGATGAACCTTACGATAGCAAGTTTCGAAGACATTTTCATATTGAAGTGTCCAAAATATTTTAATTATGTACTGCTGTACATACTATTAATTTTAAAGGCCAAGTTGAAAGTACTTATGTTCTAATTGGCATTTTACCTTTTAGAATATCTGTGCATGCCCATAGATATTCAAAGGACTACTGGGAGTTTTTAGCAACAAATACAAATATTCAGTCATGGGGCAAGCTGGAATCATTAACTATACTATGTTGCATATAGCGAAAGTTTAACCTAGCATTATTCGACCCGTGGGCACAGCCGACTTTGAAACGCAGATTCTCGGTTGATGGGTCAAAATCCTAGCTAGGGCTTGTGCCATCTGACAAGAGCCAGTTGCAGCGTAGGACCTGTATATCATACTTTCTGATTGTCACGCCCCCGATATACGAGCGTTTTTGACAAAAAAGTTATTATATAAGTTGCACTTATATGTTTGTACTGTCGACTTAGAGAAACTGCATTGATAAGCCTGCATACGTGTATTGCGATTGTGGTATAGTTTCAACAACCTTGTCAGCAAATCGCTCAAGAAAGAGAAAGCCCCACATCAAATTTGCACCGTTAAGATTCATACTTGAAGAACAAGAATGCGTAGCTATTATAGAAGTCACACCGTTGTATAAAAAGCACCAACTAAAAATTTGTAAAAAAAAAAAAATAAACACGACTTATGCACCAAAAAATCCGGTAAATTAGATTTTGCTTTCTCGTCAATAATCTCCGGATAATGTAAACCAATCCTGAGTCTTTTGCCGGTGCAAAACCATAGCTTTTAGTTGTTTTGAATCATAAAACCCCAATATCTACTTTTAATCAATGCTGCTTGTTGGGCAAGTTGGTGCTGATATTTTAAAAACATGGTATTGCTTTTAGACGCCAACGAGAGGGGAGAACAGGACCACACAATGCGCTAACTTTGACCGCTTATCATTCAGAAAAAAATGGGTATAAATACTCTTCGCCATCACGCCACTCAACCAGTACCCTGTCTGTTGTCCTGTTCTCGTTCTCGTCTGTGTCTAAAAGCACTACCATGTTCTCAAAATTAATTTTAGTTTGTTTTTCTTTCTCAAAATATGGATTGGAAGTATATATATGCCATCCTGAACCGGCGCTCTTGTTCGGCCGCATTCAAACGCCCCCGTTCTTTGGAGGCGGGCTCTGCCGTAGAGCCGACTTGCTGAGCGCGCCATGGCCCTGCAGCGGCGGGAGCCACGGTGGTGTACCCGATCGACCTGGTGAAGACGCGGATGCAGAACCAGCGGACGGGCTCGTACATTGGGGAGCTCATGTACCGCAACAGCTGGGACTGCGCCAGCAAGGTGATCCGGCACGAGGGCGTGTTCGGACTCTACCGGGGCCTGCTCCCACAGCTGGTGGGCGTCTGCCCGGAGAAGGCCATCAAGCTCACCGTACGTTCACCCCCGCCCCACTGCGTGGCCGCCGCACGGTCGCCGAAAATGTTGCTACAGTCATGTCTTATTAGTACGGACACCCGTGTCAACACCACCTGGAACAGCCAAGGCCCGCAGACATCCTCCTCTTTCTCCGTCCAATGTCGTTGCGATTGGACGGTGCCCACTCGACAATCGAACCCGAGCCCGATGCCGAGCGTCCTCCGACGCATTCCTTACGAGGTTCGACCAAACACTTTGTCCGATCCGTGTCTTTGTTTGGTCAATCTTGCCGTGACGACAAGAAAATTCTTGTACACGGACTTTGACCATTCTAGGTGGTGTTGCCTCCATTCCCTTCAAAAATCATCCACAATGCAAGTTGTCCTTTTTGAGGAAAAAAAATGCATGTATTTAGTTGGATCGTTCCAAAAATGTTGCCTGTGTAGGGGGGCGTCCATATTAACGGCGTTCATATTCATGAGACGTGACTGTATTAGAGCCACTATAAAGTAGCCGATGATAGGTAAAGAACACTGTAGATGCTCTGCCTCCAATTAATAATTTTCAGATATTCTAAAAACACAAATTCTTTGAACAACGGAAGTGCGCTGCGAATTGAATCAGACAGCACACACAATTCACAAATTATTTGGAGTTTCAAATACAGTTCGGATGCAGTATTTACAATTTTTCTCATTTTTATAGGTTAATGACCTGGTTCGTGACAAGCTCACCAACCCAAAAGGAGAGATCCCGGCGTGGGCAGAAATTGCTGCTGGAGGCTGTGTGAGTCACCCGTCTCAAATCACCCTAGACTGCAATATAAATAAAAATAAGAAGTTTCATTATACAGGGAAACCCGTTTAGAACAAACCCACATACAGCGAATTATTGTCAATATCGAACTCATGAAAAATTTAAATAAAAATGCACGTAAAAAGTATGTTTTATAACAAACAACATATTGGCTATATCAAACTTTTCGCCCCCGGGAAGGCTTGCAAAAATGCACAAACAATCGTCTTGTGGCCTGTCCCTTCCTCCCACAAAGAAGTAGGAAAGAAAGAAAATTCCGAAAGCTGAAGTTGCGAACAAAATTGAGCTAAGAGAAGCGATTCAGGAGAGAAAGCTAAAAAAAAATACACTGCATGCACGCAAAAAAAAACAAAAAAACTTCATTTCAATGCGTTTGCCCACGAAGAGAATCAATTCAAAAGGGAAAGTAAGCTAAAAAACTGGACACATGCAAAAAAAAAAAAAAAAAAAAAATCCTTCCAGCACGTTGTTGCAAGGCGGAAATGAAGAGATGAGAAAGAAAGAGAAGGCTTTCGCCTTACAACAAACTCGTGGAAGTTCGTTGTAAATGTTTGCTATATCGAACTACTTGCTATATCGAGCTGATCATGGCGTTTCCTGCTGTTTGTTATAAATAGGTTTAACTGGAGTAGTATGCGACGCTTAGCATAGGTGTTTTCTGTGAGGTGCCATTAGCATCCCCGGTTTTCATACGTTGGCCAAACTGGTGTCATGTTTAATGACTAAACCTTGGAGCACCGAGGGATATATTCATGTCAAAATCAGTGAATACAGAAGTGGTCCAGCATTTAGAAGTCTATAACAATCGTTTCTTTGAATTAGACAGAGGTAATTATTAGTGAAGAGAAGGACCAGTTTATGAGGATGCAGCGAAAATCTAATTGCGATTTAATGCGTTACTACCCTTCCCTACCCTATTCTTTCCTGTGATGTCCAATTAAAACACACTTCTTTATCCAGTGACCTTGGATAGAGAAGTGTGTTATTTTTTGCTCTTGTTACCTTTTTTTTTTTTATTAAACTTCTTACATTCAGATAATGATTTTTTTTTTTTACATTTAGTGTTTGTTTCTGCTTGCTGTGTTGGGGCAACTAATTCTTATAGGTTGTGCTTTGCTTGTGCATGGTTTTAGTGGGAAAGATTGTCCTTCTGTCGCCAAAGTTCTACCTCCTAGTTGGTGTGGCCTTGTTGAACTTTGGCACAGTTGCTTGTCCTTTCATCATTGGCAAATGAAGCCTTAAATGGTGTGACATTGAGTAGTATGTGTTTATCAGAAAGATTCATTAGGACGCTAAGCTTTTAAAGAAGGTGTCTGGGAAATAAACTCTCTGCTTCTTTTTCTGTCTTACCCCCTTGGAGTTTTAAGCACAATGAAACAAGGTTTTTTTTCTTTGTGTCCACTATAGTGGCAGAGGTCTGCTGCTTTTCTTGGTTTAGTGCTTGTGCAGGTTTCAGTAATTTTTTTTTTCTTTTGGGTATTTTGAGATTTTATCTTAGGGTATGTTTAGTTTGTGCACAAGCATTTGGGTAATATGTGCCTTGAACTCCTGTGGCCAGTTTTTTAATTTCTGGAAATCTTTCAAGATAAGTGATGCTGAAATACTACATGGTGTCATTCATTATGTGGCAGATATCAGATTCTAAGTTAACTAGGGATTACTAATGTGGATCAAATTTAAAACTAGGGTTTTGCAAATATTCAAATATTTGAACAATCGTTTCAAATATTATGCTCTCAATATTCGCTTTGACATGAAAGGTAGTAGTCACACTCTTCGGAGTGATGACGAATTCAAGGTTGCGGCGAGTTAATTGGCGCCATTGCGTTGCCTTCTCATCAAGTCCCGATGTGGTGCGGAGAAGCGATACCCAGAGTGGGCAGTGAGAGTCGCTTTTCCGCAACGCAGTCGCATGTGTAGGGGAAGAGCACCCTATCAGAGCAGGGCACCACTCTAGGTTTGATTTTACGTCAAATCTGTCGTTGGTTTGCCACCGCTATGTTGGTCAATGAACTGTCCGAGGCCGCAGGCAAGAAAAAAATAAATAGTTTGGTAAAAATGTTTAAATGAACAATTGACAAATGGAAGCTTGGGAGCAACCTTAACATGTCCGGCTGGATTTTCAGTTTAGCTTGGTGTGACGTAGCCAAACGCCCCCAAAAAAATGCAACAACTACTCAATTTTTTATAAAAAAAATATTCTGCCAAAATAACTACCTATTCACACAAGTTTGCTTCAAACTCTGAATCCATTATATACATATACTTAAATAAAGCCCATTTCAACATTGTTTTTCTTTTTATTATTTTTTTTTATCGAGGTTGTTGATTTTGTGGATGAAAACTGTTTGACTGAATAACAAAACATATACGTAGTCTTCAATGGTAGTAAGATCAGAATATGAAAAAAAAAAAAAAAAAGATCTGTTACATAGCAAAGTTTGTGAAATGAAGATTCATTATAGTATTGAGGTTTAACTGCAGTACAACTGAGCATGTGCTTGCAGGTGGTTTACCTTTTTGCACACATGCAATTGTATAACACTGTAAGTGCAAACAGAAAATCGACTCTTTTTTGTATTTTGCTCACAGGGAGTAACGGCGGGCATCGAACTTGACTGCTTATTGTACTGCCCCAAGTGAGAACTTGCCACCATACTTGGTAATGGTTTTTGTGGCAGCTGTCCAATTTTAAGAGGAAGATGGGAAACACTGGTGATCGCGTGTTTGCGCTAACAGTCGCACTTTGTACACCTTAATTTTGTGGAGCAAACGGAGCTGTTCATCTGCAGGCAGGAGCCTCTCAAGTAATGTTCACCAATCCGCTGGAGATTGTCAAGATTCGTCTGCAAGTGGCCGGGGAGATTGCTTCCATGGCCAAAGTGAGGGCCTGGACAGTCATCAAGGACCTCGGCATCAGGGGACTGTACAAGGTGTGTCTGGGCCATGGACTCAACGCCCTTCCTTTTTATTTTCTGCTGCTGTGCTTGTGGAGTTCAAGGTCAAAAAAGTAGCCCCCCTGCACTGCCTGCCTTCTCTTGTAGGGTGGAAGGTTTTGGAGGAAGGAGTGATCAAAGACCATAAGCTGCAAGGGCAGATTTCGATAAAAAAACAAAACAAAGTTTTTTCTCAGGTAGATGAATCTGTTGCATAGTGTGCATCTGCGGTCTAGTCTGCACGTAAACAGTTCTCGTGCACAGCACGCCCTAACAAATACCTACTTCACTAGCTCCCAAGGAAGCTTGAATTATGCAAAGTCATCATTAGTACGGTATGTCTTTTACAAACTTGGTCATATCTTGTCATAATGAACGACCTATGAAGAAAGTCACATTTTTCGCCCAAAGTGTGCGAAGAAACGAAAGCGATAGCTGTCGCATGGTCGTGCAATACTGGTGGAATGGTGCTGTCACGTACCTGAGGACGGAGGTGGGATGTGGTTAATTTTTATAGCAATCGTGGTCGGCGGCGTGGATGCCAGTGATGACCACCACCAGTGATCTGTGAAGTGGGTAAGCGCGGTGGAAGTTTCTTAAACTGTCCAACATTATGCATAGCGACTGGATACTGCCAAAGTGGGATTTCGCATAACGTAAGTGATGTTTGAAAACAAGTCTTTCAGACAGACGACACGGAAAAGTCTCCTTTCGTCGCATCGAGGCGGCCGCCAGGAAGGCCCGACTTCCCTGGCCTCACGCCAAGAGCGGAGGGAAGGGTTTTTTCGTAGCGACGACGAGACGAGGTCGAAATTTCTGTAAAGTGTCGCCCGTAAAGCTATCACTTCAAAACAAATCCTTGTATAATCTGTACCTGTAGATAGTCGGCACCGCATAAAATTTCAACCTTTAAATGTGTATAGTCTGCTGACTATTGTTCGGAAAATATGCTATCCTTCATTGCTCACTAGCTCATCAGTGATGTTGAGATTGATTTACCCTTTAAGTACCTTGAACGAGCTGAGCTCGTCGGCCGCTTTTTGGCTAAAAATGGCATGAACGAGCTGAGTTTGTCCAGTGTTTTTTTTGGTAGCCCTCAATTCCACAGACGAGCTAGGCTCGTTCGAGTAGTTTGCGGCGCTGATCATAGATGGCAGCACATGTTTAGTTGGCACATCTTTTTTTTTTTGCTGCCACTGATTTTTGCGTAGTAAACTTTGGAAATTTTATCTGCATTACTAGCGGAATAAAACCTCTAAATAAAAAAAAATATGGCACTTTTAGGTTACTTTTTGAAGAAAAAAAAAGGGGGCACTTAAGGGGTTAAAGTTTTCAAACTTTATATTTCTAAATCTTTGTTGTAGATTGCAAAGCATGTTTGTTAGAAAGAGGAGGATATTAGATCAAAGGAGTTGGCTTGCCTATACCTGCATACTGGTGCATCAGTACCATAATGCGCCACAGACATTTGAAGAGCGGAAGGACCAAAGCATCAAGGTTAGAAGACAGAATGAATCACCAGTCAGCAAACCTCTGGCACCAGTTTATGCATCTGATTGTCAAACCATTTAGAGGAGGAATGAGATAAGAAGAAATGAAGAGAAGGATAAAAGTAGCAGAAAAGAGCTCAGTCAGGCAATGCGGCTCCCTGAATGCATCCATTACACTGATTCTCCCCACTTGAAACCTTCTTATGCTCTGTCATGTTTGGAAAAAAAAAAAAAAAAAAAAAAAAAAAAAAAAAAAAGAACTCTTAGCAGCAATATAATGAGCACACTTACTCATTAAGAAAGGGCTTATAGTTTAATCTAACAAAGCTATATCATCTGCTAGTATGTTACTTGCCTCGTGGCTCGCTATTTTGGAATTATATAGTGGCTTATTGTCACAAAATCTGGAGACAAACCAGTCAAACTAACATTATTTGCCTCTAATTGAATAACTTGTAGGCACATGCTTGGTGTTTATGCTTTTTAAATAGAAATATCTGGCAGTCTAGCATGTCCTAGCGAATGTGAAAATGTTTTTGTGAATGCTGTACAGACAACGTCAGCAAATGATGAATGGAGCTCGCTCAATAGGTTCTGGTTAGCATTCTTTCGGTGCACACTTTTCTTTTTTTAGTTTTCTGAAGGCAACCCAAGTGACCCGGCATCCCCTGCCCCGTTCTGCTCTCTCTTATTCTAGGGATCTAGGGCGTGTTTTCTGAGAGATATCCCGTTTTCAGCGATATACTTTCCCACCTACGCTCACTGCAAGCTAAAATTCGCCGATGACAACGGTCACAACGGCGCCAGCTCTCTGCTGCTCTCGGCCGTCATCGCAGGTGATTGAACAGTTTATGTCTCCGGGCTTTAGGGTGTATTGCTAGCGACTTCTTTCCGGCATTCATTAAGTGCATATTTTACGAGCACTCTACTTTTCTGTTAAAAGTTTGCCAAAACAAACAAATGGACAGAGCAGACTGTGACATGCCTCAAAGGTGCCCTTAAGGCTGGTTTAAGCTGGAGAGACTTAAGGCCGGTTCACACTATAGCGACCGACCACGACCGACTCTGACACAACTGGTTTTTAAGCTGTTTGTGGCTCGTCGTAAGCAGTCACAAGCGACTAAAAAACCGGTTGTGTTGGAGTCAGTCGCTAAAGTGTATACCAGCCTTTAAAAACCGATAGCGACTGACTGTGCGTGGCAGCAGCACAGCCAGTCATAAGCAGGAGTCACAAGCGACTGGAAAACCGGTGTTAGTGTAGTCGTTCGTAGTCAGATGCAAGTGTGTGAACCAGCCTTTAGAGATAGCGTATTTACAGCACCATATTTCCCAACTATAAAAGCTTCAGAAAGGCTTCTATTTGCCACGGCATTGCAATGTAAGTGTCTGCTAATAGTGCTGTACTGTTTGTTTAGAGTGACATTTCTGCTCCACAGCTCTAGGCTCTTTATTCAGTTCAAACTTTTTGTTTTAGGAATTTGCCCTCGCAAGATTTGAACATGGCAGCTTTGAGGGATATCACACACTGCTGATTGATTAAACAAATTTTACGAAGGAGTAGCATGTAGAAACAAGTATCTATTAGTGTGTTACATGCTCGAAATGTGGCACATATCTGGAAGCCATCGCTATCTTGTAGGTGTGCCTGCGGCGTACTTGGTGACTCCTGCGGACGTCATCAAGACTAGGCTTCAGGTGGCGGCTAGGAAAGGTCAGACGACCTACTCAGGCGTCCTAGACGCCTGTCGGAAGATCTGGAAGGAGGAGGGCGGACAAGCCTTCTGGAAGGGTGGCCCAGGCAAGTGCCGGCTTTATACCCGGTCTACCGGTTCCTCGCAGTTCAGCTTTGTTCAAAAGTGGTAACAGCGAGGTAAAAACTACAAAAGCTGAAGGACAAGTAACGAGAAGCATCCTTCACATTCAATATATTGGTTAGAATGTTTAGAAAACAATTAAAAGAAACATAAAATAATGTTTTGCGACATCATTTTCAGCGTTGCAGCCATGACTTTGTTCACTTCATCGTACGAAGGGAACTTCCTTCGGTGCAGTTCTTTCTTTTGTCAGACGGCAATAAGTCCGGGTTATATGAAGAGTCGCAGCGCAGTTACCACTGCTTAAAGTTTAATGTGAAATTCAATCACGCAATTCCGCCATACTCTCACAAGCACATCTTCATCATTTGCCTTGATGACGTATTATGGGTGCTGTAACCACAGACAACACTAAGGACGAGGACTAGTAGAGCAAGTGGACAGCATCTGTCCTGTCCACTTCTTCTACTAGTCCTCGTCCTTAATGCTGTTTATGTCCATAATATTATGAGGTACCGTCGCTCGCTGTGTCAGAACGCTAAAGACTGTGACAGTCCGACTGCAGGTTCCGGCCTTCACTAACATCGACACTACATTGCTCGTGTACCTCTTTGCAAAGAAAAACGGAAGTAGTTTCATTACTTCTCAGTCAGCCCTCGTAGTGTTTCGTACATTTTAGCGAGTTTCCTTATAACAGTGTTTTTCGAGACTGTTTCATTAAAGTTCTGTTTCCTTTCGCTCGTTCCAGCTCGAGTGTTCCGATCTGCGCCTCAGTTCGGCTTCACACTGTTGACCTACGAGATCTTGCAGAGGCTTTTCTTCATCGACTTTGGCGGAAGGTTAGTTTCTTTTCTTACACAGGTCCAATTTCGCATGTCGGTATGTACGGGGCTTCTGCAACATAATTCTCGAAAGAGTTTGCTTTAAAACTGCAGGGCCCAACCAAGCGGCCGAGCAAGTACACAACTTTAGCATTCTTTTGAGTCCTAGTATTTAGCTTTGCCTTTCAATCAAATGACACATATTTTTGTTCGGTTAGTATACCTTGATTGGCAGATCTAAGAAAATTATTTGCAATAACTATAGTGGTGCCTATCACTACAAGTATTTTTGGGTATGCACATATCCAGAGATATAATTGAAGACATCATAATTTGCTAATTGCCTGTGGCCTGCATCTCTGAAGGCCATTTTGCTTTAGATATCTACGTTTTTTTTACACATTTAACTAACTGCTGAAAGGTGAGTTGGTTGTAGATTCTAGAGAATAAAAGCGTTAAAAAACATGAAGGAGAAGTAGAAGAACGAAGGACACTACAGGAGCGTTTAACTAACTGTCGTCATACAGTTTTTGACTGACCTTGACTGGCTAAACCTATTCCCACACAACTCTGTGCAGGAGGCCGACGGGATCTCAGGGAAAAGTGCCGGTGCAGGCCGGAGAGATTAAGTCACACAATCCCGATCACATTGGCGGATATCGCGTGGCCCTGGCAACCTTCAGCGGAATGGAGACCAAGTTTGGGCTCATCCTGCCCAGGTTCAACAGTGCGTCCAGTTAAGCACGAGTCGACTGGTTGGAACTTTGCGCCGGAATGAAATCGAGCAGGGACTAGCGGATACACGTGTCGTCCATAGGAGTGGTGCAGTGTACAGCGTTGCCGTCTAGGGAAAGTACACTCCGCGTTCACTCTTGTTTTTAGCCATACTTTAGCCGGAGAGTTGTTACACAATGGAGAGTTTGTCGGAATGCCAAAGACGAGACTGGAGTTGCTAGGGTAGAGATATTGTGCATATCCCTATCAAAGGTAATCGGCTACAAGGTGGGGCTGCGACGGTGTTTTATGTTGGTTTGGTTGCTGTAGACGCCTTTTGGTCTTTCTTTTGCCGGTCCATCTTCCGAGCACATCTAGGTATCCTGTAGCAGTGGCCCTACCGGAAGGTGGCCATTCAGAGTTCAGTTTGATGTGCAGCAGCACTCGTTAAACGAATGAAGCAACTGAATCATTGAACGTTACTGCCAGTTTGGACGTTTTAGTTCATCCCTTTGTTCATATGGAGTGGTTTGATCAACACTCTTTTTAGTTTATGATGGGCTAGGCTTGAAGTCGAGGATTGTCTGCCACGCATTTGTTAACCGGAGCCCACACATGTATCCTTTCTGCTGGTATGCTTTTCTAACACATTTTCAATGTTTTTGTTTGCTCAGCTGTCTAAAGTGTGCAGGCTTTCAGTATGTGCAATGCCTAACTGAAGGTGTACATTCTTGCCAAGAGAGCTTAGGTGTGATGACATGATAGAATTATGTTATCTGAGAGAGGCCACTTTAAGGGTTCTATACAATTATTGGGGTCACAGTGGGCTTACATTTTGGGAGTTTGTTGCCCTTTTCCCACTGTCTGACTTGGTGCTTTTAGCTTTGGCAGCTCTAGTCAAACTGTCTTTTAGCTTACTGCATTGGCATTGCATGCAAGGGGCAACATGTTCCCTACCTTTAAATGATCGTCGGATTGTGTACAGCATATTTTAACTGATTACTGTTCAAATTTGGTGGTAGCATTGCAGGTTCATCTGTACAGAAGCATTAAAGGTTCAATATTAATCTTTCACTACTGTGGTTGTCTCATCCTTTATCTGAAAATGTGTAACCTGCTGAACTGAGTGGTGTTACAGGCAGTGCTTTTCTAATTATGAGCTGTTGTGCTTGCTAAACTTCTATAGTCCGTTGCAACTCAAGAAGGTAGGGAGAGGGGTAGGAATGCCGGGGAGGAGGAAGCAGGTGGAATGCTAGAGAAGAGGAGGAGGAGGTTTCACCCACTTCCCTCGAGCATTCCATCTGCTTTCTCTGCCTTCCTTTCCCTCGCCCTACCTTCTTGAGTTGAGCAAATGAACGGCCTTTACTGGCAAGAAATAACATACAAATAGCATTTTATGTAGAGTGTGTCACTCATCCAAGCAACTGTATATCTTGCAAGCTCTTGAGAAGTCTGCCACTTGTCATTTTCTTTAGAAGCAAGAACATTGGCTATCTAAAAAAGTTTAATACTTTGAAGCAACCAACTTTCAAGAATGCTAAACATGAAAGGCATTCTACAAGTACTAAAGTAAGTATCACGTGTCTCATATAGAGGGTGTCTCAATACGTGAGCCGAATCGCTTCTGCAAAAAGAGCACATTGTTCAGAAAAAAAGTTTGTTTCATGGTCTTATTTTTAAATAGGCAAAAGGGACTATTATAAGAAAGTTAACGTTCGGTATAATTAGGTTTCTATTTGCATTTGAGAAATTCATTTTCTGGCTTGTATTGAAAACTGCTAAATCAGTGCACCTGCAATCAGAGCAGCAAGCACCATTTCTAAAAGTTGCGTGTGTGCAAACATACTTGTGAGGAAAGCTCACACTAACATTTACCCCCGGAAAAGTAAGTATTCAAGAAAACTTTCTGTATGGGGAAGTTCCCACATATCCAAAACTAAATCTGTTAAACATGCACATACAAGCATGTCTTGCTTTGCAGTAGTGCAGCCGCATTGGCCGTGTGCCAAGGGGAAAACACTCCCCAAGAGCTGGTTATTGGAATTATCATACTTTGCAGTTTGTTATTAATAGAACCATAGCTATTACATATACATGTAAGGGTGCTGATAGCCACATCAAAAGACTGTCTTTTTTTGCTACAGCCTCCTAGACACAGGTGTGTGAAATGCATTAAAATTAAAGATGGGCATAGCTGGGCTGTACTTTGCTTAATTTTTATTTGAAATCTTGTAGGCCTTCAGCTGTCTCATGGCAACCAATAAATAGTTCAAAAAGCAACTCTGCTTCAATTTTGTTTTAAAAAAACAAAGCAGTCCTCTTCAGTATCACCTAGGAAGACCACAGATAAGATGTTACAACCTAGCTCTGTCTAAATGTTCCTTAAATGGTTCGGCAAACTTATCAACTCGCCAAGTTGCCAAAATCGGCCAACTCGAGGCACAACCAACAGCGCAGTCAAAGCTATGGCGTGGGCGTAGCCAACATTGGGAGCTAAACGTCATCACCAGTGCCCCTTTTTGTTTGTTTACTTTTCCGGGCAAGGGTAACGGGTGACGTAAGCAACATTTCCTCTCGGCTCTCAGCGGTGTCCACGTGATTGGGAGCGCGCTTCTTGGGAGCCGTCCGGATGTTCCGCCATGGTCCCGTTGCCATCGTCTCCCGCGTCACAACCGCCGTTGTCATCTCACCGTTTGTGATTATTGTTTCTCGGAGTTTCGTTCACACTATGGACACTACGTGCGCAGTTATGCTGCAGTTGTGCAGACGTCGTCGAATGTTATAGACACCACAATGTGGTGAAGAGTGCAATGCAGACGACACTTGCGCCTGGCACACACTTGCCCCAATACCGCTTGTCGTTGCGTAGAGGATCATGTGACAGACATGTCCTTGGGAGCCCAAGGCTAATGTTGCCAGATGGAGCTGAAGTTTCAGTTTCTGCTAGTGTTTAAAATTAGATTTAACAATATATACCCCATTTTTTGCAAAGTGTCTTTCACTAGTGCTTTTTATTGCGAAATCACTCATTATCTCGAAATCTTCGGAATTGAGCGGAGTTGAGACCCAACGACATAGGAAGTTTTTTTCATGTGCTTCGCCCACATCTGCGCAGGCGCGTGTTGCTCGAGGTCACCTACAACGATGTGACGCGCCGGCCAACGCAGAGATCTGGCTGGGACAAATATCTGCATGGAATGACACGCGCTGACGCCGACATGGGCAAAGCGTGTGAAAAATGCCCCATGTGGTTGGCGTTTTCTATGCTTGAGCAGTTGCCACATGAAAGCTTGGGAATGTGGTCAATGGGTTCAGCTAGATCTCATTTTAAGCATGTTTATCGACGGTCACATCTTAAAACTCTTGACAAAGTGCCAATGCCATCCAAACAGTGCAATTACCTTGAATCGAGTAAGGACACCCACCCATTTTGAAGAGATAAAAAGTAAAACATATCTAGTGAACAATCTTTGTGAATGAGACAGCAAAAGTTTATTAAAACCTATAGATAAACACCAGGCAACAGCTGCCACAGGAATTGATATTAAAGATCGCGGACGCAGATTAGTGTTGCAGGGTGCAATAAACAACGTGGGAACTCGCAAACTCCCATGTCATGGGAACTGATACCGAACGCAGCAAGCTTGCGTTCCACGATGCTATAAACTCCCTACAAACTCCAGTGTCATGGAAAAAGATACCGCTGGTCGTGGACACAGCAGATTTGCGTTTCATTGGTCAATTAACACGCGAGAACTTGGTACGAACTGACATTTCATGGGAACTGGTATTGCGAACGCAGCAGATTCGCGTTTTATAGTGCGACAAGTATGCAGGAACCCGCTACAAACTCGCGTGTCACTTGACTTTGATATTGCGCGCATGGGTGATGTGATTCGGGTCGGAGACAATGTAATGACCGACGGGAATGAAGGGTGGACGATATTTCGTGACTTTTAGCCTATGGATATTTGGCCAGAAAAACGGGATGGGCTATCTCTCGGGGGAGGGCGCCCTTACGGGATTTTACGGTAAGTAAAGACCAGTGTTTGCTTGTGCCGATGCAATGACATTGTCAGGGGGCTGCGCTTTTGTGAGACTCCATTTTTTAATGCGAAAGGATTAAGTGTCTCATGAAGCAAGCTGATGTCCACGGTTTGAAGTGCAAAAACGGCACCTATTTTCCGCGATCGCCTTCAGTTCCATTGGCTGGCGTGCATCAACGGGGCTCCCATTGGCCGCTGCGCTCGTCAGTTTCCACGACCGCTCACTAGTGGTGCAATACTATCGATAGTCGCCAGAAATTTCACTTTCGATAGTAAAAAAAGCTCTTAGCAAAGAAAACTATCGATAGTCGACTATTGTAAAAAAGCGATTGATAGTACTATCAATAGTCGACTATCGGAAAATTATTGTTAATCGACTATCGTAAACCTATCAATAGTACTGTCTATAGTTTTGTGACACTAATAGTTAGTGTCGCTCCCTCTTCTGTTTCTCGCTTTATTTTTTCAAATGGGACACGAACTAGCTGAAGCGCTGACCATCCCAACTTTGGTTCAGCTTTCAGTGATGACGAAGACTGCGAGTGGCGGTGCGGCAACTGTGTTCGCTCTATAGACTGGCATGCTGTTTACAAACAAGCCCTCGTTTGCCCACATCAAGTCTGGGCACTGCACGTGCGCAGAAACCGAATGCGCGTGAACTGAATCGTCCGCGCATGCACAGTGCCGTCGACAGCGCCACCGCAGCTGTGCGACGTCAGGGCCGCGTGTCGGTCTATACTCGCGGTCAGCTTTCTGTGGCAATCCGAAGAGAGGATGAAAGTGCGTGTACAGCGGTAGGTGCACCCTTTTCCCTAGCATTGACTGCATTGCCACAGATAGCTGACTGCGAGTATAGTGGTTCAAAACTATCGATAGTACTATCGATAGTCGCCAGAAATCCGACTATCAATAATAAAAAACTATTGATAGTCGACGATAGTTCTGCAATACTATCAATAGTTCTGCGACACTATCGATAGCTTTGATTCACTGCTGCCCACCTTATGGCGCTGTGTGTCCATCAGGGCGCTGTTAACACAGAGCGTCCAAGGTCACCAGGAAAGCATGCGTGCTGACCGGCGACGAAAAGTATGCAGCAGACAAAAAAAGGAGCGGAGCGACTTGCATGCTTTTGCATTCAGAACTCATTAGAAGTGCTTAGGTGTACCTCGAGCTTTTTTAGAAACCTTTGCACATATCGCAGTGCAAGAACATCAGAAATGCAGTCACGAAGCTCCGCGGCAAGAGTGCCGTTTAGAGCAAAAATATTGGTTTTTGTGCAGCCCCCCTCTTCACAAGAGCCTGCATTTGAGATTAGTTCCAATTTTTATCGCTGAAGCTAGGATTTCGGACACTGGTCTCTACGTATTTACTTCATACGCTCATGCTATCATTCATCAACCAACATGCATTTCGAATAGCTGCTGCAATAAAGCTTTCTTTTTTAGAAAAAGGCTGGCTTTTGTTGCACTATTGTGTACCTGGTGCTTTTACAACAGGTAGTCGAGTGATGGAGGAAATTAACTGTTATGCTACGAGGACCTCCCTACCTCTTATGGTTGGGCAGGCTAACACTCATCTTGATAAATTAAGGTATGCTTGCACTCTAATGTGGCTAGGACCAATTGCACTGTTGCAGCAGTTAGTACAGCATGCATCGGTGTTATTTCACTTGACTCATTGCTCAGCTTGCTGCCCCAAATGAGCCCTTTCCACCCATTAACCAATGTGACCAAAGTGAAAAATTCACTTTGTACATTCATCAACCTACCGTAGAATACCGTGCACACGCCCATTCCACACTAAGCTTCGGCAATATTATGGGGCAACTCCACTCGGTTAGGAAACTCGCCCTTGAAACCTGGGCCGCTGGCGTCCACAGACCGAGCTAAATATGATAACAGCGCCACCCTTTAGCAACGAGTTGAAACACAAAAGTTGCTTTATACGACTGCTGCGAGATGGCGCCACCGGCCCTTCCGCGACTCGACGGAACCAGTAAGTGCAGCCATGCAGTTCTTGGAGTGGCCGCTGCGGGAGAAAAGACAGCGTTGCTATCACAGTTAGCCCGATGCTGGGATGAGGGTCGGTGCCACTTTTTCTGAGCAGGCTTCATAATCGTTTCCCAACTGAGAGGCTCTAGTAATGATAAAACAAACCTAAGCACCGCTTTTCAAATCTGCAAGATCTGAGAAAATATGCACAGTACATTGATATGCAAACTTGATGACCGGACAAGCACCCACTCCCTTTTTTCGCGATTGGGCGCTTGGCCAGCATTTTGCAGCAGCCTACTTTATTTTGCCCTTCTAGGAGCATTGGTAAGTTCCACACTGAAGTGTGCGAGGCAAAGTTCCCAAGATAATCCACAATGCCAAATGTGTAGGTACTGTAAGGAAAACTGCACATTATCACGATGCCCGCATAACTTGGTAATTAACTGCCACCAGATGTCTTTAACATCTGCAATATTTTACTAAAGCAGCTATTGACAATGCCCCCTTGAGGGCAAACAAGTGAAAGCCCAAGCGAGAAGGCAGCCTGCTACGGATGCGAAGCATTTTATTTCCGCAGTATGTCCTGCTCCACCGGTCACTTCTTTGCCGGGGCCTTCTTGCCACCCTTGGACTTGGCGGCAGCTGCCTTCTTGGGGGCAGCGGCAGTGGAGCCGCCCTTCTTCTTGATAGCGGCAGCCCTGCGTGCCTCGAAGGACCTCTTGAGTGCCAGTTGCCATGGCTGCAGCTTCTCCTCTGGCAGCTTGACCTGCAACAGAGCCATGCTGCTATTTAAACCTCAAGTATGCCATACCAACTTCACATTCTTCAATGAGCAAAAATTCCCAAAACTATAGTCTCCGCCAAAAATGAAAACGGCGGAGAAAAGTTTCGGTTGTCCCATTTCCAGCCTGAGCTCTCTATCTTCGCTAATGCTTCAACGTCTTGCAAGCCTCGAGCATGTGAGCACAGCCAAAGCACGGCAGAAGGCAGCAAATGCGTGCTAAAACACACCCTGCCGTTCTCACCTTCTCAGTGACTATAGCTTATTTCGTAAAGAAGCTATCCAACAAATCACTGAAAGACAACTAAAAAAAAAAAAAAAATGTAACAAAGATGGCGATTCCAAAAGTAAACTTAACAATGGACCGAAATCGCTGCCGCCGCCAGGCTGATTCCTGAAGAAATGCAGTTCGCGATACGTGTTTTAGCTCTCTGACCATCTGGACGCCGCCAGCCGTGATCCAGTCGTGCACTTCATGCATCTCAAGCCATTTTAAGCTCCGTAGGACTATTTATGGTTCAGACAACCCTGCAGTTTACCACCATTTGGTGTAGCTCTGTGTTCATTTAAGGTTGCATTGAAACAATGTACTTTTCAGTAATGCCGCGTGCATAACTCAAAAGAAATGCTTCTCCGTGCATCTAGAAGTTTCGTGTTTATATCTACAGCGAGTGTAAGAGATGAGGACGTCAGAATGACCTTGCCTAGTCAGTCTCACCCTAGCTCTTTCCCAAACAGTCTAGGTTGAATATTCGAGTTGACGAGCACAGTAGATAAGGAGCCAAGCTCGGCATTGCAAATGCATTTACTGATTCACTCTTGCAATAGTCAACTATGACGCTCACGCCTCGTTGTTTTGCTGCTGCTTTCTCAACGCTCGTTTTTTTTTTTTTCTTTGTTTCCGTTCGCCGACTAAACTTTATTTTCAGTTCATCATTCGTCCTCTCTTCGCCTTCATTTGTGACAGTATAACAAAGCATGATAAATGCAGCCTCTCAGCGATTTTTGTGTGGGGTGAACATTTAAAATCCCCTCTTCTCCTTAACGTAGGCACATCAGGTTACTTTGCACGTGTACATGATGCATGGAAAGCAACAAAGCCATTATATACAGGGGCGATGACACGGTGCACTTACGACCCGCTGACATGGTAAGACGTGTCAAAAATGGCGTGGCAGGCCGAAGCACGTAACCGCAGCCCGCAGGAGCTTCCCAGAACGTCCAAAGCGCGCACCCCCACTTTAGCTGCTTATTTCGAGAGGCTATAGGCCAGCGGTCTCAAACATGCGGCCCGCGACTCGATGGGACACGGCAGGCAGGAAACCGGCTACTAGTCCAACCAGCTTTTTGTAATGACAACAATTCCAGTACTAAGCTGCAAGGGTGAGCTCTTTGTTGAAGGATGCATCTTGGCTGCGCAAACTCTCGATCAGCAAGAGCCACTGCCGAAGATAAAGCTACGAGCTCGGAATTCTCGTCTTAAAAAACGTATCACCATTAAAAGACCAGTATGGGTGTTGTAATAGAAATCTCCAGGAAAGTAAGAACTGTCAAATAACTGATGTTTTTCAGAGACACGTCGAGCTTATGGCCAATTTGTCTGGGCCCTCATCGCACCGGTGCAGTGCAGTTCGTGGTACACGGAAGGCTAGAGGGGAGCTTCCTTCTCTCCCCGCCAGTCTTTCGTGTACCAAAGTGGAAAGAGGTTACTGCATTGGACGGCTGTGGTGTGCCCCAGACGAATAGTCCACTAGTTAATTCCTGAGTGAATTGAGCAACGGGAACAACAGTGTACTTGCTCTCTTGTTCTATTAAAAATATGAGGACGTTGGCGGGGTGGTGTCATTTTAATTATTGTTATCACGTCAAGTCAGGGCCTGAAGTAGTCTTCTAAACAAACCAAACGTAAAAATGGCACTGGAAAAACTGAGTTTACATAAAGCATAGAGCACGAGGTGTCTTCTCTTTTAAACCTTTTGACCCACCCATCTAACTTTGGCCCCCGATCTTCCCAGTGTCCGCTATCTGGCCCCCATGCTCAGATGAGTTTGAGACCACTGCTACAGGCCAACACGCCATTTACAAACAAGCCCGAACGAGGTGTGGGCACTGTGCATGTGCAGAAAACAGATTTGCGTGAAGTGGACTGTTTGTGCATGTCAATAGCAGCACCACTGTACCGGCGCGACGTAAGGGTCATGTGTTGGTGTATTCGCGACTCCAGCAAAACGGACGCCGCCAAGCGGGAAAACCGGGAACCAGTCGGTCCAGGTCGCTCTGCGCCCCGCCGCGTCTCTGATGGCTTTCGCGAACACGCGCTGTCGGCGCGGGGGCGAGCAATGTAATTTGACGAAGGTCCGAAAATTTCTTAAGTTTGCCTGAGTGTTCATTAGTGTGGTGAAGCCTCAGTAGATTGTTTCTTTCCAACACGTGTTTGAAAGCCCGTTTACTCCACAACACACGGTCGCGTGCTTTCAATTTTTTTAATGAGGAGGAATCACGGAAAAACGTTTTGATTTCTCGTCTGTCTCTAATCGCATTCAAATAGACGACTGCTTGGTAACTGATAAGTGGTTTCTTTATAAGGATGTATAACAGTGGACTGAGGTCGACAGACGAAGTGTTTCACTGGAGGGAACACCAATGTTGCAGTCAAGTGAATGGGAAGGTTCGATACCTGCTTTCCTTGAGTTCGGTTGTGCTCGATTAGCTTCAAGTTAATTTGAGCCACTAACGCCGGCCAGTGCGTTGGCTATTCATCTTGGCGGCTTTTCACCGAAAAAGACCACATTGAAGGAGTTGGGCTAATTTTGCAATTACTTGATTCAGAAAAGCTGCTCGCTGCATATGATTAATGAGGGAAATTATCTGTTTTTAAAAAGGTGGGGGACGCGTCTCGCAAAGTAAGAAGCTGTCACGTCATTAGGATCTATCGCGCCTCCAATATTTATATTATAACGGGCCCTGTCGAAGCCAGCGGCAATATACGTCTACATTGCTCAGGTTGACCGGCCACAAAAAAAATACTCATTTTATCCGTTCAGGATTCGAAGTCAAGCTCAATGCAGAGAGGTTCTGAGTGAATCTCCGATGAAGACTCTCCTCAGTTTGTCCGCGTTCGTCTCCGTTCTACGGGCTAGAACCATTTGGCTAAGTTTAAGTAGTATCTCTCTGTCTGTCAAATATACTTTTATTCACCAGTTCACCTAATAGTTAGTTAACTAAGTTCATATTTGAACCCAAAGAATACACTAATATCGCTTTAGTGGGACATAGTACGTAATATAATACATAATCCGCATATTCGTCAAAATGACTTCTCGATTGCTACTAAAACCTGAATTGAAATACGAGTATCAGCTGCTTAGTGAAGCGCCAGCGAGTTGACATGCCCCTTGGCTCAAGAAGCGCTTGCTTAATTTTCGTAATTTTCCTGCAGCCTGTGTTCTTGACCGAGCACACGACTGGAGCTGTTTCTTGAAACGCGGACAGGCACAAAAGCTCAATTTCGCGGACAGATTAGTCGCATGGTCGAGGCATGTGAGTTAGCTAAAAATTACTCTCGGTGGAACAATTTTGTAGCCCTCGCCGCTTTTCTTAGATGATCAAAACTAATTAGAGTCTATTAACGTTTGTCCGGAGCCCATAGTTTCGGTTTTGATCGAAGTCTCCGAAACGAAAGTTTGGCATGAAAAGAACAAAAAACACTGGCAAAACAAAACTATGCTCGGCAAGTTTATGCGCACCGGCTACACTTAACTGTCTCAGTTCAAATACCCATAAAATTGGGCATTCAACCGAAGAAAATTTGTTAAATTGAATGCGCCTCCCTTTCAGGCGGCCGGGCCAAGCCGACGTGACCTGGACTCAGCCGCCATGTTTGTTTGGTGGTGGCGCCCCCTATAGGTCGCTGGAGTCGCGAATAGGCGATCGAACGCATAGCAGTGGCGGCCACATACGATTGGATGGTTATAGAGCGCGACGGCGTGACGCAACACCCAGCAACCACGGTGCAGTGGGGAACAGCGGGGCTAGGGCGTACTTGGGCCACTGGCGGGGTGCCGTGTATGGGTGGGCCGAGGTGGGTTAATACTTTGCAATGAACCATTCGCAGACAGTCACTGTGAAGAGACATGAATGGGGGAGCCGGGATGGGTTAGCACACGCCCGTGATATGCCCGCCGTCCTCGGTGCACGACCCGAAAATGAGCGGAGGCGGACGTCGTAGGTGATCTTGAGTTGCTAGGTGTTATGTCATGTCATCGCTCCCTATCACCAGCCCATCCAGTGCTGCCTCCTTTGCTATGCGTATCATCGCCAAGCCTTGCAAAAAATACACCCTGCCGCCATCCGTTGGCGCTTGTAGAAGGCGTTTCCGAGCCAGTGGGGCTGTTGCACCATCCCGTGGCGATGTTGCAAACTTAAATATGTGCGCTCCAAACCAGTCCAAGGTCAGTGCATGTACCAGGTCACCAATGCTAACGCATTAAAAAGAAAGTACCTTCCCTATTTATATTTGAGAGGTATTGAAAATGTCAAGACTTACGCCTCGCTTCTCAGCCAGGAGGAGACGCTTCTTGAGCTTTTGCTTCTGGTTGAGCAGCACAGATGCTCTGCGGGTCACGGCTGCATATGGGTTCAGCCTCAGCATGGCATTGATGTTCTTCAGCGGGTTCTTCTTTTGAGTACGGCGCACAACCTTCTTGCTGCATTGAGGGGAGCAAGACATGCACAGTTTCACTTGAGAACTCTTTAAATCCCCAAAAGCATGGGCCCTTCCCAACAGGAAGGACCAGCAACATATGAAGCTCAACATATTGGAAACATCTCTTACCAAGGAGCCCTGATGACCTGTCGGATCTCGTCGCTCTTCAGGATACGACTGATGTCAGAGTTTGTCATCTGGGGCTTCGGAAGGCTGCAAGAAAAACGTTGGATCAATTGAAAAGGCTGTATACTCTTCAAGGACCGCTCAAGCAAAAACTTGTCAGACAGCCGATGTGACCCACCTAAAGTTCTTTTTCTCGGATGAGGGCTTCCTGTAGGTGCCGTACAGCTTGTCAAGACGGCGGAAGGCACTCTCCGTCCAGATGACGAAGCGTCCGACGTGGCCACCAGGAGCCATCTTCAGCAGGTTCAGCTTGTCCACACGTAGCGTGTCCACGCCTGATGCAGAGAGCACAATCATACTCATGCATATCCAAGCTAAGAGCCGTACAGGCTATACTCCGTTCAACCCTAAGCTGAGACTTTGGTAGAAGGCATGTCCTCGTTGGACCAGCCATACGCCTCTCTTTTGCCACGTCATCATGCTCCTGGCCATACCCACGTGCAGAGAGCCGGGTCAGGTGATAAGAGGGAGGCAACCGATTGGTACAGTGGGCATGCAGCTCCCACTGCAGTCGCAGCTTAAGGGTGAACCGAGGATAGAGATGCATCCGCAGAATATCCTCCAGTTTCTTCTGCTTACCCCACAGTAGTATTGTGCACAAAGAGTTAAGAAGCAAGCTCAGTTTAGCTCATCTATCATTAACCCCTTAACTGGGGATCACGTTTTTAGAAGCACTGCCATTTTGACCTTGAAATGGCAGAGTGTCTAAAGATGCACAACACTTCCTTTGGATGGCGGGAGCATGAGGGGAAACAGGTGCCAATTTCTGGCGGGGGTTGAATGTGTTTCCATCTATCGGACACAATGCCAAACACGTTAAGGTCTGTTTGCGTTTGCTGGCTGGAGACACAATTAAACTGCTTTGGTAGGTAATGTCGGTTTTTCTTTTCGTTCTGAAGGATACGCGGACGAGGTGTGAAATTTTGACAGTCGCAGAAATTGCGGCGTCGCACGAGGGAAGTATTGATATAGACTCGGACGCAAGTATGCACTGAGAAGCTGGAAAGAGAAGACGAGCGTGCGCAGAAATGTCATAATGCCGAGCTCTGGTTTGAATGACTAGTGGGAAGACCTAAAGCTAGCTGCCATTATTTCCACTGCACTCGCCGAACATGTTTGAATGTGAGAGCCAAATGTTGAATGCTGGTGTTTGGCGAGCGCAGTGGAGACAAAGGCTGCTAGCTTTAGGCCTACCCTCTAATCATTCCAACCAGAATTCAGCGCTCCTCAAAACTCACTTGCGAAAATGCTCGTCTTCATGACCTCCAGTAAATATGAAATATGTAAAAATGAACAGTGTCTTTGTTTCTCTGTGCTTAATACAACAAGAAGCAAACATGTTATTCCTTTACATTATAAACAAAATGGAAAGCTTAGTGCAAATAAGGGTTTCAAGCCTTTTGGGCGTGCGTCCATGACCCAAGGCAAGGTCACACACTCAAGAATAATATCTCACCACTTAAAGGGCAACTCCGGTCCATACTTTCGATTTAGGGATTATGACTGTTTTTAGTGCAGTCAGCGTCCCCGAATCGCAAGGTCTAATTTTTTTCTTGTTATTGTGCATAGTTTTAAAGATATCGACGCCTCAAAGTTTTGCTTGGGGCGAGGCCAACAAAACCGAAACTAGCCGCTCGAGGCTCCGGCAACACTGAAAATCAGCCGCTATGTGAACGTGACGTCAGGATCGTTCTCGTTCAACGAGTACGCAGGCCGACCGACACCTACCTCTGTTGCGCTAGCCGTCTAAAGATAAGAGGTAAGTTGATTGTGTTTTAATCCTGTATACGTGGTAGTTATCCAGCATATCTAGCAAGAGTTAGTGCGTATACCTAAGAAATAGCGACTGGAAAACCCGTGAACAGGGGCGCGGTGGCCATACTTGGCGGCCGCCACCGTGCGTGCGCTATGCCGTACTCGTCGCTTGTATACCTAAAAGCTAGCGACTGGAAAACGAATGAACTCGTTCGGTGCCGTACTCAGCGGCTGTCGCCGTGTGTGCGGTCTTCCGTACTCGTCGCTAGGCCTAAATTGCCATCGGGGCTCCGTGGATGGAGCGGCGCTGCTCTACGCCGCGCCGCCAGTGACGTACAGTACTGGGCCCTCTCGCTTTCGCGCTGCGGGTCAGTCCCAGACACGAAGCTTTGAGGCTCTCCGGCGTTGGCTGCGGCGCCCGAACACACGTGTGCTGGGCTGTACATGTCTATTTTTTCGTTCTTTTTTCCTTGGGCTCATAAAAGCCGAAGTCCAAAGTCCACTCGTCGAACAGCGTTCACCCACACCTTCTCCAATTTCTTGTGCATTGGAAACTTGTGAAAGAGCACCTCCGTGTTGCGCGGCGGGTTGTTTGAGCAGCCCACAGCGCTACAAGTTGCACTCGGCATCTTGAGAGGAACAGCTGGGCAGTCTTGGGCGCACCGAGTTGCTCGCTAAAAAGAGTCTTGGAGTCCTCACATGGGGGGCAAATAAACAAAAGGCTATACCGAAGCTACACGGGCTACAGATAAAAGCAACGGCTAAACAGGCCAATCACGAGCCGAAGTAGCGGTTGTAACGGCTCAAAGAAGCGCACTCCGCGCAACGCCCGGACCGGAGGAAAAAAAGAGAAGGATACTGACGTCACGGCCCAGTGTTGCTTTAGCGATCGGCAACCCGCTGGCCGCCCGCTAAGGAGCAGCGGCTCGCGGCGGGTCGCTTTTATATTATCGGCATTAGTTGAGAATGCGGCGTCCCACGGACGTAATATTTTGGCTGGGGTCGAATTTTGTGTCACTACAGCTGTATAGCTGTAGTGACACAAAATTCGACCCCAGCCAGTAATTTATTTCATTTTGAGTTTTGGCCGGAGTTGCCCTTTAAGGGGTTAACAACTCATCAATTAGTGCCACAATGAAATTCTGGCGAGTTACTACGATGGCAAACGCTTGAGAGTGCTCATGTCACCAGGGTACAAATGATTCTTGTCACCAACCTACCTGGGATGTTCCTGAATGCACGAGTAATTCCGTTGTCGGCTTCAAACACCACCAGGGGACCCAGCCTTTGGATGCGCCTGCGGTTCCTCATTTTACCCTTGCCAGCACGCAGCCGACGGGACTTGTACACCTGTGTGTATGCAAGATCTGTTTTCATCTGTCCTTGAGCAGAACTCGTCTAAACTCTTTTTGCAAGTTTCTAACCCTCTCCGTTCAATCCTCCCCAACCTCGAGAAAAAGCCACGCGCAGCGGTATGCCAGTGTTCACGCACGCAGTATGCGCACAAAGTTCCACTCTTCCGTGCAGAGGGAAGACAGGGTTTGACTGCTAGAGAGGTCCATAGTGCAGTGCTACCAGCAATGACGTGGCTTGGTAATTCTTTGCAGCCTAGATTGGCATGCCACTGGGACCTACAATCTCAATTATCCCACAATTAAAGGATCAATTCCAACTATATCAGGGCAGGGGCAGTTGCTTTACACTACCACAGAAGATCCTATTTTCCAACCCCCTAAACGCTTTGCCTGCAAAGGAAAGCAACACATCATGAAACCCCGGCATCTTAATAACGGCCCGGGACGTCACTCCAGTGGCAGTTGATCTTTTCCGCCAGAGATATGTGTCATTCCACATATGCAATATGTGCAAGTTTTGCATATTCCCTCCCTTTCTGAGCCAAATAACGAAGTAACTAATACAGTAACTGAAGTAATAACTACCCAACTGAAGTAATGACCAAGTGCCTAGAAAGCAAACAGGCTATCCCCTTCACCTAATGTAGGTGTACTACTATAAGCCATGTTCAGACTGATTAGGTTTGGTAGAACTATGGTGACTGGAACGCATCATCAACTGGTGTCTACAGCATCCTAAAAAGCGGTTCCCAAATTTCTGCCCGACGATACCATGGAAGTGGCACGTTGTCGACGGCTGCGATCCTGGCGTTGTAACAGCAATGGTGGCGGATCTGGGAGAACAGCATGTTTGGCTGCAGGTTGCTCTTTAGCTCGACAGACCGCAAAAACCTAAGCAGCCACGAGTTGGGACTCCGCGACGGTTGTCTGTACTTTTTGCCGTGGCTTCTACGACCAACCGTGCCAGGATCGCGATAACCGACGTGACACTTTGGCTTCTGCGACATCATTTGTTGGCCCCTCGGGGCCACTTTCGACGTGTGGGCGGGATAGGATGCGAAACACGCCAGATGAGGACGCATTCCAGATACCGTAGTGGTACAGCTACTCTGGAGGCATGAGGGGCTGAAGAAAGCCTCACCTTCTCAACATCTGTCCATGCCTTCACCTTCTTGAGGAAAAGCACAGCCTCCTTGGTCTTTTTCAGGTCCTGGATTTTGTCACTCACCACCAGAGGAACCTCAGGAATCTCCTCAATCTTGTGGCCTGTTCAGAGAAGCACGCAACATTCTCGACAAACTCCCTACACCGGCCCCAGAAAAACTATAAACAGACGCAGACACTGGTAAGCACACGTGAGAGACAAGGAAATAAGGTATGAACTATATACATAAACTCGCGTTTCTAATGTCACACATTCTTCATTACTATAAATGAGCTTTTGCAGTTTTTTTGTTTTTTTTTATTCTTCTCGAAATTAGGTTCTTTTTTCTCCCCACTAATTTGGTGTTTCTAAATCTCCATAAAAAAAAAAAAAAAAAAAAAAAGAACAATTTAATTTTAAAAGTTGGGGGGATTGGAGGCTGAGTGGGCTAGAGCACACCAGCTCAGAGCGAATGGAGCGAAAGCTCGCACTGCAGAACCCAAGGATCCTGGGTTCAATTCCCACCTTTGCCCATTTTTATCTGGATGAGCATCGTACCGGCGTGCGGTCGTGCATCACTAATGCGTGGTGCATGTTAAAGGCTCCAGGCTAGCGGTTGTACTGCACTGGCTAAATTTCTCGTCTACACCTGAGAGACAAGTTGCCCGCTGAGTTAGACTAAGTTCTAGGCTGTATAAACATGCACACACCCCAATATTTTTCTCTAATTGAAGGCTTTGACTGGCTTCTGCAGTGATCAAATACTACAGCAGCGCTGATCATCTGTCGTAAATAGATGCTGAAGATTAAGACAATGCTTTGTCAATCCTTTGAGGTTAGAAAGGAGACTGGAGCGGCCTCTCCTCGGGAGCAACAGTGACTTGGCGCCCTATGAAAATTAGCGTAAAGTGCCCTGGGATTTTTCTTTGTCATTCAGATCTTGGGCTTTGTGTGAACGACAAATCAGTACTCGCCGGTAATAAAACATGAAACCCCACATAAACGGTGAATTGGTGGTGTATACTGTCAGAATATTGTAACAACCCTTGCTTGTAGAATATTTGTCGTGAGAATGCCATTTCCAGAGAAGCCAGACTAACATGCATATCATTCAAGATTCTACTGAGATCAAAAATTTTTTTTTTTTGCCCAATACTTCTGTAACATCACAACACTGTTGGTACAAACAAGCACTCACTATGTCTTTTTTCTGTTCATCTCCGAGAATCTAAGGGCCATCATCAAAACTACTAGTGATTGAAAAGTGCTCATTTGGGACATTAAACTAAGGGATAAAATTCTATGCGGTGTTTGCATTAAGTGTACATGCAACATATACACTCTGCAACATTATTGGTGCGAAGAAGCCATCACCAGTTTTCTCTACTTTTCTCTCAATACCGAAGGACCGTAATTAAAGCTACTACACTGGTGGGAAGTGCTCAATTAGGGGAACTAACCCATGTGGTTAACTTTGATGCCCACCAGTATACCCTTTCGAAGATGAAAAAAACAATGTTGCGCCACGTAGCTGCCGAGTCAATGGGGGCGGCCTACATACCCTTGGAGAGAACCAGACCGGGAACTCCGGTGGCAGCCACGGCAGAGCAGATGGCATAGCGCTTCTGAGCCACGTTGATGCGGCGGTGCCAGCGGCGGTAGGTCTTGGTCGGGGCAAACATGCGGCCACCTCGGCACATGTTGCCAAAGGCACCCTGGCCGGAACGGTGGGTGCCTCCACCACGCACACGTGGGATACGTGCCACCGCACGACCAGTGCCCCAGGACTCGGCAGAGGTCTGGTGCCCTGTGTTCCGAGCAACACTCCAGTAAACGAAAGTACACTAAAATGCTCGTCTCGAGAAGGCAATCGAACGCTCCTTTTTGCAAACAACAAAATGTGTGCTTGAAAGAGTGTATTTGTGAATACAATGAAAACAGAATTGTAGCTCTTTGCTTAGATATGGGGTACTGAGAAAGTGCCACTCGTTCAATTAAAGGTGCAAGCCAACATTTGAATTCAAATTAAACGAAGACTAAATCGTACAATCCAGAGTCACGGACAGAATAAAATGGCACAAAGGTCTTTCACTTGATCCGCTTCCAGCACAAGCCTCCTGCCCTCAGACACGTCTCGGGAAGTTCGAGCGTGCACACAGAGAAAAAGCACGATGAAGTCTTCCCATCCAAAAGAGTCACTTGGCCCTTGTCCCGTTCATGACAAGTGCAGGGAGTCTCTTTCGGATGGCCAGCCTCAATTCGTTCACAATTTTATGGTTATGCTGGCACGTTCGAAGTGGATGCACTACAACTAAAAGACACCCTCCCCTTTTTCTTTCCCGTCAGTAACCATAGTGGAAGCTTCTCATCTCAAGCTCTGTTGGAATGTTGCCGACGGCCTATTTTCCATGTGAAGCCATGGAAATAGGTGACTGAAGGTTTTGCTCGAGTCGATTCCCAAGAGATAAAACATTTGGACCCCCAGTGATACACCTTCGACATAGCCACTTCAGAAACAGTAGTTCGAGATCTTTCAAGAGGCAAGTCGTATTTCAACACTACCGTGCAGGAGCTTGCAAAAATTTGCTGAGTACCCGTTCCAATTCGTATTCATCAGCAAACATCCTGCTGTCGGATACCACCTCCGGGCTCTTCAGATAAAGGGGTGTCCAAACAGGACACTAGAAAACGCACGACTCCGACAAATCGTGAAAATTGAAGCGGGCTTGAAGCGGGCGCGTCCGCTTCAATTTTCACGATTTGTCGGAGTCGTGCGTTTTGTAGTGTCCTGTTTGGACACCAAGACAGGCGCAAAGAGTCGGTCGGCGTACCGGCTTCCTTCGAGACGGCGTATGGCTGTCGGTTGTTCTTGGACATGTTCACGTGAACGAAGTTCACGATGTCCGGCCTGATGGGCGCCTTGAAGACGGCCGGCAGGGCCACGTGGGTCCCGGACAGCTCGTTCTTGTCATTGTACACGTTCACGAGGGGCCTCGCTATGGTATACGCCTGCGAAAGAAGCACGAATAAGACCAGTCGGTTTGCCACCAAGTCATCGGGTCAGCAATTAAGACTATCGCAGCGCTAGTCACTCGATGTTTTTCGCGATACTGACAATACAACTACAAGATCGCGTTCGAAGCGCGAGGAAAAGTACGAATTCAGTTTACCACGTGGCGGCCAACTTTGTAGTAAAACAAAAAATAAAGGTGCTAAATAGAAATACTTGCGCTTCGCGTTTGTCTAAGCGAGAAATTTTAGTATAACCAATCTGTGCAACAAGAGCCGCTTCTCCACTAATGCCAAGGCAAAGAAAAGCGGTGGCATTCTTGCTGGCACAGAAAAAAAGTTGCTTAGGCTTACGGCCGGCAAGCGTGGTAATTGAATTTGACGATCATACACCAATAAAACAAAACTACCAACACGTTAACAAAGTCGGTAAGCACACAATTATTGCCATGTTAGATATCCAACTTGAAATCTGTAAAAAGCCTTACCATTTTAACGCTTTATGTTACAGTTGTCACCGATCGCCTTTGCATATGGCGACGTCGGAGATGAAAAAGGTCGGAGGAATACATGGTGCGCATAGACACGAACTACATGCTTGGATCCAAAAATAGTTCCGTCTATAATAGACTCTAGCCACAACTGTTCGCAAACATTTACGTGAATTATTTTATAAAATTGTATTTATTACTTATAGCTTTACAATAGCTTTAATGTTTTGTCAAAAAATTACTAGTCTTCCTCAGAAGAATCTATAGAAGTCGCTAGGTAGCGGAAGCTATCGCCCGTTATAAAAGGCAGAGCTATTATTATTTATCCATCCATCCCCAGTTAGCGCAAAGTTGGCGCCATCTCTCGACGCTCCCAGCAGGTTTCGTTTGTGCTCTGCAGGAAAGACGTTTACGCGTTTGCGAAGGAGCTCTGTAAATATCGTAAATATGGTAAGTGGAATTTCGATGTTGCTGGTTTAAAACGAAACTGGAATAACATCCTAATCGCGTTGTTTTCTCGCCTCTCTCCTAAAACATAATAATTTATTTTGTCCTTGCGAAGGCTGAGGAAGTGAAGCTCAGTGATGCTCACCAGAGTGTCGTGGTCAGCTACTTGAAATTCGCGAAATCTCAAAGAGCACAGAGGTTGAAAGTGATCGACAGATGCTTTGACGACGTGAAAAGCTCGAGGTAACCTTTGCTCAAATGGGCGAACGTTATTTTGATTTGTGTGGAGGCCGGTGTCATGGAAACGATCCGATCAACTCTGCGCCACAGGCTCTTGGACGAAACGTACACGGCGGAAGAAGTGAACCAGATCCTGGACGATCTCTGCCCCGTGATCCGCGCGGAGGTGGAAAGCGAGCTCATCAACGCGGTGCACGCCAACGTGATTCTCGTGCGACAACTCTGCAAGCAAGCAGAACAATGGCACCTCCAACTCCAGGCAGATGTGTCGGAACTTGAAGATGGGTGAGCGAAGTTTTGCCGCACTTTTTGAAAACAAACACCTTTTTCTTGGCCTTCGTCCAAGTACCATACAACAACACATCTAATAATTACAAATTTTCCGGTAAAGGACAAAAGAAAAAAAAAATTTTAGTCACTTTTCTTTTATTCTTGTAACTCACCAACACGATTTTATTTGTCGGATGATAAAACAAGACATGTAACAACAGTTGCACTTTCTTCTTTTGGTAGAGAAGGGGCCTCCCTTCCCTGTCCCGCTGACATTTTTAATAAGGGACAGCATCGCCCCCTGGCAGGTATTTTGCAAAACTCCCTAGAGAGAACATAGCTTCTGAGATTGTCAGTGCACAAATTTAAGCTTCCTCTGACTGCTCCATATCGGGAGAGACCTTAAAGCTAGGTGAACTCCGCTCAGTTCCAAGGGATAAACCGTGATTTCGCATTAACAAGCCCTAGTAAAAGACACTATGTCACTTTCTTCGTGAAACATGGAATATATTTTTAAGTCTAATTTTAAACACGAGCAGAAATTGAAACTTAGGCTCCGTCCGGCAACATTGGCTACAGGCCGCCAAGAACATAGCTATCACGTGGTACGAGATGTCACGTGATCCTCTACGCAACGACGGGTAAGATTGGGGTGGGCGTGGGCCAGGCGCAAGTGTCGTGTGCCCCACACTTTTCACTAGGTTTTGGTGTCTACGGCATTTGACGACATCTGAACAACTGCGGCATAAGTCTGCGCACATAGTGTCCATAGTGTGGACGAAACTCCGAGAGACGATAATCACAAACGGTGAGACGACGACGGTGCTTGTGACGCGAAAGACAGCAATAACGGCCGGACGGCTCCCAAGAATAACACTGCGCAGGCGCGCCAAGATTAAACATTGCTGATGTCACCTGTTACGCTTGCCCAGAGAAGTAAAGACAAGCAAAAGGAAGCATGGTGGTGACATTTAGCTTAATGTTGGCTTTGCCCATGCCGTAGCCTTGACTGCACTGTTGGTCGCGCCTCAATTCGCCCTTTCGAGTCAGCCGATTTCGGCAAGTTGACGAGTTTCAATGTTTGCCGGACCGTTTAAGAAACATTTAGACAGAACTACGTCATAATATTTTACATGTGTTGTTCCTAGGTGATACTGAAGAGGACTGCATTGTTTTTTCACAAACAAAAATGAAGTGGAGTTGCCCTCTAGTGGAAAGTGACTCGTCGTAGTAGAGCACTGATTACTTTAGCAGCAGGTCGGTAGTTGGGTTCTAGCCATGCACAATGTTATCTACTGTCCCTGCGCAGTGGCAATCATTGCACAGAGGGGTCCTGCTCTCAGGACACAAGCCCTGAGCTCATGGCCCCCAGCAAGCGGTGCTTTCCTTCAAAGTCCCTTGATACAATGTGCGCTTTGCGACTTTTGGATGTACCGACAACCATATTGTTGTGTGAATGCGCGAGACACGTGCCACAAGTGGGTGTTTCGTGCGTTCATTTAGCTGTTAGATGTGGGAATTTTGATCGAAACCAGTGCCAATAACTCCAGGCTGTACAGTCAAAAAAAATAGTAAACAGAATAAATAAGTTTACATTATCTTGGGTAGTGTAATAGACGATATGCGAAATGTAGAGTGCCATCTAGTAGCGTGCCGAGAACTATGTCTGCCATCTTGGTAGCGGCGAGAAAACGAAACCAGTCACCCGACCGACCGACAAAGGCCTCATGTAAACAAGCGACCGCGCTTTGTGCAAGAGATGCGATGCCAAACGTGTGGCTGCATTCTACTGTGGATGCAGCGATAAACATTAAATTTGTGCGTGACCTGAATGCAAACAAAAACAGGGTTCACAATTGTGTTTTAATTTTTATTCATTATTGAGATGCAGCTTTTGACAAAAACAATTGGTGACAACGCAAACAAACATGCGGTTGTTATCGTGCAGCGTCAAGCCATTTACACCTATTGAACTGCACCCTAATCTTTTCACAAAATTGTACCAAATTATTTTCTGAACAGTTTTCTTCTTTTATGCACGTTGTGGTGTCAGCCTGCATTTTTCTTGCTGCACAAGCAGCTCAATGTATACAAGCAAGACTATGGCACGAACCATATTTGAAGATGCTTATGGTTAACAGCAAACAACAAAAGCTGAAAGCACCACAGAGCCCTCAATTTAATGTCATATATTTAAAAAAAAAAATAATTATTTTGGAAAGCCAGAAACAATCTCATTGCTTTGCAGCGATTTCTATACACTTGATCTGGTTGTGGCTAACGAGGTTTGTAAAGCACCTCTTAAACTAAACAGGAGAATTTGCTGATATAATATCCTTGAAGATTTAAAGCACGGCCATGTAGAATAGAGAACACAGCAGACACAGACGACGTGTCTTTTTGCTGAACACTCACAGAGACGTTGAATGGAGTAGCACGGGCAGTGCAAACCTCATTTCACAATCTCCTTTTCTTTTTTTTTCTCTCTTTTTTCTTTTTGTCACAGCCGAGGTAAAAATTTTGTTTAGTGCAAAGAAGTTTGGGGAGTTGTTTTAAGAAAGTCAGTGCAGTTATTCTACGAGGGTTGAACAAATCTTCATTAATAGCGCAACATCTGCCAACTGCTTGAGGTCAATGCTATCTGAAACCAATTTGAGCTCTTTTCAATGCCTGAAAAATGTTGCCCATGGGACAGTTTCATTTAGAAGAACATAGAGCTTTTCATCAAAAAAAGCTTTCGCCAGTAACAACTAGAAAAAAAAGAAACTAAACTTGAGTTGCATGTATTGGCCTAAAGCAGTCTACCGCTAAACAGTACGACTTTGTGAGTATTCGCATTGAAAAAAGAATTAGATATGTCCTCAGAGATGAAAGGCATGACAGCCTAGTCCTTTGTCCATGTTCGGTTATCGGAAGTCAGAAAACAATAAAATTTTCGAATTTCAGCTTAGTGGCAGAGCATCCAAGACCTGGAAATGCTGAGAAACCTAAACTCAAGATACTTGATGCTACCAAGATGGCCGCATGCACAGGGCTGCCAGACCACCAAACAGTTTCACCTATTGTCTATTACTGTGGGAATAAAAGTAAAAGCAGCTAAATGAACTTGTGCTAAATTTGATGTCGTGGCAGTGCGTATCACATCAAAGGTAGCCCAAATCCTTAATGCTCATTGGTAGCACCAGTAATTAAAAAAATGGTTAATTGACATATTGCATACTGCCACATACATATGAATTCCTACGTTATTTGCAACCCCAATATGGCATGCACTTAACCGTTTTTAGTTTTGAGAAATTTCTGACCCTCAACTGCTTAATTGTTGTTTTTCAAATTACATTTAGTGCCTTCAAAATCAAGTTTCTAACAACAAACAACATGAAGAAAAAAAAACAAAAAAAAAAAAAACAACAACAGTGCTGCCATTTGTTGGCAAAGCTTCAAGCTAAGCCCTGAGTGAGCCTGGAAGGCAGATGAGACAAGCTGTACTCGTCCTGAACGGTTTGGGAACGGCTCCAAGTTGACGAGCTAGGGTTTTCCAAAACGGTTAAGGGGTTAACTCCTTTCTTCTGTTTCACATTTTGACTGTGCACCACACCAGTTTTTGCTGCACACTGGGAGGCCCTTCTCTCCATCACATCTTTTCTACTGGATGGCATTGCTTCCTATGGAGTTGCAAATATTCGTGAAAGATAGTAAGGGCAAACAAAATAAACGAAAAGAAAACTTAGTACTCCCTTTTGGATTTTTGGACTCGGTGGTCAGTCTGCGGTGGTCCTTCACTGCTTTGTCATCTTTTCTTGCCAGTTTAAAGGGCAACTCCGCTTCATTTTTGGTTTTGAAAAAACAATCCAGTCCTCTTCAGTATCTCCTAGGAAGACCACACGTGAAATCTTAAGACGCAGTTCTGTCTAAATGTTTCTTAAACGGTCCGGCAAACTTTGCAACTCGCCAAGTTGCCGAAATCGGCTGACTCGAGCTGGCGAATTCAGGCGCAACCAACAGCGCAGTCAAGGCTACGGCATGGGCGGAGCCAACATTGAGCTAAGCGCCAATGTTGGCGCTAGCGGCAATGGGGTGCTCTGCATGAAATCAGAGGTTCAATCAGGATTAGAAATTCGGCAAAGAAGCGTAGGCAGATTGGCACTGGGAGCACATGGAAACACACCAAATGAGGGAGTACAGGGGGACATGGGCTGGTCGTCTTTTGAGAGCAGGGAAGCAATCAGTAAGTTGAAATTTGAACAAAGGTTGACTGAAATGGATGATACGAGATGGGCACGTAAGGTGTACAAGTATTTATACATGAAAAGCATAAACACAAAATGGACAAATCGAACCCGAAAGCTTACATTTAAATACCTACTCACTAATGATGGGGCTGAGCAGACTACTTCAGTGAAAAAGGGAGTGAAAGAGGCAGAGAGGAAAATGTGGGAGGGAAGAATGCAGGAAAAATCGACTCTAACGGTTTACAGGTCACAAAAAAAGGACATACGAAAGGGAAATGTGTTTGACAACTCGCTGGGAAGTTCTTTACTTTTCGAGGCGAGAACGGGAGTTTTGAGGACGAAGACGTATAGGGCTAAATTTCTGGAGATAGACACATTATGCGCTGCATGCCGTGATGAGAGTGAGACACTTGAGCACCTAGTTTTAAGGTGCACGAGGCTTCGTCCTGCCCCTCCTGAGGGTGTGACGGGTTTGGCCGGGGCCCTGGGCTTTGCTGGCGACGATGGAAGGACGGAGGAGAAGAGGATCACAATAACAAAGAGGCGGTTAGAAGATTGGTGGAAATTATCTAGGGAAAATTGAATGATGCACAACTAACTAGCACAGCTGGGGACAGGCGGGACAGAGGAAAATTGGGACTCCCTCCCGCGTGGCTCAGGCCCAAAGTCTCAACCCTGTCCCCCAGTGGGTTGGGTGCAGGGGTAACGCCGACAAAGTTTGACCAGAGGAAAATTGGCGACTCCCTCGCCGGGGGGAAGAGGCGGGGGGTGATGTTTTTAGTTTTTTTGCCCGATCCCCCAAAGGTCAGCCTGGCGATATCCCGCGCTACCTGGTGATAGTTAGGAGGGGGGGGGGGGGGGGGGGGGAGAGAGAAAATTGGCTTAGAAGGGCGGGGGAATCAAATGTTTGTCTTTATTAGACGTAGGCTAGGTGGCGCAAGCTACCGCCCGATACAAAGGGTATAGCCAGTAGCATCCATCCATCCATCCATCCAACATGGCCCCCTTTTGCTTGTTTTTACTTCTCCGATCGAGCGTAGCGCGTGACGTCAGCAACGTTGCCTCTCGGTGCTCAGCGGTGTTCACGTGATTGGCGTACGCGCCTGCGCAGCCCGCTTCTTGGGAGCAGATCAACCGCCCGCCGTGGTCCCGCCGTTACCGCCGTCTTCCGCGTCACAACCACCGTCGTCGTCTCACCGTTTGTGATTATTGCCTCTCGGAGTTTCGTCCACACTATGGACATTACGTGCGCAGAGTCGCAGACTTATGCCGCAGTTGTGCAGACGTCGTCGAATGCCATGGACACGAAAACGTGGCAAAGAGTGTGGTGCAGACGACACTCGTGCCTGCCGCACGCCCGCCGCCCCCATCCCGCCCGTTGTTGGGCCGAGGATCACGTGACATCTCGTACCACGTGATGGCCATGTACTTGGCGGCCCGAGGCCAATGTTGCCGGACGGAGCCAGAGTTTCGGTTTCGATTTCCGCTCGTGTTTAAAATTAGATTTAAAAGTATATATCCCATTTTTCGGGAAGCAAACGACGTAGTGTCTTTTACTAGGGCTTTTTAATTCGAAATCACTCATTATTCCGAAATCTTCGGAATTGAGCGGAGTTGCCCTTTAAAGAAAATGGCGATGAGCCTCCTTTTAGCGAATTCGGCCGCTGCTAAGCGGTGTGTACGGATGGTTCAGGTGAGTCAACATTTTTGTAATGAGCCACCACAGACTGCCGCGGCGGTGGCTGCGGCGGCTCATTACATTAGAGCTCATCACTGGGGTGAGTTAAGCGTATGCCCCAGTGATACACGCGCTTACCAGGGAAGCCTTTTTTTAAACAGCGTTTTTTTCGATAAACAAAGTTTTTCTAACTTCTGGCTCCGCTTTCTCTAAACCGAACTTCGATAAAACGTGCTTGTTCTCTGAAACATGTTTCAATGAAATGGTGTTCAATCAACTGTAGTAAACCTGAGAAATTTAGCCAATGCAGTACAAACGCTAGCCTGGGGCCTTTAACATGCACCATGCAGTAGGGATACACACCGGTACTGTGCTCATCCAGATCGAAACAGGCAGGTATGGGGATTGAACCCAGGATCCCTGAATTCAACATCACGAGATTTCGCTCTGAGCACTCTGAGCTGTGGTGCGTTAAAACATTTGGCCACCGATCCCTCTTTTTTATTGTTAAACTTTTAGTTTGACATTAGAAGTATCTGCTTTTTTTAATAAGTTCTTGTGTCTTTCAGTTCACTCATTGAAAAAATACGGGACTTTGAAGAGCACCAGCTAACCTCAGGAAGGCCTCTTCAAATCTCAACATCGAAAGTCACGAAGCTAAGCCCATTGGAAGATGCTCATGGACCTGGAATGCTTTTAAACAAGGTAGTCTATTTTATTATACAGTGGCTATGACATTTTATCAAATGATCTTTGGGGACCATTATTTCAGGAAATCAACAGGCTGAAATCTGAAAACGTAATGCTAAGAAACCGGCTGAAAGACGTTGAGGGCCAGGTATGTCGAACTTTTCACTTAGCTGGTTTTAATATTGAAACTGCACTCAACCTTGTTAATTATTGCAGGTGTCTCAAGTACTCAAGCAGAAGTCTGAACTGGTTGAAGAGTTGAAGCAAAAGCAAAGTGAACTGAAGCACAGCATCGAGACGCGGGTATGTAACTTAAAGGGGCACTGACACATCAAAATCATATTTTTTTTTTATTATCCGAAACGATCGAAAACGATGCCGGGACATTACCCTCAAAATTTAAAATTTGGGAATTCAGTATTCGTGAAGTAAAAAAACAATTTCCAAATGCCGAATTCGAAGTTCCCGCGCGATCGGCGCCGGTGCCTTGACGTCAAAAATTGGTGAGACCTGAGAGTCCACTTTTTTTTCTCCACTCCCTGCTGTTGCCATGGCGACCCAAAGCGAGGAGGAAAGGAGCGAGCGCCGGCTCGTTGCGGCGGACCGGTTTTGAGCGGTGTCGCCTGTTTTCCGTTGGAGGATACCAATCCAGGAGACGGCACCACAACGAACTCCCGATTTTTGGTATTTCAAAAAGAAGGGCCGTAGTGCGTTCGCAATTGTGTTAAAAAACATGTTTTAGGATTGCCGTAATTAAATGTTATAGAGATGTCGCCTACAAAGCTTCTAAATTTCCTGATTCTTGACGTCACCGATCAAAAGAAGCGAGGAGGCGAGAGGCGGGAAAATCAAACGCCAAAAATAAAAAGGCGCGCGCGGGCCCGGGAAAATTTTTTTTCGCGGTGCGTTTTTTTTTGCGTGTCTATGACTGCAACTTACATCGTTTTAGACAATAAAAATAAATACGACCTTTGGGGTGTCAGTGCCCCTTTAAAGGCTACATGCCACTGTAACTGTAGCGTCATTTTGTTCTAGCTTGTTCTATGTGTTATACACCAGCCTACTAGGTTACATTATATGTTGGCAAGGTGGGGAGAACTTACATTGCATTGGCAGCTACAGACTGTCAGTGGGTAGCTTTTATTGTCCCTAAATGGAGGGAAGCAAACATTTAGAAGAACTTATGTATACAACCCTTGTAGCCTCTAGAGGGCACTTTCTTTTGTGATGAGATTTTTGTCTCCTTAATTTAGGTTGAACGTTTCCATACTTCATTGAGGGAAACAGCTTTCAAATAGTTTAGATTTGGTATTTAACTTACTGGGATCCATTGACAATGTTTGTGTGTTAGCAGACATTTCTGATCATAAGGCTGTGGTAGCAGCACTACTAGTTCACCAATGGACATACAAGCGCAAGCCAAAGAATTGAGAGAGTTAAGTGCAATGGTATGATGAAGGAAAATAACAGTTCTAAAAGAAATAATTGGCACTTTTTTCTTGTATTTGTTTTGACTATCAGATGAGACTAGCAGCGATGCACTCTGGTATGTACAGGGTGGCACAAACAGATCTGACGCTGTAAAACAAGCCGGAAGAATCAACTTTTGCACATAGATAGCACAAACTTTCACCGAATGTGTACTGAACAGGTCAGTGTTACCGTGCGAAATTTTAAGGCATAGTCTCTTGCCAAAGTCAACATTGGGTGCATTGGTAAATGACTGAGTTAGTGATGCCATTATCTTGTGGTGCCATCTCCCGATAGGTGCAGCAAGCAGACAACGCACTTTGTTGTCTGCTTGCTGCAGTTATCGGAAGGTGGCACCACACGTTAGTAGTGTTGCTAACTTGGTCACCTGCAAATGCCCCCGACATTGACTTTGGCAAGTTTGTTGCTCTCATTTCTTACAGGAAGAAAAATATGCCTTAAAATTTCACAAGGTCAAACTGACCTGCTCAGTGCACATTCGGTGAAAGTTTAAAATGCAGATTTTTTTGGCTCATTTTACAGTATTAGATTCGCTTGTGCTGTCCATATAAAGGGTGTATTTTTTTGTCGGTTTAGAATTCAAGGCCGGCAGGGAACCTGCATTAGGGTTCTAGAAGGGCTAAGTTGGTGGCCATAGCAGCCACTAGAGAAGAGGCAAAATTGTTTAATAAATTAGCTAATTAACTAAAAACACTTAAAATTTTTGTATTTGAGGGCATATTGTATTTGGAGAATTGAAGTTTGACATGAACACAGTATAGTTGCGCCGTGGAATATGGATTAAAGAATTCATAGTGGGCGCTACGGGCGAGAAATGTTACTCATACACGGCTTGAAATGGAAACTAACCGGGCAAGGATTGCCAGTGATGTCGATCTCTCCGACTTCCACCGACACTGCAAGTGATGCCAGCTGCGGGCAAGAAACGGGAACTAACCGGGGAAGGAGCGCCAGTGATATTAATCCCTCTGCCCTTCACCAGCTCCGCAAGGGAAGCCGGCTGCGGTAGCGCTGCTCTTTCTTCAGAACTATTGAGAAATGGAATAACTTGTCTAAAGATGTGTTCTTCATGAATACTAAAGGTTGTATTTGATGTAAAATGATTTTAATATTCCACTTACATTGACAATTCTTTTGTTGGTCTGCAGAATTTATGAAATTAAGACCAGATGACAAAAGTGAAATTTGAAATAGAAGGGCAAAAGTGTGCTGATAATTTTACATTCTTTGTTTTTTTCCTGAGTACTGTTGGAGAATGGAATATACATAGATTGCCTAAAGATGTGTTCTTGGCGGATTTTTTAAAATAATGTTGCATTTATGTAAAATGTGTTCTTTTCTTACAGTTATGTTGAATATCTTTTGTTTGTATGAACCCACAGCTTGAACTGCTAATGTGATGGTGACACAGATTTATCTTGTGAACATATAAATTTACCATAGCCTTTCTCCTATAGGAAAAAAAGCTAGATGCATCTACAGAATTTATTGAAGACCAGATGATGAAAGTGAAACTTGAGATGGAGGAGGCAAGTGGTCTTTACCATTTGCATATCTATCTTTTGCTGTACCAAGCTTACATATTAACCCTGCTAGTTCATTCTTCCAGAGCCTCCGCAAGAGCAGCGAGTCGCAGCAAAACTTGGAATCTGATCTAACACTTACGAAGCATAAGCTGCTTGAAGTGCAAGCACAGCTAGATCTGGCTGAAAAGGTTTGTGTCAGCTTTGGTTTGAAACTCTTGCCTCTCTTGATAGCAGACTATTTGTGAGAGGCGTGAAAGTTTGCAGACAAGGTGTTGCAAAATGGTCCAACTTAATGGACTGTATTGGTATGACTTCTGCAGCATGTCCCACAGCAATTGTTTGACAGTGGTGGGAGAAAGTGCACGCTCATGTCGTGCACCTTCTCCTGTTGTTAAAGCATAATGGGCATGTGTTGTACATTCTGCACTGGTACAAATCAGCAGATGGTTTAATTTGTGCCATGCAAAGCTTGTTTTTCTATGTGACAGTGCCATAAAAAGTGAAAGCCGTTTACAACTCCGTGTAACACCGAATTAGAGCGCAGCTCTTGAGGAGGAGGAGGGAAGGGTACTGGGGGGTGAAGTGATCTGGGGGGGGGGGGGGTCACGTGACCTTGGGGGGTCACGTAACCATGCCGATGATGTCATCAGTGACGTCACTGATGACGTCATCAGTGACGATGACGATGCGGACTCCGATGACGTCATCAGAGATGATGATGCGGATGTCGGTGACGTCACTGATGACGTCATCTGTGATGATGACGATGCGGATGCCCCCCGAAGTCACGTGACACCCCCAGGTCAGGTGACCTCCCCGATGACGTCATCGTCACTGATGTCGTCACCGGCATCCGCATCGTCATCGTCATCATCACTGATGACGTCATCAGTGATGATGACGATGCGGATGCCGGTGACGTCATCAGTGACGATGACGTCATCGGGGAGGTCACGTGACCTCGGCGGGGGTCACGTGACCCTGGGGGTGGTCACGTGACCTGGGGGGTGTCACGTGACTTGGGGGGGTCACGTGACCTCGGGGGGGGGGGTCACGTGACTTTGGGTGTCATGTGACTTTGGGGTGACCTTGGGGGTCACGTGACCTTGGGATGACCTTGGGGGCCCCGTGACCTTGGGATGACCTTGGTTACGCCGACGCCGCTCAAGCCGGGAACGGGCCCCTAAGAGCTGCGCTCTAAAACAATCTCATACCACAGTGAATATCTTTATTGTTACCCTCTGCCAGAAATCTGGTGTACGTCCCCGTTCCAGGGGCCACAACATTATGGGCCTGCTAAGTTCTGTGCTCTGACTGCCGTTGAAAAAAATATAGACGAAAAGGCAAACAGCGCGCAGAAAACGGGGACTAGAGGAAGTGCAGACAGGACAAGCGCTGACTCTCAACTGAAATTTAATCACAAGGAAACAAAACAAAGAAAACAGCAACTCCGCCCACGTCACATGACAAATTCACCACGTGTCCAAAAAAACATCTCTTTGCTACTCAGGCCCAGTGACGTTTGGCTTACGCAGTTCGCGCCGGCTTTGATGATTGCATGCGCCTCTAAAATTTCTCTATTCACTCTTTCCCTACCTTTGCCAATGATACTAGTCTTACTGAAGATAGGTTTGCACCCACAACTATGACAATGCAATGGCAAATGCCCCCCTACAGCTCCAACCACAGATCGCAACGACAAGTCATGCTCCCGCAATCTGTGATTAACACATCTGCCCGTCTGTCCGACGGAGGCTTTCCCGCACGTTAGTGGAATCGTGTAAACAACTCCCACCTTGCAAATAACATATTGATGCTCATGCTTCACCGAGCAGGCGGGGCCTTTGTCCTTCTTATCGGCAACTCTCGCGCATAATTGCGACAGCTTACACGGAGCGGAAATGGCGGAAATGGCACAAAATATAGGTGTTCCCAGAAACTTTTATGTAATGCAATGCTTGTATTGATATCAGTGTTGTAAAATGGGCACCCTTGTTTCGTTCCAATTCAGGGGAATTCGAGGTTCCCACAATTCCATTCCTTTCAACTCCTCGGAATGACACACTGGGCCCATTTCCACTCCTGGAATGGCTGAAATCCATGATTCCACTCCTAATTCCTAATTGTAAAAAGTGAAAGCCGTTTACAACTCCCTGTAACACCGAATTAGAGTGCAGTTCTTGCGGGGGGGGGGGGGTCAAGTGACCTGGGGGGTCACGTGACCTTGGGGGTCACGTGACGAGGCCGATGATGCCATCAGTGACGTCACTGATGACGTCATCAGTGATGATGACGATGCGGATTCCGATGACGTCATCAGTGACGTCACTGATGACGTCATCCGTGGTGATGACGATGCGGATGCCGGTGCCGTCATCAGTGACGTCACTGATGACGTCATCAGTGATGATGGCGATGACGATGCGGATGCCGGAGACGTCATCAGTGACGTCACTGATGACGTCATCAGTGATGATGACGATGCGGATGCCGGAGACGTCATCAGTGACGTCACTGATGACGTCATCAGTGATGATGACGATGCGGATGCCGGTGACGTCATCAGTGATGATGATAATGCGGATGCCGGTGACGTCATCAGTGACGATGACGTCATCGGGGAGGTCACGTGACCTCGGGGGGGGTGTCACGTGACTTCCGGGGGAGTCACGTGACCTCGAAGGGGGGGGGTCACGTGACCTTGGGGGAGGGGTCACGTGACCTCGGGGGGGTCACATGATCTTGGGGTGACCTTGGCATAACCTTGGGGGTCACGTGACCTTGGTTACGCCGACGCCGCTCAAGCCGGGAACGAGCCCCTAAGAGCTGCGCTCTAAAAAATGGCCTTTGGAAGCCACATTGTGTTACCGTAATAAAGCAGCATAAAGCTGCTGACGTTATCAAATGCAGGGACGACTTCAAAAGTATGCAAAAGCTTCCTCAAAGCACTCATTCTACTAAGCCAAAGGGTGGTTGCACAAAGCACTTTGTGGCATCTGGTGTCACTTTAGACATTGAACGCGCAATCAAGCGTAAAAAGCTTGCGAGTCGCGACGGATGCCCAAAATTAAAACCACCCATTTTAGAGCACAGCTCTTAGGGGCCCGTTTCCGGCTTGAGCGGCGTCGGCGTCGCCGTCGGCGTAACCGCGCGGTGCATCATGGGAAATTTCCCATAATGCACCGCGCGGGCCCCCTACCGGGTTCACGGGACCTCGTGGGGGGACACGTGACCCCCCCGAGGTCACGTGACTCCCCTGAGGTCACGTGACCCCCTCCCCGAGGTCACGTGACCTCGAGGAGGGGTCACGTGACCCCCGCCGATGTCGCGTGACCCCCGATGACGTCATCGTCACTGATGACGTCACCGGCATCCACATCGTCATCATCACTGATGACGTCACCGGCATCCACATCGTCATCGTCATCATCACTGATGACGTCACCGGCATCCACATCGTCATCATCACTGATGACGTCACCGGCATCCGCATCGTCATCGTCATCATCACTGATGACGTTACCGACATCCGCATCGTCATCGTCATCATCACTGATGACGTCATCAGTGACGTCACTGATGTTGTCACCGGCATCCGCATCGTCATCATCACTGATGACGTCACCGGCATCCGCATCGTCATCATCACTGATGACGTCACCGGCATCCACATCGTCATCTTCATCACTGATGACGTCACCGGCATCCGCATCGTCATCATCACTGATGACATTACCGACATCCGCATCGTCATCATCACTGATGACGTCATCAGTGACGTCACATCACTGATGACGTCATCAGTGACGTCACTAATGACGTCACGGGCATCCGCATCGTCATCGTCATCATCACTGATGACGTCACCGGCATCCGCATCGTCACCGTCATCATCACTGATGACGTCACCGGCATCCACATCGTAATCGTCATCATCACTGATGACGTCACCGGCATCCGCATCGTCATCATCACTGATGACGTCACCGGCATCCACATCGTCATCGTCATCATCACTGATGACGTCACCGGCATCGTCATCGTCATCATCACTGATGACGTCACCGGCATCCGCATCGTCATCGTCATCATCACTGATGACGTCACTGGCATCCGCATCGTCATCATCATCATCACTGATGTCGTCACCGGCATCCACATCGTCATCGTCATCATCACTGATGACGTCACCGGCATCCGCATCGTCGTCGTAATCATCACTGATGACGTTACCGACATCCGCATCGTCATCGACATCATCACTGATGACGTCATCAGTGACGTCACTGATGTCGTCACCGGCATCCGCATCGTCATCGTCATCATCACTGATTACGTCATCAGTGACGTCACTGATGACGTAGCCGACATTCGCATCGTCATCGTCATCATCACTGGTGAAGTCATTAGTGACGTCACTAATGATGTCATCGGTATCTGCATTGTCATCGTCACTGATGACGTCATCAGTGACGTCAGTGATGACATCATCGGTATTTGGGGGTCACGTGACCCCCAAGGTCACGTGACCCCCCTGGTTAGTTGAACCTCCCCCCCCAGTGCCCTTCCCTCCTCCTCCTCAAGAGCTGCGCTCTAATTCGGCGTTACAGGGAGTTGTAAGCGGCTTTCATTTTTTTATACATGGTTAGCGTGTTGTTCGTTAGATAAGGCCTTAAAAATGTCTACTTTGTGCGTGGCGCAAGAAGCTGCCTTGCTCTTTGCTTTGATACTTGCACAATAGCACCACTAGTGCGCTGCTAGGAGCATGCACTGCGGCAACAACAAAAAAAAAAACGCTGACAAAGTGCAGTCGGTATATGGTGACAGCAAAAAGGACTGTAGCACCATATTATGAAACCTGCCTTGAAACAAACTTTTACCTCTTGGTATGCGAATGCAAAAGGAGACAAGGAGACACACTCTCCTAATTCTATCTATAAACTTTTACGTTTGCTGCACGATTCTTGCGATTTCTTAACATATTCAATCCAATTACTTATTTGGGTTCCGCAAAAACACCAAAACAGGGGTGGCCAGAGTTACAGGGGGTTAGAGCCGCAGACATAACAATGAGAGTTCAGAGAGCCGCAGGAAACAAAAGCAGAGGGGGGGGGGGGGGCTACTAATTATAACAAGAAAGGATATGGAGGGATTTTGTTTCCAAAGGGATGAGGTGGAGAAGTGTAATTGTTGACTATACAACAAATGCCACCAGGCGGCAGAAAGTTTTTTTAACTGCTAGCAAAAATTGCATGGTTCGCTATCCAGCCGCTGCTCCTGACGCCCGTTATGCGTATACGGCTAGAACTTATTGCAAGGACAATAAAGGAAACCGGTTCACTGGACACATCTGTGTCAAAAAGCAGTCCAGCTGTGTGTAGGTAGTGTAGTACAAGGCTGCCAAGACTGTGAACTTTTCTTTTAATTCTAGAACTCTTTTCGTCTTGTGGACTCAGGAGGGAAAAGGGGGGCACACTTAAGGGCTGTTTATACTCCAACGTCGACAAACGCAACAAGCGCCAGCAAAAACCGGTGTTCATCGGCCACTGTATCACGCCGCGCCGAGAAGTGCCCGAACGATGGTGTTTACAGTCCAGCGTAGAACAGCCACTGTTGCCAGATGATCCCAGCCAGTGGTCCCACCAAAAAACTGCCAAATGGCTAGGAGGTGTAGCCCAAATATAGCCAAAGTCCTAAAAAATATGTAGCCAAAATAGCCAAAACAAGCATTTTAGGCTTTTTATTGGCAATTTTGTACACACATACAAAACATGTTACATTCTCTTTGTCAACCCTCAGATATGCAACATTTCGTGTACACTATGTCGCTTGTGAATTTTTCGGAAAAAGCTTTGGAAAGATGAAAATTCATACAACACTGATCCTTCGTAGGTTTTCAGAAGTATGAATCACACACGAAGACAACTTTATTGTGAAGCCCGGAAGGTATGATCATACAGTAAAAGAACAGAATACAGAAGCAGAACGGTCAGAACACTGGGAAACACTGGGAGTTTTCAAACCAGAACCCCATTATCTAAGGTCATTACCAATATCTCACCCATCTCTTTTTCTTTGTGTAGAATATATGAGTGTCCCCCATTCCGGTTGCCCTTTCTTTGGGTGGGCGACGACTGGAAGGTAGTCAATTTTTTTATCGGTGAAGCTGCGGACTTCTCATTTTTATGAACTTGCGTACCTAAGGATTTCCCCAATGGGCACCGAAGCAGCGTTTGGAGAGTTCAGTCTATGTCCGGGTAGAGGATGCGCTACCGGGCCTGTGGTAATAGTGCAATCTGTTTGGATTGTTAAAACTTTGGTTTGTTAAAACTTTGGTTTGGGCTAGTTGGTCCATGGTAGGTATAAGATTTAAAAGCGCAAACAGACAGGGACAATAGACAATAACACAAACGACAGGGACAAGGCGTAGCGCCTTGTCCCTGTCGTTTGTGTTATTTTCCCGACAGCTCCCAATCGCACCATACTTGCAAACTACCCCCAACAAAACAATTTAGTCATTGGTTATTTGGTCTGCTAGAGTATGGCAACATTTTTACCCGCTGTAGATGTAAAATTTAGCCAGTGCAGTAGAACTGCTAGCCTGGAGTCTTTAATGGGCATCATGCTGTACTGGCATGACTGCACGCCGGTACGATGCTCATCCAGATCAAAAGGGAAAATCACCCACATTGCTCGCCGGAACGACTTGCTCGAACAACTGAGTTGAAGAGAAGAAATAAGACGTAGGCCGGTCTAAAGACGATTGAAACAAAAAAGGACATAAGAAAGACAGTGGGTAACTAGCTGTTTTTAGAATACGCACATACATACAAAAAAATTGTTTCTTCGAGCAGCGCCCAGGACTCTGGGCGACTGGTGTCCCAGCGACCGGCGCCGTAGTCTCGCTTGTTGCGGCTTCGCCTCTTGGTGCCTCCAGATTTCGCCATGGCAGAACGAACACGTCGACAGCCGTCAACTTTTTGTTTTTATTTTGATTTCTATGTTTGCCTTCTTCTTTCTTAAAAAATATTGCTTACCAGCAAAAAAAAAATACACACATACAAAAAAAAAAAAAAGCTTTCCACACCAACTCCCCGAGGCGAATTCATACTGCACGATGTGAAATATACTTTTTGTTTCATTGTTATTGAGCTGTCTCCATGTTGTTGTTGCCGTTTGTCTAGTTAAAACTTAGCCGCTGACACCCCCGTTGCAAACATTTAATTGACTTTGCACCGCCACTGGCAAAAATGCCTGGCTCAAAATTTATTACGCCGAACCATTTCCCATGAACTTGTAACCACCACATGAGATTACGGTTCTTTTTTGGTTTGGGTTCAATATCACGTGTTTGATTTCATTTACATTTTTCTTCCGGATGAATTAAAAATAACGGTTATGCTCCCGTTTCTGGTCCGGGTTCAGTCCAACACCCTGGTTAAAAGCTACATGCTAATCTTGCATGATTACAACATCCACTTTGTCATGTCTTGCGGCACCAGAAACGACGCCTTGACCGTCTACAACTATTCAGTTTTGGTTGCTTCACTGAGGGCATGCCATTTTCCTCCTTGAAGGAGCATAAGCCAGTGAGACAATCACGCCGTCAGTCACCTCTATTGCAGTGATGCTGTTTCAAGAGCAGCTTTCATGCGCTAGCGAATTGTGCCATCAGCCCGTAGGCCCTAGATGATAATCAACAAAGTTCGCATAAGAGCGGAGCCCCATTCCATTCCCATTCCATTCCGGGCAAAAGGCACCTAATTCCATTCCCATTCCATTCCCCCAGCACTGCCGCCATTGCATTCCAATTCCGGGGTCGCGAAAATGTGGAATGATTTCGGAATCATTCCAACTTTGGAATGGCAACTCTGCAACACTGGTTGATATGTGTCCAGTTCAGTATCCTAATAATGTTACCTTATAAAATTACATTACATGTTACAAAAAAGAAAAAAAGCATGTTATTAAATTGTGAGTTCCACTGCACCAGCACCACTTTGCTTTTATATATTTTCAATGAATATTTCATTAACAAAATCATAGGCTAGTGGATAAACTTTTTGACTTTCAAGGTGGAGCTTTGCATCTTCATGGAAGTACTATACCCCAGTTGTAGTTCTCTGAAACACGCAAGTGCGAGCTCAGACCCCTGATGTGGTTCTTCCACTACGCACAAGCACTTATGCGGGAAAGCCTTTTCTCAGTAATATCAACTTGTGTTTGTTTTTCTTAGGAGCTAGAGAAAAAATTCAGTCAAACTGCGGCATATACCAACATGAAGAAAATGCTTTCAACCAAGAATGATCAAATCAAGGAGCTCCGCAGTGCATTGGCTACGTAAGTTCCTTCGTCTACAGATACCAGCAGCTATGACCAGCACACAATGCATCACTTCATGCACTGGTTTGTGTTTGCTTTATTGCACTATCTTTACATGTGCCAATGTTTATTTCCCATTTTGTAAGAGAGAAATTTTGATACACAAGTTTTGTCTTCCATCAGGTTTCAAACTGGGGACTCGTAAGGAGGTGCCTCACCGAGCTGATACGACAATCTAGTGGAGAGGTATATTTATTTGGAAGCTCAGGATTTTTCAGCATTTTCTGCTGAACTTTCTAACAGAGTGCAAATTTTGTCATGGCTTGAGACCCAGCTAGCAAGATACCACATTGAAATTGATATGATAGAGCACTACTAGATAATATATTACTCTGCTGCACAAGCACATGGGAAACAAGATAATTATCGCAAATAGAACTTATAGGAGTGCTTGTAGCAACACCGAAAAGATGGCAAAAGTGTTGGTTGTTTGCATATTACTTGGAAACAAAGCTAGTCAAAAGCAGAGCTACAACAGCTGTTGGAAACTCAGGTGATGGAGCATATGCCTGTGATATATGACGAGAATTGGGGGAAGTTTACAACAGCCAGTAACAGCTGCTTGATAAAAGAGCAGCAAACTGCTCAGAAATCCTGTAATCACTGGTTGTGTGGGGGCTTATTTAAAGTCATCCCAGTTTGTTGAAGAGTTCATTGTTGTACTGCCCCATTTTGTCTCTTCAAGTCTTTTTACAAATGTGTTATTATAATGTTACTGCTCGTCATTTTACTGTGCTTCTTGCTGTTACATGTACCTGATGTCCTCTGCTCCACTTGTTTATTGTTTATTTTTCTCGAGTACTGAAGTAGACTAGGTATTGTTACTTGTACCTCATAGTAAAATAAATTGCATATTTTAAACAGAAATTTTATGTGCATATTTTCTGTTTTGAATTGGGTTGTTCACTCGGCAAAGCAAAACATAAAGGCTTCAAGTCCATGGTAATAAAATATTGTTTTTATTACAAGTCACATTCATAACTTAGCACATTAAGTTTTTATAAGAATAGTCAACTTGTACAGGCATTGGACATAGGAAAGGAATACCAGTCCATGCATTTAAATAACTTACGGGACATTTTTATGACATTAACACACTAATCTGCTTGCTATAATACACAAGTCACACTTAAAGGTCAGAATATTTTACAGTACTCTATAAAAAAACATCGGCACAAAAAATGTACAAGTCTAACTCAATAAAAATATCCACGCAGAGGTACAACTTTACAAGCAAATGGCCTTGGTTAAAATATTGAAGCAGCGTTGCTTCATGTCTGAATTGTCTTGGGTTCCGAAGAGTCTGGCTTGCGCAGGTGTAGCTTGTAAGTGACCTTCTTGGCAATAAACCTGGAGGTAAATCAAAAAACCCCAACAAAAATCAGCAATTTGGTTCATTCTGAAACACTCATTATATGAACCACGGTTTGTGCCATATCTCTCTTCGTGGATAAAATTCTCGCATCTAATTTTCGGTGCTAAACACAAGTACCAAGGTTACCTATTTCTTAAACACTTCTTGTACTTTGTGCCCCAAAAGGTAATTACATGTTGAAAGTCTATCACTGATGAATAAGAATAATAAAAAAGTTGTTTATGTTTTATTACAAAATTTTATGTTACACTTTTCACCTGAAACAAGTCTTGTTGCAGTCTTATTTGTAAGGTATTAAGCCTACTAAAAGATTATTAAATCTGTTTTCACACAAAATTGAATATTCAGAATCCGGAAAATTTTCCGAGATAACTTGTGAAAAGTAGTTGGATTGATGCAACTAACTAAAAGTGCAGATTTTGAGTGTAATATATAGGTATACCTTGTAGTGTGTGAAAACCATACTTTAATCTGCCTTTAGCTTTTCGTGACCAGTGCCTCCTTTTACACTAATAAGGTTTAATTGTTCTAGGATTCTAACTACAGTCGGTGACAGGTCAAGCACGAAGTGGAAGCTCCTTCCTCCTCCTTCCCCTTTAGCAGAACGGACGCTGGAGAGGAGATCGTGGAAGGAGGTGGGAGGAGCTTCCACTTCGTTCTTGACCTGTCACCGACTGTAGACTACATACCACAGAAGTGCAAAAAATAAATTGTTTTCATATCTGTTCAACCATATAAAAATCAGTGTTGGGAAATACTTTAAATACATTGTGCTAGAAAACTTGTATTTTGCTTGAAGTACATTCTCTGAGTGGGTACTTACTTTTAAAGTATTTTTTCTGGCACTTTTTGAGGAAAGTACAACCCCCAACTTCAAAGTATATTACCCAAATTTAATCTTGTTAGTTTTGTATCACAAAGTGATGCTTTGTCAACAAATTGGTGCCTTATAAGTTGATTGTGTTAAATAGTTTGTCAGTGAGAGTAAAACAAGTACTCGGTGGCCATCGGACTTCATCCAATAATTTCCACTATTTCCAAAAATAACTAATGCACCCCGATTGCACCTAAAACAATGCATACCAGTTAAAAAAACATTATAGGGGAATGAAAGGGCCTCATGAAGATTGTGCTGAGGTGGCTGAGAGGTCCATGACTTGGGTTGCAAAAGGGGAGGGGGGCGGGTTCAAAATGCATCTGTATATTATAGGGTTGGCTGGCTGGTGGGGGGAGGGGACTGGACATAAAGACCCAAATCCCCCCCCCCCCTCCCCCCGGCTACACCACTGAGATGGGTAAAATGTGTTCACAATTTGTTCATCAAACTTGAGGGTTTGCTTACTTCGAGTGCTGGTTGTCAAACATCAGCACATACACGCCAGCCTCCCGAACCACAAGGTGGCCCTCCATGGGCTGGACATCGGCTTGCACCCTGACGGATGGCAGGATGACTTCCAGGGCACTCAAGTCCAGGTCTTCACTCAATGGCTTGTACTTCAGCTCAAAAGAAATGCTCTGCAAGGATGAAAGGAGGGCATTAGTTACAAACTATGGGCTGTCTGTTTTAGGCAAGGCATCAGAACAGCACTCTTTCAATAGCTTAAAATGTCAATTATATATTTAAAGAACTATCAATAAAGATAGATCAATGACCCAGGACGGTGCCAGTTGCATATTACCAAGAAAGTGAAACTGTCATAAATATTGATTGGGGTAAAGAGGCATCATCATCTATAATGGTCCAGTGTCAAATGCAACTCAATATTTGTTTATCGAGGAAGATCACCTCTTGAACTCATTGTGAATGGTGTTATCTTTAGATTAAGACCAGTGCAAATGAAACAATAATTCCAATTTTAGGTGAAATGATTCGGTCTCATACATAGCTGATTTTACCTGAAATATGACGCTTTAGTTGACGTGCAACCTCACCTAATTTGCCGAAAATTCTGGACAAGTTCCATTGATTGCCAGAAGTGAAGCAAAAATGGATTGCCATATCCCAAGTTCAGAACCATGGAGCCAGGAAGAAGAGGTGACATACTGGCTCAAACGAGCCAAACAAGAATTAAAAGCCCAAGTGAAGCCAGAAGTAGAGGTCGCAGTCGGTGGAAACGCCCCAAGGGTGCTCCCCGTCCAGTAGCGTTTGTCAGTTTTGTTCGTTTTTGGTCATCATTGGGGGCATGTCCCTCCAAACCAGAAGTCTCCCCCGGCTTCACCTCTGGTGGCATCATGTCGCATCCAGAAGCTTTACAGCTCAATGTTCAGAACTAATGTGCCCTTAGTGCTTTACCTGCAGCAACATACTGCTTGGCACTCTGAGGGTGAATGTAGAATCCCCTTATGCCATACAAGCAATTCCTGGGAAGTCAAAGTCGAAAGTCTGAACTTCCCAGTCAAACCGTGGCTTGGGCCAAGAACTATACTTTCACAAAAGCCTTTATTGAAACCGAATTCAAATGTCACATGCAGAGCTGACACTTAAAAACGAATAAACCAGATTAATTTTTTTCAGACGATTTTTTAAATTCAAATTAGATTATCTTTATTTAAATCACTAGCTACAAATGAGAAATTCTTTATCACTAGATGTATTTTCAAACATGGCAAATTGATGGTCAATTCATCCGATTACTGAAACTGCTGAAGAGTTACAGTAAATTTTGTAGAGTTAAAATATAATTCAGTAGAGTTACGAACTTTTTAGTTCGTAAAAAAAGTTTTCTTTGCTGTTAATGCGTCAGCATTAGAACGCTCGTTTCGACGAAAACCCGCGGTGCCTTCTTTGTCAGCGCCGGGGAAAGGGAAAGGGGGGAGAGAGTGACGCGTGCGACGCTCCCATCGGTCCGAAGCGCTGACGACAGCACAAGTCAAACTCGCTCTCTCCCGGGCGCTGACAGACTGACAGACACCGCCAGGATTTCGTCAAAATACGTTCGTTTTCGTCAGTCGCGCGCACAGCTGGCCCTGAGCCAGGGGAGGCGGCGGCGCCGCGCAGCACTTCCTACATAACAAAAATGTCGTAGTGCTGAATGAGATGGCTTAATCAGAGAAGGCCAACGCTGGGGCTCTAAACTCGTCGAGCACAAAGTTGAGGCCGAAGTTCACAGACCGCACCGATTGGCTTATCACGACGATGACTTCGCGCTTTTTTCGACGTGCAATCGGCGCGCTCTGCGAATTTTCGGCTCCAACTTTGTGTTTGACAAGTTTAGGGCCCCTGGACACACGGTGGAAACGAGTGCTGCGTCAGCGCTCGACTTCGAGTCAAGTTTGAGCCGGGCGTTGACGCAAGTGTCGTGCGTGTCTAATATGTGCCCAGCGTTGGCCTTCACTGATGACGCCATCTCATTGAGCACTACGGTTTTGTTATCTATAGTGTTGCGACGCGACGCGGTGGAATGCGGGCGTGCTCAGTCGCCGCTTTGCCGTTGCCGGTTGTTCTTCGCTTTTGGTTTCCGTAGTAGCGGTGCGTGGGCTGTGATGTGTGTGTGGTTTCCCCAGGAATTAAAATTAGGGTATTTTTAAGAGGGGGTTAGGGGGAAAGGGGGGGGGGGGGCATTGAGAATGGAGGAGTCGTTGCGAATTAAGGGGGTGCCTTAAAAAGAACAAGGGGGTATACACCACCCCCCCTTAAAGGTATACTACAACGAAATTTTGGCGCTCATTTTTTGGTCTATATGTGTTCAAAAGAGCAGTATCACATGGAACATACCAATCTCTTGTTAAAAAAGTCTCGAAAAGGAATTTTCAAACGAATTAAGCGATTAGCAAAGAGCACCTGGTGGATGTCGCTAACGCCTCGTTTGTAATGCTCGTCTAGGAACCTTGACAGCTAGTGACGGAGGTTGTCTCGTCTCCGGCCACGACGAGAGAAGGGAGGAAGGAGGAACTTCCCTCTTCCCGAGAATCCCTTTTCTGTGTCGCAGAAGTCGCTATTGTCCCCCTAGAAGATTATAGAAGATTAACCCGTCACTCAAAATTCGTACAAAAGCAGCCGCTTCGGTGGCTGGAACGACTAGGCCATCCTCTCGACGTCAGCCTCGCCGTAGCTTTGCTCGTCTTGAGACGACCTACGTCACGATTGCGTTGGATGTCACGTGCTCTAAGCTGGGCCTTCTCCGAGCGCTTGCCAGAGTCGGCCGTTTATAACGAAAAATACAGCCACCAGGATTAAAATACAAACGTGCGATTGTCATTTTCGGATATTGTGGATCATATTCAACCTATTTTTGAACACGACGGGAATATTTCAAATTTCGTTGAAGTATCCCTTTAAAGGGGCCCTGCAATGACTTTTTTTACTAATTTTTAATTTACACCGGACCTGAGCGCACTGAACGTAGTAACTTCGTGAAACTTTTCTTTTGTCGAAATGCTCTTTATTTTAAAAGTTTTAAGCAAATTAAAATTACAAAAACAAGCAAAAAATAACGTCCCTCATGACGTCCTTGGTTGCTTGAGAGTGGCCGTGATTTAGAGGAGAAGTAGTGAGCTCATCAAGCGCTCACGGCTGCCGCACTCCGAGTCGACGGCGCGAGAGGGCACCATTAAAGGGATACTACAACAAAATTTCGGCGCTCATTTTTTGGTCTATATGTGTTCAAAAGTGTAGTATCACATGGAATATACCAATATCTTGTTAAAAAAGTCTCGAGAAGGAATTTTAAAACGAATTAAACGATTAGCAAAGAGCACCTGGTGGATGTCGCTAACGCCTCGTTTGTAATGCTCGTCTAGGAACCTTGACAGCTAGTGACGGAGGTTGTCTCGTCTCCGGCCACGACGAGAGAAGGGGGGAGGGATGAACTCCCCTCTTCCCGAGAATCCCTTTTGTGTGTCGCAGAAGTCGCTATTGTTCCCCTAGAAGATTATAGAAGATTAACCCGTCACTCAAAATTGGTACAAAAGCAGCCGCTTCGGTGGCTGGAACGACTAGGCCGTTCTCTCGACGTCAGCCTCGCCGTAGCTTTGCTCGTCTTGACACGACCTACGTCACGATTGCGTTGGATGTCACGTGCTCTAAGCTGGGCCTTCTCCGAGCGCTTGCCAGAGTGGGCCGTTTATAACGAAAAATACAGCCACCAGGATCAAAATGCAAACGTGCGATTGTCATTTACGGATATTGTGGATGATATTCAACCTATTTTTGAACACGACGGGAATATTTCAAATTGCGTTGAAGTATCCCTTTAAAGCGTGTTCTGGACAGGCTGTATGCAGCGGTCAGCCAGAGCGGCTCTCATTGCATTTGCTGCGCGATTAAATACTAATTCGGCATGACACTTCATTGGCCACAAACGACAGCAAACACGGGGTAAAGATCAGTTCAGAACGGGAGCCACTTCGCGCTGCCATACCGCCAAAGGGCTAAATCGCCAGCCATGCCCGCGCCGAGAGCCTTGGGAACGCTCGGAACCGGTCGGATCCTCGAGCCGGTATACGACCGCAGCGCCGCCGCGTACATCCGGGAGCTTTCCGTGTCGGCGCCTGATCCCACTATTCTTTCTAGTATGCGCCACTTTTTCAACCGCTTGGTGGCGGGTATGTCGACGGGTCAATTCTTGTTTCCGTACTTTATGAACTGCATTCGTTTCTTTCTTATCTAAAATACTGAACAAAAGCTACTTTTATAGATAATTGAAACGGTTCGCGCCACTTATATTTTGTATTTCGACTAAAAAGAAGCTTTTAGCGGCTCTGACCAGTAGTAAGCCCAGGACCAAAGACGTCACATTTTGCGCGCTTTCGGTACCGCGGGTCGCCCTCGTCGGTGGAGGAGATGACGCACTGATATTTAGTTACTCTCTCCGTGCCCGCTGGCTTGCCCGAACCCCAAGAGACGTGGAAACCGCAAAAAAAGATGGACGCTTGAATATGATTGCAGGGCCCCTTTAAAGGGGTAGGAAAACAAAATTCCAGCGCTCAGTTTATAGCTTTGAGGTGTTGCGTGTTGCAGCATAACCTCAAAAACACCAGTCTTGCGTCGAAAGGCACATGCAAACTAATTTTAAAGCTAATTAAACGATATTTCAATGTGCACCTGGTGGACGCATGCGGAGCCTATTTGGGAGGTAATCTATCAACGTTGGGGAACTTTCTACGTAGTCATGACGTAGCAAGTTCCATCAGAGCAGCGCCGCTTGTTCTTCGCTTTCCTCCTCAACTTACAAATCGCGCATTGAACCAAACAGTCCAAGAAGACAGAAAAGAGGGACTCCCCTCTTTCTCGGACCCTCGTTTGTGCACCCGGATACAGCCATCCTCCCCCATTAGAAGGTTAGCCAGTCGCTCATAATTTGGTTGCTTTTCCCAGCTTGTTCACCACTAAGCTGACAGTGCTGTGGAAGCTATATGTGCTCCTTGGGGCAGCCACACGCTTGTCACCGCACGGGTACTTTGAATGGCTCGGTTGTAACGCGTAGGGCTACAACCGAGCCAACGAAGCAACCGCTACTGCGCCGGCGCGCCGATGGCCTTGACTCTAGAGTTCCGGCTAGCGTAGCTGGTTGCGGAGAGCGTTGCGGGACAGGGGAAACGATCTACGAAAACTCCCTATGAGGGAGTTTTCGTAGATCGTTTCCGCCATCCCGCAACGCTCCTCCGCAACCCGCTACGAGATCCGGGTTTCTACAGCCAAGGCCATCGGCGCGCAGGCGCAGTAGTGGCTTCTTCGTTGCTGAGGACTTAGCGGAGGGGAGAACGCGGCCTACGAAAACTCCCTATGGACACCACCACAACGCTGACAACGCCACCAACGGCAAAGCTCATAACCACGCTAGCTTTGCTACGCCACGAACGGGGGAATTTTTTTCTTCCTGTTTTTGTTTGCGTCGGATATCCCATGACGCATCGCGCTCTCCGTTCGCTTCTCTTCGAGCGCTTGCTCGAGTGCACAGCTTGGAACGAGAAATATAGCCAGTCGTTCAAAATGCAAACGTGCGATTTTCATTTACGGTTATTACCCGTCATGCTTGACTCATTTCCGAACGAATTGTGAATATTTCAATTTTTGTTTCTGTACCCCTTAAAGGGAGGGTGTGTAGGGAAATCACTGGTTAAAACGATAGACGCGGTTCCCTCCACGAGTGATATGGATGTGGTTCTTTTTATGAGTGATAGGGATGACGTATCCAAGGGCGTCGATGTACTCGGACAGGCAGAGTACAGAAAAGGGGCGAAAAAAAGAAAATACAGGAAGATCCATTGGCTGATACTTAGAGAATCCGTTAACATGACCTCTGGTAGACGCCAACAGTGACCCCGTAACAAGGCCCAAAAGAGGCAAAAAAAAAAAATAGAGGAAGCAAAAGATAAAGCCAAAAGAGAAAAAGTGAATGGGTCAGCGTTAGTGTTTCGCAAAGGGGGACGTGTGCGGCATCTCCAAGGGTCATGCTAACGCATTCCCTAAGAATCCATCAAGGATCCTTCTGCAATTTTTTTTCTTTGGTAGTCTGTTTTTCCTGCAACAAGACATTACTTTTGTTGTTTAATTCGTTCTCTTTCGTATTCTTATTTGGAATAAGACGTCACGTAACTGACGAACGAAGTGGAGGGAAGAGAGAGAGCCCAACGTTCCGATTTGCTCAGAAGACCACTGCTTTGTGCTCATGTTCAGCCTGATCTAAGATCTCTCTTGCTTGATAATTCTTTAATTTTGATACAAGGCAAAAGCACATAAAGATCATGAAGTAATATACATACAGTAAACAAATATTTTCGGGATTATTTTCGCGGGAAAGGTTTCACATAAATTTGTAGTCTGATTTAAATCACGATTTAAATAGCTTAAATCACCTTGAGTTTTATTCTCCACCATGGCCACACACACATATGCCATTCCCAGGCAGCATAGACGTCCTGTTTACATCTACAGGACTTCCATGGGACACTAGGACATCTTGAGAACATCCATAGAACCACGTGTGCTGCCAGGGTCAGAAAGAGAGAGAGAGGAAGAAACCCAGGCTATTTACCTTTGGCTCGCATTTGAACTCCCAGAAGAGCACCGTCTCGGGCACCTTGAGGAGCACCGGAATGCCGTAGGTTCCGCCAGCGTTAACCCAAATTTCTCCCTGAACTCCTTCAGGACCGCAGTCCGCAATGTCCTCCACGGTCCGCGTGGTGCTCATGTGGAACGTGTTCTCCTGCTGGCTGTTGCTGGGTGAGCTGTTGTAAGGGCTGCAGGCAGACAGGGAGCGTGCTATCTCCTCGTCGCTAATGATGTCAAACTCCTGCTTGCGTCCTCCGTCGTCCAGGCTACCAGAGCTCTGCAGGAACTGCAGCTTTCTTAGCTTCGGGAACGACCTGCCGTTTGGAAGAAGGAAGCAGTGTGTGGATTGGGCGTAGCGCCTTAAAAAGAAAAAAAAAAAAAAAAGAGAAACAAAAATTGAGTACAAGTAAATTGACAGTGATCATTAATGGGTTAATTTATTTCTCAATTTATAGACTATTGCGGTAAGGATCGAAGATAAAGAAATGCGCTGAAGTAAACAAGATCAAGCAAGCTTTCGTGTCCCATAGAACCTTTCAGCTCCTCTTGATGCAGTATCACAGGAGCAGTATGATCTTACTATGTGATGAGTCGCCTTATTTTTTTATTTAATCGATTGATGTTTCTGTATTCTCACAAATCTTTTACAATTGCAAAAACAGAATGTATAGTTTTCATGCTCGCAGTCTTGATTGCTTACTACTGTCGAAAATCTAGCAAAGATACAAACTCATACGATCAATCTCTATATTTTCAGTGTGATACGACTATTGGGGGAGCTTCTCTATGACAATTACAGTTCGTATATTTAATGTTACATTACATTTGTCTCCCTAAATTTCACGGGCACAGATTGAGATTTGCCATGCTTACATTAAAAAGGTTTCAGTAGCTTCGGTTGTAGTTTGTTTTGAGCTATGATAGCAGTTGCAATATGAATACGAACACAAAGCTTCAACTTTTTCAAAATTTGCATGCACACTTTCGCCCGAAGGAGCAGCATTTTTCTATGCGAGCTGTTTCGATGCTGAAAAGCGGGAGAGTCGCTGTGGAAAGAAACTAATTTGGCCAAGTTTAGTGCACTTCCTACGCGTCACGGGTGCACTGCGGCAAAGCGACATCGGCGGTAGCTGCTTCAGTACTTTGATCACTGTGAAGACAGAGCTTTATCAGCGTCTGAAGGAGCTCGCGCTAACAATTAATTTGAGAAACAGAACTAAAAATTGCCTTACCAGTTTCGAACAATTTTCGGGGTGCTGACTCTTGGCACCGCCCCTCCGTTGGCAGGTGCAGATGAGCTCATGATGCCACTGTCGGCTGTGTTCTGCCGGGGCCGGCCAACTGCTCGAAAGAGCAGAATTACTTAGAACTGTGTGTGACTTATTAATACAGATCTTCATTTATGTTTAATTTTGTTTCTTCTTTCGCTTATTTATTTGCAATAGGACGTTACTTAACTGACGAACGAAGTGGAGGGCAGAAAGCAAGCCAAAGGAAGAGTTGTACAGTTAGACGCGGCTTCTGCTAAAAAATATTTGACATATTCGTTCCTTAGTGTTAATTTAGTTAAAATGTCCCATCTGTCTTTACAATCAAGACAAAAAGGCTAAATTACAGTATGTCTAGGGTCACATCTGAGGTGAAGTTTGGCTAAAGTACAATATTTTTTATTAAAAAAAATCTTTGGAGCCGTTTAATTATGCATCGTATTTAAAGATTAATACAACTTAAAGGGATACTACAACGAAATTTCGGTGCTCATTTTTTGGTCTATATGTGTTCAAAAGAGCAGTATAACATGGAACATACCAATATCTTGTAAAAAAGTCTCGAAAAGGAATTTTAAAACGAATTAAACGATTAGCAAAGAGCACCTGGTGGATGTCGCTAACGCCTCGTTTGTAATGCTCGTCTAGGAACCTTGACAGCTAGTGACGGAGGTTGTCTCGTCTCCGGCCACGACGAGAGAAGGGAGGAAGGAGGAACTCCCCTTTTCCCGAGAATCCCTTTTGTGTGTCGCAGAAGTCGCTATTGTCCCCCTAAAAGATTATAGAAGATTAACCCGTCACTCAAAATTCGTACAAAAGCAGCCGCTTCGGTGGCTGGAACGACTAGGCCATCCTCTCGACGTCAGCCTCGCCGTAGCTTTGCTCGTCTTGAGACGACCTACGTCACGACTGCGTTGGATGTCACGTGCTCTAAGCTGGGCCTTCTCCGAGCGCTTGCCAGAGTGGGCCGTTTATAACGAAAAATACAGCCACCATGCTCAAAATACAACGTGCGATTGTCATTTACGGATATTGTGGATCATATTCAACCTATTTTTGAACACGACGGGAATATTTCAAATTTCGTTGAAGTATCCATTTAAAACATGGTTTGGATCAAGAATATGCCTCTTTGTAACGTGAAATGATAGGCCATGCATTTTTGTCATGAGTCATATTTATTGCATGCCTGCGACAGTTTTACTCAAAAGGTACCTACAAATCAACATCCTCATGACATGGATGTTGAGTTGATTGATGCAAGATATGGATGCACATTCATATTAAGTGGTGCCTTTTTGTATGGGTGTCTGTAGAACGTATTTTTAGGTTGACGTGCAATCCTATTTTTTCAGAGGGGGTCAACTCTATAGAATTATGGGGCATACGCATCTAGGCCCAACAATCCTAAAGGCTGGGTTAGGGGGGGGGGGGGGGAGGGGGGGGGGGGGCTTTTGCGCCACCCCACCTCCGGACACCCAGGCCACTGTGGCTGATTACCAACACCGTTTCTAAAGATAGTCATCCGCTCGCGGACTGTAAAAATTTCACATGAAAAGAGGGAAGCAGTTAAAAACGCCAGGCTGACCTGCCGAGTTACACGAAGTTTGGCCATCGCTGCATTTGGGGGTGTTGACTTCACCAACAAGGTCGTCCTCCTCACTCTCAACCGAGATGGTGGTAGAGACCGAGGGGTTCCGGGCTGCCCTTTCGAGCCTGTCGTGCTCCACTGCACATGCGTTGCACACTCTCGTAGGCCGGCTAGAAATAAAGAGGAAAAATACTTCACTTAGAAACAAGTAGAATATAGTTCGTTGAAGCAGCCTCAAAGGAACGCTGAAAATAAATATGATGTTTGCTTTCGACGGGAACGTTCCGTTTATGGTGCACATGTTACTCAAGGAACTAGGGTATGTATGCCACGAAATTTATGCCCGGAAGATTTTTCCTCGATCAGGAGCAGATAAAACGCAGTGGAAAGTTATACACAACTAGCTTTGATACTAAAAAAAAAACTAAACTGTTTTGCAAAATTGGCGATTTCAACTTGGAAGCTACAGTTGAAGGGCTCTACATAATGTTTTGCACAATACACCCAGGTTAATTTTTCTGAAATTTATTTTTTAAACATAGGTGCAAACAAACTAAAGTGTGAGCTGTAGTCGACAACACACCGGTTTGCAATTGCAGAGAACATTTGAACTCGTGTGCGCAAACATCATTTGCATCACCGATTTGTTGGATCAAACAACGTCCTTTAAACTGGTAGGCACAAACGTTGCCGGTGGAGTTAGACAGCGCTACATGACAATAACAAAAGTGCCATGTCGACTCCATCAATGAGAAGATATCGCCGACTGTGCTCTCATGTAGGTTTGGTGGCCGTTTAGACGGAGTTTTATTGCAATATCTTAACTCTAGTTTTGATAGCATCATCATTTTTTGAATAACAAAAGTTGAGTAGAGTGGACTTTTAATTGATCTGGCAAGCATGTGAACTTACAAACACAAGGAAATCAATAGGAAGGGGAACCTTTACATAAGTGCGAGAGATTCAGAGTCAGTATTGCCGCGCGCGCGTAGCTGGCCAAAAAGGCAGAGCGGCCGTGGCCTAACGGTTATCGTGTTTGCTTCCCACGCGAAGAGCCAGGGTTCGGTTCCTGGGAGCGACCCTGGTTCTTCGCCTTCTACACCGATTGTTACAGAAGCCCACGTGTGTAAAAAGGGGCTCCGCGTGGCGAGCCGGAGTCAATCTTGCCCTAACGTTCGATCCTGCTGTTACGCCGCCATCGACGCCGCCACGTCTTCTGTTCCCTTTTTAGAGCGCAGCTCTTAGGCGCCCGTTTCCGGCTTGAGCGGCGTTGGCGTCGGCAACGTTGGATACAACATTTGACCTCACGAGTGCCCCTGCTCGTTGTTGACAGCAGAGCGGCAGCAAGTGATTCGAGGTGCACGCGTAAACTTCAAAAGAAAATTTCTAGAAAGAAAATGAATATTTTGACTAAATATTTCCTAAACATACAACCAAGTGGATACTTAGTACATAGTTAAAATTTTATATAACTCAATGACCATCAATATTTTGCCTTTAAGGGATTTGGTTGCATTTGTTTTCTAATTTTTTTTTCTCATATTAATTAAGCATAAATTTGTACCTGCTTGCAGTTGTCATCAGCCAGTTGTTAGAACAGCTATGGCAGAATATTCTGCCACATAGCCTGCAGTGGTGCTGTAAAAGAACAGGAAACTTTACTTGACATCTCGCTAAATATATTTGAGATCACACAGGGCAATGCAGAGATTTCAGACAAGATTTACAAAAATCGCATCAGAAACAGACTGCGATTTTTTGGAATTATGCGACACTAAAAGCTTTTCCTTTCCCCGAAAGGTTGATGGAATAATTTTAGTTTGCTTAGAATAACAAGTTAAAACTGTTTTGCGGTCTTTCAATGCTTACCTTCCTCAGAGTGAAGCTGAATGCAGTAGAGCACTGAAGGCAGCTGTCAGCTTCGTCATTGTCCATCCACTTGTCTGTGGCTTGTAGTTTTTGGAGAAACTGCAAACTATCATTTTGTTTCCACAAAGTGTCTTTCTCCCTGAAGGAAGAATCAAGAGGAAGTTTTTTAAAAAATATTTCTTTGTGGAATCTGGGGGATTGCCCATATAGTTTTGTGGTTTAATTTGTTATCGATGAACTGTACTGTGTTCAAGGAAATAATACAAATGGACTTTAGTAAAACTCAGGCTTACCTCACAAGCTTGACAATTTTCTTCTTCAGTTCAACTGAATCCACCTTGAGCTGTTTCAGTTGGTCCTCGAAAGAAGTTATAATGTTGCTGCTCTCTTCAAGCTGTTGCTTTAGGTGGTCACTCTGTTCCCTATCTTGGTCAGCCTGGATGCGAAGCTGCACGGCAGAAACTTCCATGAGCGATACTGCTAGAATGATCTAGCACATCGCATTATAGCCACAATTTTTAGCGATTCGTTTGCGTGGGAGTTTGTTGGATCTCGATGACTGACCTTTTTGAGTTCGTCACTTAAGCTCGAGCATTCTTCTTCTCTGGAGGCCAAGTCCAGTTGCAACTTTTCAACCTACACATCAAACAGATCCAAAGGTTTGGTAGGGTTAAACAAATCTTCAACACATCCCTACCGAAAAATCCGGTATAAGTTTTCGCTATCCGGATTATGGAACCGGAAATCTATCTGGATTCTATCTGGATTTTATCTGGAATTTAGGTTTTCAAAAAGTATTCCTTTGTCTGCAATCTGGATTTCGGGTTTCCAGAAACAAATTTCCGGTTCCATAATCCGGATAGGGAAAAGTTAACCGGATTTTTCGGTAGGGATCTTAGAGAAATTTTACAATTATAGAAAAAATATTTTAGGCACCTCTTTTAGGAACATTGTCTGCTCAGTCACTTGGTCGTCTTTCAGTTCTTCCACTGAGTGCTCAAGTTCCCCAATCATTTGCTCTTGCTCCCCGATCCGTTTCTTCATTTCTTCTATAACGGTTTGTTGAGTCACATAATTCTGGAACGAAACACCATTGTAACATTGTTACTAATGGTCGAGATCGAGAGCAGTGAGATGCATACTTAGACGTCCTTCCAGGTGGACAAGTGGTGCTTTATTAGCATAAGCCAACTCATTCAAAACTGCTTTTTCCACAAGCGTGCCAATGACAAGGATGTTGTAGATTGGCAAGAATGAAGATTACACCACACATCACAGTACGTTTCTTTGCTGGCTTGACTGTGTCATTTAATAGAAGGTATTTTAAGCTTCTCTCTGGACTGAATTGGGTATTGAGAATTTATTCAGACGTACACATCGCGACACTGTTAGCGCGAACACGACATCGGCGCATTTTCGCATTTTAACTCTAACTAGTATTAGCGAGCACGAAATTTTATCGCTTACATTATAGAACTAAATAAGCTCTTTCCTTAGCAATAATAACTTGGATGACATTCCTTAGGTTCGAAGAGAAAAACTGGAAAAACCGGCGATCTCTTGTTCGTGCTAACAGTGTCGCGCTCTGTACATAGAAGGAAAGTTAAAATGCGCTGTCATAACATAAATATTCAAGACCTCTTGTTTGGTAGTGTTTGACCTGAAAATGTGTGTGCTGAGCTATAAATGGTAACTCTACTAGGTGACCGGTTAAGAATTCAGCAGATATTCCGCCTCCAGCTTGATCTTTCTGCCTTTGATAACACTCCGTTGCCCGCGCAGCAAGACCAGCGGAAAGGAACAAGCGCGTGCTGGAGACTGTGGTGCTACGGCATTCTTAGCCTGTCACGGACCATAGAGTTACCCAATTGCTGCTTACCTCATACAAGTGGTTGTGGGATGTCGTCTGGTTATCCAACTTCAGCGTCAGAGTGCCGACCTCCTTTTCTAGAGTCTTCTGCTTCTCGAGGCTTTTCCGGCGACATGCATCACTTTCCGTGAGCTCGTTCTCTTTCTGTTCCAGCTTGGTCTCCAACACTTTGTTCTGCTCCAGCAGCTGTTCTCTTTCCCTCGTGATATCCTTCAGTTGGACGCTCTTCAGGTTGCGTTCCGTGCGGAGCATCCCACTCGCCCGCTGCCTGTAGACAAGCAGACCGAAGAGTATATTTTTGTTAAGAGTGGAACGTATAAAACTAAGCTACAATTTACTAGTTTTATATACTTGTTAATTGCTTTACACGATCGAAATCCCACTGACCCAATGCGTTCGCATCCGCACTTATGGGAAGCATTTCCCACAAGCACTGGTGCACTACAAAGTAGTATCAGGTAAAGTCCAGCAGGGTTGCAGGGTTTCGCTTCATCACGCAGGCGCACAACGAACATGAATAAACCCATTGCGAAGTTTTTTATGAATGCTTTATTGCAGGCAAAAGTGTACTTATCGAGTGCATGGGACGAATAAAGGAACACAGATAGAATTTAGAAAGCCGCGTTGACGCTACAGTGTTTTTAATCTTCACTTAAAATGGTCGAAAAACGCCGCCATATTGATTTTTTTCTTCTGGAATTCGGTTTTTAGGAAAACAGCTCTGAATAAACATTCCCTGCTCCCAAACTTAGAACGTGATTAATTTTCGATGCTTGTGTATACCACCTAAACTTTCTCGAGCATCGCCAATGAACGAGACATTTTATAAGGCAGAGATCCGAGTACTCCTCTGCCTACATATTTAGGCCTAGAAAATTAATCAAATGAAATTACTAAGCTGGTTAAGGAGGGCGACTCTCCCCTTTAGCTACCGGCTGAAAGAAAAAGCCCCATAGTGCACGTTTCGTTTTTTTTATTTTTTATTACGAAGTAAATAGCAAGACTGAAAATTCATTTCGCCATAAAAGGCAAGTCATAAACTCAGACTGATGAGGAAAATGCGGCTCCTTGTCTTATACTTACTATCGTACGTCTAAGAGACATTAGGCATACAAGGTTCAAGCGTAGTAGGTTGGGCATAGACCTATATTTTTCTCGTCAATCATCTACACTAACTTTACCATGCACTAAAAAAAGAAAAAAAAAGAGCGAGAATGCAAATAATTTTACTTCTGCTCATGCTTACTTAAATGCAAATAGCTTTTTTAGAGCTGCTCATGTTTCGCTCATCGTTACTCCAGGGCTGCTATCTGCATTAGTAAATAATTGGTATAAGATCTACACACGCGCAAAAGGCGTACAATCAATAACTGAAATTATATACTGAACACTGATAATGCTTCGGAAATACAGAAATCTTTAATAATCGGCAAGACTGATAAAATACGCACCTCATCTCATTTTCCCGTTGTGCCTTTTCTTCGGCTTGAGCCAAAACCTGGCGGCGCAGACGCTCGTTTGCAGATTGCAGTTCAGCAATGGTTGACCGAAGACTAGATATCAGTTCTTCACTCTGAGACCTCTCCAGTTTCACCCTATGCACAATTGTGTCCAGGGTCTTCTTTCTTATCTCGGGCAAGGATTCGTCTCTTCTGGATGCTTCCACACACTCCGGAGAAAATGGCACAGAAATGTCGTCACTCACTACATCACAGCCCTCTAGAACGTCTGGCTCCTCCTCGAGTCCTTCAGAAATATCCTCAGTCTCCACTGGAATGCTAGGAGCGTTGTCACTTGCACCGATCACCCGGGACGCTGCCTCGTTGCTGCCTTCGAGCAAACTGTGCAGCCGCATTTGGAGGTTATTGCTTCGTTCACTACTCCTGACCAAGCTGCTGTAGAGAATCTGGCACTGCTGTTCCAGGTACTCCAGTCTTTGCGAACGAGCACGGTATCTCACTTCCATGTCTGAAGTCGAAATTGGAATGGAGCTGGCTCCTTCTTCTGGAATTTCGTCGACGTTGAGGGAGTCGGACCGGTCCTCTTCCTCAACAGAGTCAGGGTCGTCCTTCTCGGACACTTCTTCGCTGCTTAGCGGAGTTTGCTCACGCGTGCTATGTCCGTTGTCAGAGACCCCACTGTCCTGGCTGTCTTGCTTTTTCCGACTCTGGAACTCCTCTCGAAGGCTTCGCCACTCCAGTTCAGACTCTGCATTCGATCGCATAACCCTGACACAGTCTTCTCGAGTGCTCTCGAGCTGTTGCTTGAGGTTGTGGAGCAGGTGCTTTTTCTCTTGAAGCTCGTACCTCATAACAGCCTTTGCAGTCTGGAGTTTGTAACGAGTGTCCTCCATGCCTGCCAGCAGCACTTTCGTTCGGTCTAGTTCCTGCACGAAGCCACAAAGCTTACGTTCTTGTTCGTGTACTTTACCAGAAAGAAGCCCGTTGAGCTCCCTGCACTCTGCAAGCTCCTTTTCTAGTTGAGATTCAGTCTGCATGAGGCCTTGCAGCTTGGAGTGGTTTCGACAAAGAGTTTCAAACAGCGACGTCACAAAGTCGCAGCCTTCAATGCGAGGAGGGACCAGCTCTTCTGAAACTGTTGCAGTCTCTTTGTGGTTCAAGGTTCCCTCGCTCACTGATTCGCTCTCCTCATCATTGGGTTTAATGCTGAGAACTTCTCGGAGAACATGCAACTGTAGATTAATACTGTGGCTTGTGGAAACTATATCTTTGACCTTGGAGTTTGCCCTGTCAATGAGAGACTCCTGGTGCAACATGGCAGACCCCAGGTACCGTAAACAGTGCTCGTAGAGTTCAGAGTTTGAACTGCCCGATGATGCTTTTGTACAATACTGTTGCAGGACGAGGCTAAGATCATCAGGAGACACATCACTGGTTCCAGACGTCAGAATCTTTTCCAGCAGGGTCTCGTCACACTCTTTTCCGTCAGTTGAGATTCTAGGGGACTGCTCTTTTGAAGACGTTTCTGGCTGAGAACTTTCTGGTGACCTCGCAAGGAGCTTCCTTCGAGCAGTACGCACTAAGGATACCAACCTTTCTATCTCACGGTCTTTCAATGAGCTAGCGTTGATAGTCTCACAACATTTGGACCGAACTTTGACAAGCTGCTCTTCTAGGCACTTGCATTGGGCTTTCTTTTGCTCCAGCAGGTAATGGCTGTTCTCAACTTCCTTGTCCATCACCAGCACTTGCTGCCGCAATATTACGGTCTCCTCCTTCACTGCATCAACCAGGTTCTTGAGCCCTTCGTTTACAAGGGTGAGTTTTTCAACTTTTGTCCGGAGCTCTAGTTCAGACTGCTTCACAGTGACAAGTGACTCTTCTGTGTCTTCCAGTTTTTCTAAGACCTCATTTAACTTCCGTGTCAGAAAACTATTCTTCAAGGACATATCTTCTTTGTCTGCGGTAAGTCGTTTCACCATTTCTTCCAACATTGTGTGCTCCGAACTGCAGCAAGCCTGCTCACTTTTGGAATTTTCGATACCTGTATCTTGTGCCGATTGTTGCAGTTGCAACGAGTACAGCTGGTCTTGAAGTCGTGCTTCCCTTTCTTGCCATGCTTGCTCTTTATGGAGGTGGTCCTCCTTCAGCTTCGCTAGTGTTTCAGCACAGGTAGACGCTACTGATTCAGCTTCTCTTAGCCTTTGCTTGAGCTCGAGCTCTCGTGGAGAAATATCCTTGGTATTTATAGGTGTTGCCCCACTTTGGTTTTCTGGCAGGTTGCTCTTGAAGACGACAGGAGAAAGGGATCTGCTTTTCATCTGCACAGGAGAAAACAAAAATAATTAGCTTCTTACTTCTTAGGCTGTTTTGCACACTTCTGCACATACTGGAGCTTTCAGAGGATTGCAAATTTAGATTCACTACATTGCATAACATTGCGAGCTCTAGGGGTTTAGTTTAGACTTACACAAAAATGATGGGTAAATATTTCAATATATACTAACTAGAACCTTGGGTCTTGTCTGGGAACCGCAACTTGCTTGTTTGTCCTCTTCAAAGTCACCAGAACAGCCGGCGTTATGGCGCTCAAGACTAGGAACAGCCAGCTGAACCTCGTCCTGAATTGCAGGCTCATTTTCAGGCATGCTGGGCGCTGGCAAAAGCGAATCAAGCTGCGGAGCAAAAGAGATAGACCAAGGCTGTCGGTTAATGCCTGGCTTAGAATTATAAACATGGAGGACCTACTTGAGAAACTGTGCTGCTTATACTGGAAATGCTCGAGGTTCTGCTCAGAGGCACCCAAGAACTACTGAAAACTTTCCTGCAAAAGATATACAAAAAATATCCAGCTCACTCAAAACAGAAGGCACATACGATTCACTTTGATTAAAAATGAATTCATGTTGTTATTTGATATAGAACCTACGCCATAGGTTGTCATAGGTTTTCCCGGCTGCTGTATGTTTACGAACTCCGGTCCCCTTGAACTCTCATAGTAATATGTGTATCAATTTTACGTCTCCCGGCGCGCCCGACGCGACACATTGGCCCGCTCGGTCGCGGCCGCCCTATTCCGTTCCCTTCGCGTCCTTTCTTTTACGCCTATTTGCCTCTCTGCTCTGTACTTCTCGGCGAAGCTGGCAGGGCCCCGGACAGGTTGGACTTGGACTAGGACTAGGCTTCAAAGAAATTCAGGCTTTTACGATAACCCGCTCTTTCAGTCTTCTACTTCGGCGCGCGCGCGCGCGCTTTTGTTGTGTACGATTTTTTTTACTTCGCAAGTTTAATTTCGCGTAGAGATTGGAATTTGTAACTATGCACTGTGCTTGACACGTTAGGGACGCGTCTAGCTTTGCAGTTTTGCACCCCAGGAGCTCGCATCAAGCTTCACTGCTTCCCACCAGCGTGCTAGGAGCAGTGACTGGGGCGGGGGAGCATGTGGGAATTAGCTCTATGGGCTCAGAAATTTCGCTAAATTTTATAGAATAGCCTTTTTTAGTTTCAAATATACTTGAATCCCCCTTAAGAAAAAAGCATTTTCCTTTGTTCCTTTTCACTTTTATTTTTAAATAGAAAATAAGAACGAAAAGAATGTTGAACTGGTAGCTCCCCACAGGTCGGGAAGTCCACAGGTGGAGAAGTCAACATTAAATAAATTGCTGTATGAGAGTTGCTTCTATCGATTGTTACGTTTTTTTTTTCTTTTCATTACTCGTGCATCTTTCAAAAAAAAAAGTGAAAACTGATAGTCATGGTGGCATTAATCAGATAATACTAAAATACCAATTTTGAAAAAAAATAATATGCAGAAATGAAGTTGTCGGTTTTTACCTTGCAAAACAAGGCCAAGCTGCGTCAAGGTCATTTCCACTTGGTGCAAGGTCAAAAGAGACATCGTTCAGGTCATAGAGAGACGACATGAATGCCTGGAAGTCCTCTGGCTTACGAAAGACTGCCCAGTCATGATAATAGTCACTGTAAAAAAATACACACAACAGAACATAACGTTATTCTAGAAACATCCCTCACAAGGTACCATTAAAGACTTTTCAGCTTCCTGCTACGTGTATACAGACAAGCAGTGAGACGCTAGTTGCTTAGGTAGTGGTTCACGTTGTAGATGATCAGTGGCACAGCCAGGAACTTTTTTCGGGGAGGGGTTGGGGCCGAGGTGGCTAGGATGTTATAACTTCGAATGCGGCGAGAGGGAGGAAGGGTCAAAATGCATGTGCATATTATAGGGCCGGCTGGATTTCGGGGGACCGGGGAAGGGGCGGGGGGAGGGGGGGGGGGGGGGGCTGAAGCCCCATAAGCCTGCCCCTGGCTACGCCACTGTAGATAATGTATTTATCTAGTGTGGTACGACTGTGTCAGCCTGGAGCCTTTAAGGCGTATCACGCAGTGCTGGTAACACAACTGCACGCCAGTGCGATATTCATCCAGATCGAAACGGGAACTGGCGAATATTGAACCCGGAATCCCCGTGTTCTGCACCGCGAGCTTTCTCTCGACGTGCTGCGAACTGTCTAGCTTGCTTTTTTCTGATCACGACTTGACTGAATTGTATAAATTTTTTTTTAAATTAGTGATAGGGCTTTTTATTTCTTACCTCGTAGCTTTTTCGTTGACGGAGCAAACCTGAAGCGTCTCAGCGAGGCATTGGTGCATCAAGCAGTACCGAACAACAGCTCTTCCTCTGCCAAGGTTTGTCTTGAGCTATATTGAATTGAGCCAACTGTCAGCTTCCACTGTCTAGTCACGGTTTCTTATCAAATAAAAATGCATGTTGGTACGGAACATACCTCTGTCAGGGACTTTGCATACTTGAGGGCTGCATACCCTTGCAGATTCTTTTCGGATGCCAAACAGCGACAGAAGTAGTTCCAGTAGTTCTTAGCGGCACCCAGCAGGGATACCTTGTCTAATTGATGGAAGCAATACAAACTCGTGAAATTAAAACATTTTTTTACGACACGTTCAGGGTAACCGCTGTTCACATTTTTGAGCAGAGCGTAGTTTATACAAGACAAGTTTAATATTAAGCGCTTGCATCGGTTGTTTGGCGCATCACCGAATTTCAAAGTGCTCCTAATAAATAATGATTTTGGGTGACTATCTTACATACGCATGAAGTTTTCTTTTACTTCTGTTTTTATGACCAACAGTTTTATGAACAGTACACCGTGCGACATAGGTGGAGTAAACGTAAAACTGGCGCATTTTCGCATTTTTATATACAAGGTTTCCACGGGCATCATTGTTTATACCGCTTATGTTGGTTCTTCAAATTAACACGCTTATGTTGGTTCTTCAAATTAACATTTTTCGCCACACTAGTAGTTTTTATGTCAACTTATAAATTAAAAAAAACGCAATAGGTTAACCATTTTGTTCTTAGCCCGAGACTGAGGCAGGAAAAGAGGAAAGTTTCGAAGTAGAAGAAAAATGAACAGTCGAAGACACGTGTCTTCGACTGTTCATTTTTCTTCTACTTCGAAACTTTCCTCTTTTCCTGCCTCAGTCTCGGGCTAAGAACAAAATGGTTAACATCCACCAGCTCGCGTGCGCAATCACTACATTAGCAATAGGTTGTTTGTGCGCCTTGTACAACCCGCTTTGCAAGCGATGCATATATTCGTACTTTGTTATAAGAATAATGGGATTTCCGCACTTTTTTTTTCTTCTTTGAACAAGATTAGGGTGAAGAAACCGGTATACTTCACAAGAATTATATAATCGATATCGGTAGCTATCTTGCGTAGGCAGGAATCCTTCAGACCAAATCACAGGAAAAAGAAATAGCACAATAAGCTGAGATAAACAAAATAATACGAAAATGCTTTGCACTTTTATTCAATTATTTGATTCAGCCTTTAAGATATCACTCTGTCTAGCTAGAATGTCTAGCTAGAATAATATAAAAATTTCCACAAAAAGAATATTGAGTAAATACAATTTAACGTAAGAGTTGGCTCTAGCAACAGCACGTGAATACAAAGTTGAAGGAAGCGGTATCTTGCGTGAGGAATGTTAATAATTGATATAGACATGCTTTTGGTTTATGCGATACAGTAATATAAAACCTTTAAGTACCCCTTTGGCCATGCTGAAGAACAACCTCAAGCTTGGCGCAAAACTTGTTCAAAGATGTGTCGTCGTCATTTATCGGGGTTCCTCGTTCCTGGAACTCTTGGTATAGTTCCTTCACACATTCTGAAAGAAAAAAAGTTCAGAAATAGTCGTATTTGAATTCTTATTTAGGAGAGTAATTTATTCATCACAAGGACTGATTCCTTGCAGCCGTTTTCTTGTTTTCACGTCGACCATAAAGCTTTGTGCTGGTGAGAGAGTAATTTAGTTATTAATTCAAGGAAAGGGTACACAGCTTTAAATTCACCGTTTTTTGTGAATATTAGTGACTTTGCCAGTGTTTATTTTTAAATGCTATCTAACACGTTAAAGAAAAAGTAATTTTTTTTTTATGGTAGCCATTATGTCAACAGGAAGGCACTATTTCCTCTGCACTCGTTATTTCTCATTGAGATCCAGCTTACGAATAGGCATTCATTTAACAAAAATTCACGTTTACATTTGTTGAGATCAATCTTTTAAATTTTTCTTTAAGTGCTGAAGATATGGTGTACGATATTGCTGCACGCAGGGCCGAACAAGTAAAGCGCTCGGTCACGGAATTCTAGAAGACTCGCGTTTATTCTTACTCAGGCTGTAACTTATAATTTCGTCTTAGTTTCTTGTTCTCAAAAGTGTCTCTTCATTGTCGCCCCGAGCGCGCAACGCTCGAAGCTTCTTTGCCGAATTTTCGGGATAGTCAGGCACATTAGATAAGGAGCTGCGCGGTACCTTGTGGAGTCAGTCTCGCTCTCGCTTGATGTTACGTCACCAAATCCCCTACCGCCTTTTCTGCTCTCTCGACGCTCGTTCTTTATTTTGTTGGGCACAAGTTCACCGATTAAACTTATTTTTAGATTGCTGTTAATCCTCTCGTCGTCATCTGTGACAATACTGCTTAACAAATACCCAAGATTGGATAAACGTTTAGAACTATTGGCGGGAAAAAAATTGAATGTAACAAAAAGCTTTAATTCGCAAAAGCGCGCTTTGGGAGTTTTAGTTTTTCGATTGGGCATTTCAGTCGCCTTTAAGGTACTTATTTGTTTTTAACGCTAAAAAATGTTCGAAGGATGGTGGACCAAAAAATGATAAGCAAGTCACAAATAGAGTAAACAATTGGGAGCAGAATTATAACGTCCGTCATGCGCGCTACCCTTGCGACAGCGGCAGAAAGCGAGGCTTTAATCTTGTGGTGCATATGACAAGCATCTATCAGTTCACTTAAAAAGAATCACTTGGCATTCCCATATGTACACGAGTACATGCTTTCGCCGTCTTCATAGTAATCTCGCTCGACTTGATTTTGAGTTTACAAACTTACTGGAACGCGTCTGCGAGGGTGTCAATAGCATAGATAGCCTCGTTATCGATGACGACCGCACAATATAAGCATATACAGTCATCCTTCCGCTGCCTTCGTCACTGAGCTATTGGATATGAATTTTTGAGTTGCAACTTGCTAGTACGCTAAGGCCCACAGAGAAATGAAAAAAAAAGTGCGTCAAATGATTAGAATTAGAAATTTTGACAAAGTAATGCCAGTGTCCAAAAACCAGGTGCGCTTTTGGAGCAAAGTGCACCTCGAAGCTTTAAGTGAAAAGAGCAAAGACTATTTTCGCTCTTGTCACTCGCCGCTCTTTTCGCAAATCAACCTCCGTTGACATCAAAGAAACACAGAATCGTGGGAGTTTTCGAACTGCATCTAAGTTTATACATAAATGTACACCGTCCCCGCTTCCTGCGGGATTTTGTTACTGCACTTGGAGGAATTCGGACAGTGCATTATATAAGCGAATGGCTATAATGAATCGTACCACCAATTTTTGGATTGACGTCTCTTGCTGCGCAGCATGTACTTAAATAATGCTCCGGCACAACAAAGACCCTATGTTCCTAGGACAGGCAACAGAGCATAACGTCTCAGAGACAGCCTCAGGGTGCGCGTGCAATTGTACTGGATCTTTATTAAACCGCGTTCGCAACCACTTTGCGAACGCGGATCCGCTTCCAGTGGGAATGAGCGGGGAGAGTCTCAGAGACAGCCTGAAAGAGCGTCTCAAAGAGCGTCTCAAAGAGCGTCTCAAAGAGCGTCTCAAAGAGCGTCTCAAAGAGCGTCTCAAAGAGCGTCTCAAAGAGCGTCTCAAAGAGCGTCTCAAAGACCGTCTCAAAGACCGTCTCAAAGACCGTCTCAAAGACCGTCTCAAAGACCGTCTCAAAGACCGTCTCAAAGACTGTTTTTCGGAATCTCCACTCTCGTGCCGTGCACAGCAGCGCGCACACGTATAACCAGAAGCACGTGTTCCACGTGGTTGCCGTATCAGACTATACTTATCCAGCTTGGGTCAAGAGTACAGAGAGTTCGAACTTATGATATCTGGTGATGGTCAAACACGGTACCCCCAGAGCATACAAAAATTTGGGTATCTTTCTGTTTGTCCCTCGCAGGGACGCACGTGCTTTAAGTGTTGTTGACCTTAGACCCGTGCCTTTCGGTATTTTCCGGCTCTTGGTCAGCAAAACAAAAACCACGTGATTTCATTCCCCAGGGGATCTTTGCCATTTTCCAAGTAGAGTTCGTTTAACTGCCCTTAAAGTACAAAGTACACTATAAAAAATAATTAAGCGACAAAAACGTGCCTAATTAAATTAACTAAAGCTTTTGTTAGTAAGCTTGAGCTTCTCTAGAAATGTGATCTTAAATCGTAATTGACCTGGGAAGGTGGTTCCTGTCATTTCACATTCTTGACAAGAACGCTACAGGCTTTTGTTGCAGCTTGGCATTCCAACGCTGTGAAAAGAAACGTGGTGTACTAAGTAGCATTAGAGCTGAAGCATTATTCTCTGAAGAAGGAATGAGTTGCGCTAATACGTTTTGTAGAGCAAGAAGAGGCCAGCATTTTTATAACGCAAAGTCAATATAGAAAATGTTAAAATGCTTTATTTGGACCCTAAAATCAAACCCTGTCAGACAAAAAAAAAAAAAGCATTAGAGCGGTTTTTTAGAATGTTACCCACAAGCTTCCAATTTACCAATACAATGCGAGAGATATGGTACACCCGTTTTTTAATAGGTTATAAAATATCAAGCAAAATTGAACCAGATAGTTTCCGACCAGATAGTCTCCGAAGAGTTCGCTCGTCATATACAATCTTCCCGACTAGGCTAAAGACAAAGGAGCTGCTATTGTCACAGTTTAGAACATCTTTCTCACGCTATCTAAAGTTCTTGGTTTTGTTTTCCTACAACAATCGTTATCCTTTTCCGAACGCTACAAACACCAAAGATTTTCCCGCTCGCGTGCTCGCTCCCCCGCGCTTCGTTATCGCAGGGGCTCGCGCAAGAGGCACTGTGTGGGGGATAGCCCTCTTATCTGGTCCAGCTAGACCAGCTAGACTTTCCCAGACGTAAGAGTGTGGTCGAGAAAAGAGTAATATGCCACTCTTTTAGGGCAACGAATCTTGCATGCCTCAGTCGCACCAAATCCATTTTGCCAGCTTCGGACTTTTTGGTTGCTTTCTAAAGTACTCCCGCAAGGACGACCAGAGGCAACAGTTTTCGAAATGAATTTAAATCGCACCTGACATCGAACATTTACAACTTGAAAGTTGAAAAGAAGAGCCGGGAAGAACGAACATTTTTGTGACGAGTCATTTCCGAAGGAATTTATCAACTTGTAAGATGTGAACGAGTAATCTCCCCATTTAAAGCAGATTTTTTAAAAATATTTGTTTCTTTCTTCGACGCATATTTTTACAACATTCAAATATTTTTCTAAAGAAAAAACAGCGATTGCATCATCACGTAAGCCGCAAATTAAAAACTAGGGCTATACGCGTTTGAAATTCGAATAGCGCCGTTCAAAGCACCTAAGTTGGGTTTCAATAGTTGAAGCTCACACGGCGTTATTTACTTTCGCAAGTATGCTCCGTCGGCTTGTTGTCTTTTTTCACACAGATCGCGTTGTGCGTGGTTGGCAGTTTCCGAAATTTGAGATCTAGAAGTATAAAAAAATAGTTCCGTAATGTTAGATGTGAGGCAATGAGAAGTCATTGTATACTTTTTAACTAGACGGCCCCAATGAGTTATGCAGCACAAAGCATGTTAGCCATTAACGTTATTCGACGAATCGCTCACTAAAAGTGCTGTTATTGCAACTCCTCATCCGATAAAAAATGTATCGTTTAGTACGATTTAAGGAAACTGGCATTATAAACTCTTCCTTACAAAAACCGAACTGTCTTATCTCACGGTATACGTCACTGGTATATTCGCATAGGTTGAAAAACCCTGTTTCGGCAACGCAATTCTTTCTTACAGATCCCTATACATTCTTAGATTATTTTGACTCCAGTTTTCTTTTTCTCTGTTTTCTTTTTAATATACTTATTCTCGAATTTCGTGGGAACACGCGGAGCAATCTTTCAAGGGTGCTGGTCGCCAGGCAACGGGCGCCAAGAAACAACAAAGCGGTAGGACTTCACTTCGTCCATTTGGCAACAGTAACAAGTGAAGTACGCTGCAGCGTGCCTGCTATCGCGATAATCGCGCTTTCAGGGCAACCTACGGACGTCCATGGGAGAGCCTTGCTGGCAGATGACACATCGGCCACTTGCACGATTTTGTTATGCTACGCGTCACTACCGCAAGAGGGACATCCCGGTCGAGGTCGTTACAAAGATAATAAGCCAAGTTTTCATATGTGTACCGCATGCGCGCTTAACGTTTTTGTTTTGCAAACTCCCTAAAGCTTTCGTAAAGCATGAAACTTCGACTGGCAATTTAACGCCTCCATAAAGCGAACATGACACTAACCTATGGCAGGCCACCGGTTTTCGAACAGCGCATAAAGATAGAAATGAACGTGATAAATACATTGCAATCTAAACCCACGGGAAACGCGCCTGCGATAATCGAATTATTTTGAGTCAGTGTAAGGAAACGTAACGGCGGAAATTTCAAGCGATCTTAAAAAGTCTGCTTCTGTCCGTTATATGGAGGTATAACGACGCGATCACTTGAAACCGGTTGAAGCTCGGCAGCTTCGCACGTTTTAGTTACTAAGGCCGGATTATAATTCACAAAATTTGTTACATATTCAAGACCTAGTTTACTGAACAGGTCTCTTGAGCAGCGAAAGTTCCGGTCTCACCGCGTACACGCTTGTAGCTTTGCACCGTTCGCTGTCAACTAAACGAACTTTGAACTGTTTGTGTCTAAAAATTGATCTCCACTTTTTTTCTACTTCCGAAATCGCGGTTCAATACACCAGACAAAGGCTGAAAGAAAAAGAGAAGCGGGGAAAACCATGCAAAGCCGCGATCGGTCCGCATCCTCTAATGGCGATGCAGATGTCGGTCAAATGCAGCAGTAACAACGGAAAAAAAAATCTCACCTTTGACGTCGTTTACTGCCTTGTCTACGTGTACTCCAGATGCCATTGGAGGAATTGACGTGTACTCATTGGCCTCTTCCTGCAACGCGAAGGAGACCAGAGCACGACACAGAGGAGTGAGTATCACTGTGCGACGATGGAGAACAAAAGCGGAGCCGTGTCCCGAAAAACCACACCAAGTCTGAAGAGGAGAGCACCCTCGTAACAAGAGACAGTCTGGTCCGCGCGATCGTAGCACAATAGACAGGCCGGGCGCTTAAACGCTCTTAGGCCGGTTTAGGCCGGGCAGCCAGTTATCGAAAAGAAGCGGGATCGATAACATTCCTTCGTGCCGGCCAGATAGATAGATAACCCGGTCCGATATTTCCGAAGATACTGGCCTATCGGACGCTCCGCTCGCGAGAGCAGTGATTCACCTGCGTTACGGAGGACTCGCTTTGAGTGCAACACAATGCTGCCCGCAACGCGGTCGCACAATCGCCATTGTGCGCCTTATCGGCCTGAACTTTCAGCGAAACGGGCGTTTCTTTTATTACATTTTTTTCTACTCACACAGCTGCCGCCCACTGCGCCATCCCCATAAAATAAAACCTAGGACGGTGATAAAAAAAAGTAGAGTTTCGTAGTTTTTATTTTCCCCAGTCGGCTAGGTGGTTCGCCACATACGGTTACGAGTGATGTTTTGGTACATATTCCTCTGCTTTGCCTATCCCCCGTTTCGGTGGGCGACAATCATTAATAAGGGTACAACAAAACTTCAGACGGACGCACTGCGGCCCATCGCGGGGTCCAGGATCCGCATACTCAAAAACAACTGTCCTATTGTTGACAACCCTTCCACACCTTTCCTTTGACATGGTGTCTGGTGAAACGATACACAATTAAAAAAAATGTTCAAAATATCGTTGAAGCAAACTGAATAGTGATCCTTGTACTGCTTTCACCTCCAAATTATCTCAGAGTAATGTTTACAAACGCACGAAGGATAGTATAGCAAGTAAGTCGGTCGATCTTCACCGAGTATTACATTTAATATGATTAGTTTTTGCGGAGTATTGGAGCCTTTAAAACTTTTGCCATATTCTACGGCAATAAAAAGTCATATGGCAACGTCAAAAGTTTATCTGCTATCACTTGCTTGTGTTAAAGTTACGCGACCTCGAAGTTGCCCCTAGTGTGGACAAGAACAAATAAAAAGAATTACCGGAAGTTCGGTTATTGTTGGACACCAACGATGATGGCTGTTTAGAGTTCAAATCTTCAGATCGCTTTATTATCTCGTCGTGGTTAAAACCCGCGTTTGTACACGCAGATAAGAACAGTGACGTGTGCTTTAGGGCTTCGCACTGCGCAAGCGCAATGCGAAGCACCAAGCTGCTTGGAAGCCCAAAGCGTTTGGGCCTCCTGTTCTAGCTGTGCAACGTTGCTTCGATCTGTCTCGTGTCCCGCGCCGCGCCTCCAACGGCAGCCCGTGGCAGCGCCCGGAGACTATTCCAGGCCCGAGCCACGTATAGAAAGGGGCCTCGTGAGCAGAGCCCGGGGTGCCATTTCGGTACGGGTCTGGGAGGGGCCCCGTTTGCAGGTCCCGATCCTCGGGCAGATCGTTTCGCGGCGTTTTGCACCGCGATTTCCTTTCATTTCGTTTACAATCTGTGGCGAATAAACGCTGAAACAACTTAATGCTTGCAGATGAACGCACACTCAGCCGTCTCAGTTGCGTCAGTGTTCTACAAACACGCAAAACGGGTCTGAAAAAAAAATCTAAAACGAAAAAAAAAAAATACGACACGGTTTATGTTTAGGACTCAGGGTTACTAGGACGCAGAACAGAAGGACATCGTAGGGGCAAATGATAGAGTAATTAAGAGATTCGTCAATATTTTGGAGCTGTCTCGGTGGTTCCTATATGCAAAATGGCGGACTACGTATCCATAGTTGGTGGGTCCGAATCCCGGCAGAGAGGACTGTACTTTAACGGAGGCTTGATGAGAAAAAGGCGGCGTGTAATTGAGATTTCGTTTGCACTACAAAAGGTCCCTAGGTGGTTCAAGTTAATCCTCAGCGTTTCGCGAGGACGTGCCAGATGCCGCTCGTTAGTTGGGCACGTAACCTCCCAAAATTAGGTATTTTGTTATTTATAGTTTTTTGGGCATTGGTTAATGACCAGCTTGTCGCACCTCGTTCCTCCCGAACGGCAGGCGTGCCTCATGTTCGAGGCATGTCCGGCTTTTTTCGCTTGGTCCATCAAGGTTTCGTGACGCTTACTTAGCACAATAAAAACATGCCAGCATTATGAACTGCCCGCTCTATTTCACGCCACTTCAGTGGAATTGCAGACTAACGCCAAAGTAACCAGAGAGAACGAAAGAGAGAGGGAGACGTGCCTCATGTCAATATGGAGCCTTAAATTTAAACGCGGCAGGAGGACTCCCCCAGCCCCACGCTAGTTTTTGGAACGGTTGTTGTTGTTGTTGTTAGCGATGTAGTTTCGAAAAGGAAATAGAGGCAAGCGTGGGTGTAGGCTCAAAGGCCCGTCTGTCGCTGCCTCAATTTGTTGTTGTTGAACGGTCAAGCTGACTATTCAGGCGATGAGGAAAACCTACGGCTAGATTGCCAAGGGCCGAGCCAGGTTCTCATTGATCGATCGGAGTTGCGCTTTCGCGTGGTGCCATTGCTCCATGATGGCGGCCATTCCTACATATTCTTGCCGAGAAAAAGCGAATTCGGTGGTGGGAAATGTATTCTGCAGAAGGCAAGCCCTCAGCAGCACCGCGGCCACAATGGCCCCTGATGCGACGTCAATGCAAGCTTATGCTTGCGCTACATAATTCCCCGATATGTTGTATCGCCGCCCGCCCTCGAGCTTTGGACGAGCACGCGACTGCTGCATCGACAGTGTGCGCCGAGACCTTGATGTAACTCGACAAAAGGGGGAGTCTCGTAATGTGCGAATCTTTTTGCGATAACTCTGCACGAAGGTTCGAAGTACAGCGCGAGCAGAGTGCGGAACATCGCGTGCAGCTCTGCTGCATCGGCCACGTGACGACAACGAGAGCGCTCCCGTCGCTCGTTCACCGATAGCACAGCGGCACAAAACAGTCACGCGAGTGACGCACAAGTTCTCGAAGCTTGCATTCTCGGGATCCTTAGCGTGCACACACCTCGTCGTTCTGACTAGCCGGTACAACGACAGCACGGCAGAACGTATATCACACGGCCTTCTGCTGAAATTGCTTCAATATATCGGGCGGGCGTTTTTGTGTGCGCTGAATTATCTTTTCACCTGCTTGCCATTCATTCATTGATATCGAGGTAGAATCAAACGCCCCTTGTTTCGAGGAAACCGTCCATACCTTCACCTCAAGATAATCTGCTGTCACGTATTGGTGCAACGGGCCCTTTTTTGGTTATTTCAGTCTGCAGCAGATGAGCCACAGATGATTGTTCTTGAGGAGTGGCGTGGTCTTCGTGTATAAAACAATGAGAGCCCTCAAACCGACAGTTCTTCGCGGCTTTCGAAATCTGTATCGGAGAGCGGCAGGCGTACGCGTATTTCAAGTGCAATACTGATCTGTGCTGACTGATGAGGAGGTTGTGCACCGTCCTATAATTGATAAGGCAAAGCTCCCGAAAACACACTTGATAGCGGCATAGATTACTTTCATTTGGTCATATGACTCGTATCTTAGATTCTGTGCTATGTTCATCCACTCCCGTCTATTCATATACGCCCCTGGTCTTTTGGAAACTCGACAAAATTATGGAGTTTCGTATGGTTTTCGTTAAAGTCACACAGGTGAAACTTGTTAAAAACATATCCCGCGTCCCGCCCAAACTAAGACGCAGAGCCTAACTGTGAGTCTGAGTTTATACTGCAGCGCCATTAGAGAGACTGCTTGATTAGGATCGTTCCCTCGCCAGAATGAGGTCCATTTTTCCCTGAATTTTTATTTATGTTTACATGAACACGTTGCTGGATGGAAGTACTCTTCGAATTAGCTAAATGTAATAAAATATCAAGTTCACACACCTTTAGCGTATCTTGAATTGGTAATAAAAGCATGAAAAGGATTGACTGGAACGTGAGGAAACGTTGGTGTGCCGATCTGAGAGTCCTTCGAATTTATCTGAATAACTAGATTACCCACTGGATTACTTTATAAATAAGTCTATAATCGTATATGCGTTTAAGTTTGGAACAGCAAAGTTAAAAGCAAAATTCTTAACCCACGCCATGAATAAGGGTACGGGGATGAAAGTACCTCGATATAAAGATGTCACCAAGCTTAACTCCAAATAACAAACTTTCCGTAACCTGCCCACAAGTTTTAGTTGTATGACGCAACCGCCTGTCAAGAGAAACTCGAACCTGAACGAACGCTTCCGCGCACAGCGTCGAAGCAACCATGCAAAGCTTCGCAGAGCTTCGACGCACTGCCTTTGTAGTTAAATAGCGCGCGACCTTAAAATTAAAGTATAGGTATAACAATGTCAAGTTCATGTATATGTATTCATTGTGTTGTGCATATGTTTGAATGTCATAATGTACTACATACAAATGCTCGAGCCTGGGTCGACTGATGGGGCGTTGCGACTGTTTTGTTCCATGAGGCTTCGCTGCAAATCGACTCGGATACGACGATGTATTAAGTTCCAGTTAGCCGCGTAGATTTGATCGCGCCCAGGGAAAAGGTACAAGGGCGGCAATGATCTGACTTTAGGACGGATTCTTGTCAAATTCAACTGAAATTCCGGATTATGTCCGAAGCGCGCACACGCCCTGGTGATCGTGGTAGCAAAAAAAAGAAACAAAATATCGAAGTATGCTCACCCAAAAGAATGCTTCGTGAGATATCCGATGCTGATCGGGGTTAGCACTGAACCTAAAACCCGAGTAGGTTGCGGCAGATATTAAACACTATTACGTTCCTTACGCGGACGAGGGACCACCCAGTCTTGCGAGGCACGGGATTGGTTCGCAGCTAGTCACACCGACGTCCGTTCAGTGCACAGAACCAAGTTTTTCTGAACTTCGCTCGGCACAGACTCCGAATCGTACTCCCTTTCTTCTCCCAGGATGCTGCGTCATGAAGTGACTCCGTCGCTGGCGCACCGCGATGAAGCCAGCCCCGAAATCGGCCCCGAAATAGAACTCCCCCCTTCTGGTGTCTTTTATCCCCTTTTTTGTTTTCTTTGTTGTATTTTCTTGTATTATGTTTTGTTGTTTTCGTTCTCCTTGAAGTCACGTGACTCAATCCAGCTGTCTTCCGTCGTCGCAACAGCCTCTACTGAGAACACGAGCTTGCGTGCGCTGCAGATCCTCTGAAGAAACGGGAAAGGGGAGGGGGGGGGGGGGGGGGGAGGCTTATGCCCGCACGGCGGGTTTGGGACATTACGTTGGGAAAAGCGAGACTTTAACTTTTTTTTCTTTTTTTTTTTTCACTCTTTCGTCGACTGTGACACAAATGATCGAGCGCATGGAACACGTGTTTTTAATTTCTCGCTAAGTTGCGAAGTATAAGCGGTTGCGCTCAAAGGTTAGAGGGTAGAATGTTCCACGAAGTGTGCATTATGATTATATCCCTCAGTTAGTTAGGCAACCTCCGTATGGTAGTAACTCACCTTATATTCTTTACTCTCAGTTTGCAGATACGTCAAAATGACCGTGTTAGCAAGCTATATTAGTTAAAAAGTAACCGTGTTAACAAGCTATCTCTGTTACATTAACCGTGCTATAGATATTTCAGTCATTAACCGTGTTAGCTGTCTCGGCCAAAAGAACCGCATCAGTCGAATTAACCGTGTTAGCAAGATATTTCAGTCACATTAACCGTGTTAGCCGGCTATCTCAGTCAGATTAACCGCGTTCGCAGGCCATTTCTGTCAAACTAAAATGGACAATGTTAGCAATCTCATGTTGTAGAGTCAAAAACTGGTTCAAATGGAATAGTTTGCTATATATTCCTATGTACCACTTGTTTTCGAAGATGTGAATGAGTGTGCCACCGAATATTTCTCGGTTCACCCAGAGCAATGATTCTGCTTTGTCGGCGAACCAAATTCTTTTTTTTTTTTTTTTTTCTGTCGAGCTAGGCTTTTAAACTTGTCCAACACAACGTTGGAGCAGAAAGTTCGCGGATTGCGCCGATTGGACGTCCGCGAAAAAAGTGCGAAGTCATCGTCGTGACAGACCAATCGGTGCGCTCTATTAACTTCGGTCCCAACTTTGCGTTCGACGAGTCTAGGGCCCCTGGGGCCCTAGACTCGTCAAACACAAACTTGGAGCCGAAAGTTTGCGGAGCACGCCGATTGGACGTTGGCGAAAAAAGCGCTAAGTCATCGTCGTGATAGGCCAATCGGTGCGCTTCGTCAACTTCGGCCCAAACTTTGCGTTTGACGAGTTTAGAGGCCCTGGTCGATGTAGGCCAACTGCTTGCTGCGTTGGTAATTGATGTGACGACAATTCAGAGATAGTCCTTTGTAAAAGATTCCTTTTCAAAAGATACATTTCTGACGGATAGGGATTTACAGAGCGATGTTTCATACAGCGCTTGTCCTGTCTGCACTTCCTCTAGTCCCCGTTTTCTGCGCGCTGTTTGCCTTTTCGTCAGTATGAACCAACTAACCCACATCGCCACCCTTATGATGTTTCATACCTCTGAGCGCATAATAGCGTAGACCACTCAAGTCCTATAGATTTAATAAATAGACAAAGATATTCTGAAATAAGAAGACTGCATTTGCTGACGACGTCTCGGCCGGGTCCTTTCTGGAAATGGTCTGATGCTTGTTTTGTTGAAAAATGTCGCGCCAACACCGTTAGTTCGTTGACTCATTATTTGTGTGCTCGAAATTACATGATCGAAAGTGACCCTCGGAAGCAAAAACAAAGAAATAAACCACTAAGAAGAAATAAGGCCAGTTATAATACAATAAATATATACACAATATATATATATATATATATATATATATATATATATATATATATATATATTCTTTTAACGAAATGTATATATCTATAGATTAAAAAAAAAAAAAGAGAAAACACGAAGAAAGCTTGAGCAATTTATTTTCTGAAAACAAGCGTATGGGCGTCCTTCGAAGGCGCCCTTCGAACAAACTCCACTCGGTTGTGCTTTGGGAGGTCATTTCATACCGATTAAATGAAGTGGCGTTGAGAGAAACACAAAAGTGAAAACGCAACAAAATTATTTTAGGACCCATTGACTGATAAAAATGTCGATTAGCTATCGTTTTTTTGAAGGATAAATCTCGTCACAAAAGAAATCGTGGCAAACGCTTTTATCTTTCCCCTTAGGCGGCACCATTTTAGTCAATGTTCTAAGAACTAAAGCGCACTACTAGAATGAAAACGTACTATGACCGAGCCTGACAATGCCCACATTTCCATGAGAGGCTATGATAGTATAGCTGCTGTTGTCGATTTCTACCTGAGCTTCATCATACCATTGTTGCGATGGTACGTTTTTTAGAGGGAGCTTCAAACAGGGCTGAAACTATTTATTTATTTATTTAAATACCTTACATACCCTCAAGGGGCATTATGTAAAAGGGGGGGGGGGGGGGGCGGGGTTGCAAAGCAGAGTAAATCGAAAGTACAGAGCACAAAAACAACAAAATCAGCCACACTTAAGTAGACATACATCAAGGGCACCAAAAAGAAGTTAAATCTTGGCGAAAAAAAACTTGGGATTACGTTGACAAACAATGTTATCGGGCAAGTCGTTCCAGTCAGCAATGGCGGATGGCAAAAACGAGCAGAAAAATAAGGATGACTTACAAGAGATAAGTTTAATCTTAGATGAGCTATCAATGCGGGCTGAGACATAAAACGGTTGAGAGAAGTGATGAGTGAAGTGATGGCGAGTAGTAAATTTTATGCAGAATACATAGCTTTGATACCCTACGGCGTATCTCAAGTGAATGAACGTCAGCACGAGTTTTAAGGTTAGTTACACTGGTATGACGTGAGCAATCAGAAAAAATGAAACGAACGGCCCGGTTTTGTAGCGCTTCCAGTGAGGCAGATAAGTGATAATAATGAGGGTTCCCATATGCTTCAAACGTATTCCAGGATCGGTCGAACAAGCGTGACGTATGTTAGTCGTTTAAGAAAAGATGGGGCAGAATTAAGGTTACGTTTTAAATAACCGAGACTACGGTTAGCTCTTGAAAGAATGGAATTAATGTGCATGTTCAATGATAGATCGGAGGTTAGGCGAACTCCTAGGTATTTCTAAGATTGGACGAATTCCAACAGGGTATTTTGGATGTGATATTGACTGTGGTACAAACACGACTTATTAGGGCGAATGAAACGAACGCGCTTGCATTTAGAAAAGTTTAAAATCATAAGCCGGTTAGTACGCCATGAGCTTATATTTAGTAAGTCGTCTTGAAAGGCAGTATAATCTGATGGGTTACTGATCCGACGATAAATAACGCAGTCATCGGTGAAAGGACGAATTTGGGAGGTCAAGGAGTTAGGCAAATCGTTTATATAGTTAGAAAAAAGAAGAGGGCCCAGCACACTACCCTGAGGAATACCGGAGATAACGGGAACAGGATTTGAGCGATGGTTGTTAGCGATAGTGTACTGGGTCCTGTCATGTAAAAAATCTTTAATCCATTTGAATACATGCGACATGCGACCCCAACCTCCTTGATTGACCCCGTAAATGATGACGTTACAACATGGCGCTATGCTCGAAACAAATCGTTGCTACAACCGTTGCTATGGACAAATGCATGGGGGCTCGACATGAGGTTATAATTTGTCTGATAAAAAAAAAAAAAAGTAAATATATTTTTGTAAGTATTGTCTTCTCAATATCGTATGATGCATATTTTTCTGTCGTTTCAGTGCCATATAGCGACGAATAGATGGAAGTCCATAATAATGTTTTACAAGCGTTTTTTCTTTGCTGTAGACGGCACGATGGCTTTTTTGGTCTAGTGGTCCTTTCTGATAAAGCGCGCGACTGCGTTGCATTAAGTTGGGGACAAGCAACGGAACTTTTATTCTCTCGGACAGCTTTCTGTGGTATTTCGGAAGCGAAGACTGCCCGCGCGCAGCCTTGATGAACGCTCGAGGTGCGCGAATTAGCGCGGACGCCTGCCGGAGGAGCTTCGGTATTGCTATGGCTGTGTTCTAACATTTACTCGAGCTCACACTGGGGTAAAGGTTCTGTACCTTGGCGTTCGAGAACCTACCCGCGTCCAGCGTTTATCTGATTGTGTTGTCACATGACATGATCCGCCAGAGTAACTCAGATCCATTCGAATAAGATTTGAAACGCAGCCTCTGAAAAAGGAGGAAACAGAGTGCCATCGCATAATTAATGATAAGTTACTACGACGATGTGAAGCGTATCACCGTCGAAGTGCAGGCCAGTTATGACGACACAGAAGGCGGTTGCTTTAATGCACGTTTGTCGGATCATTTATGATCTGTCAGTAAGGTACACACTTATCTGATGTTCTTCCAGTTAATTCAATAGCTATCTTGGGTCTTGCTAAAAAAAAAAAAAAAAAAAAAAAAAAAACAGCGATATTTTTTTTTTTTTGTGGTGGTTACAAACAGGTACGAAACACTACCATATCGCGAACCTGCAAATGAAATTTGCGGTCTCGAAAAATTTAGTGCCATCTATTGACCCAAATATCAGTCTAAATTTGGTATGCTAATTGCGGTAAAAATCCAGAGGCTATTTGTCTTGAGCAGACGCATGAAAGTGACGGTGTTCTTCGCTACACTGTTATATTTCTATTCGTTTCGATTTCGAACGTAACGAAAAACATTAGTGGCACGACCAGGCAACAGAACACTTGACTGCAGGTACGGTAAAAAAAAAAATAGAGGAGGTTTATGCAGCTTGATGCGAAGCTAACGCCAGTCTTATAGATTACCGTATTTACTCGAGTAATAGCCGCACTGTTTATGAAGAAACGCCGAGGGTTCGCTTTTCCGTGGTGCACGCGGCTTGCCAATGACCTCGATCGACAGCATGATTCCAGGGGCCCTAAACTCGTGAAACACGAAGTTGGGGCCGAAGTTGACGGAGCGC